AAAGAAAAACACCCATGAGTAAGCCAGTTTGTCCAAAAACAGGAAAAAAAACCCCGAAAAGCAAAAAAAGCAGAACGAGAGCGAGAGATTGCGAGACAGTTCATCGGTTGTACGAGCTCAGCTGATACACGAGTGAGTATGAGCTGGCCATTTTGCAGGCTCGTGGGTGGGACAAGAAGCAGAAGAAAAGCGAAAAAAGGGCGAATTTGCACAGTACCACCGCAAAAAAAAAAAACAAACAACAACAACAAAAACCCAGCCATCTTCACTCTCTGCAGCGTCGCACACACACACACACACACACACCCGGCTTCTATGAATTTGCAGCCGCACAAACCACACTGAGCAGCGAGTGTGGACACGCGGACAGAGTCGACAAAAAAAAAAAAAAAAAAGAGCAAATCTACATCAACAAGTGTAAATTAGAGCTTTTTTTTTTTTTTTTTTTTTTTTTTCGCTGTTGTTGTTGGGATTTGCAAGTCGTGCTCACACTGGTCTGCTGCTCGTGGGTCGACCTAGCGAGTCGGAAGCAAGCAGCCCCACCCCATCCAACCCCCTTCTTCCTGACGGGGACCTGACGAGAAAGACGCTTCAATAAAAAATAATCACAAAAAAATGATGAACAATAATCAAGCGCGTCAGCAACAAGCAAGCGCAGTCGGCTTGCGCCCCGTCATGCTCGCTCACAAGTAGTGATGCTGCAAAAACAAAAAGGCGCATCCTCAAAAGGGGGGAGGGGCAAAGGTCAACGTGGGGAGCGGCGAGAGGCGCAAAGTGTAGAGCGAGCCAATCTCCGCGAGTCATAGAACTGCATTCATCCCCGCAAGCCAATTCATCCACTCCTTCTCCCGACAGACAGACTGCTGACGACGGACGACGCGCTTGCGATACAGTCCACATTGTCCCCAAGGGCGGTGTCTTCAGTGCGCTTGCGTTACCGTCCACGAGTGGTCGTCGGTCTGGTTGACGTTGATCGGTTTTCGCATCAGCGTGCCTTTGAGCAGCTTTTTCAGCTTTTCGTTCATGCCGTCCTTGGCTGCCTTGTGAACGGTCGTCTTGCCCATAGTTTGTGTGTTGGAGAATGAGTGAGCGATACTGTAAAATAAAGTAATACTGGAATACATTAATGAATGAGGGAATGAATGAGTGAATGAATGGAAGGGATTCGCAGTAATGGATTTACAATCCTCAGAAATACAATTCAATGCATCTCAGTCTTCCTTAGTGTTCATTCTCTATTGAATCATATAAAAAAGGGCCCCCAAATGGCACCGTCGGATGTGCCAGTCACAGCAGCAGCAGGGGCAGCCGCCACAACGCCGATCGTCAGCGAGCTCCATGGCTCTCTGATTGGCGAGCTCAGTGCCGCCGAGGGACAGCTGGCACCCACTCTCCGGTAAGCAGCTCGTCAAGCAAGCCATTCCAACGTCACTCATCGCAGGCGTCCTCGAGAGCCCGTAGCAGCAGCGACAAGGGCAAGGACGTGAAAAAGTCAATCCTCTCTTCACCTCATTGCACTCACCCCTCCTCCTCGTTCCCTGCGATTACGGCTCGCTTGCACATTGCGAACGTATTACACAAGGCCACAGCGTATCTCTCAACCAGCAGCTGCCTTCCCTGCTTCACCCCCCCCCCAGCACAATCTCGCCATTGAATGGGACTAACTTTTTTTTTTTTTTTTTTTTTTTTTTTCCCCTCTGTATTTGCAGAGCTGTTTACGAATCCAACACGGCTCAAGCATTCATGGTCAACCTCGACTCGTTCATTGCGCGGACAACGACGGAGATTGAGCGCATGTGCAACCACCACTACCAAGGCTTTATCGAATCGGTCGAGGAGCTGCTCAAGGTGCGTGCAGACGCGGCGAATCTGCGCGAGGCAATCGCGCGAACGGACGAGGCCCTGCAGCGGAGCGGCCGGGATTACCTGGAGCGCGCAGAGGAGCTGCGACAGCATCGCATCATCCACAGGAACATTGTTGCTGCCATGGAGGCGCTCACGAGCTGTTTGCCGGCACTGCAGCTGTACGGCAAGGCGCACATGCACTACGCGGCGCATCGGTACTACCACGCCCTGACCGCCCTCACGCAGCTCGAAACACGGCACTTGCCAAATATCAGCCAGTACACGTTTGCCCGTGTGATTGCGGACGGCATCCCCGTCCTCCGTGCGTCCATCAAAACGGCTGCGCTGTCCGAGCTCCAGGACTGGCTGGCGTCCATCCGCCAGCGCTCACGCCTGTTGGGCTCTTCCGTGCTTGCGCAGCTGACCGAGTGGCAGCGCGTGAATGGCCGAGGAGGCACCGGCACCGACGCCAGTGCGCTCTCGACGAGCACCTCCACATCCTCCACCACCGAGATGGAGCCGCTGTTTATTGCAGCCCGGGCCGTCTCGACGGAGGATCTCGCTGGCGACGGCAGCGCTTCGTCGTTGGCCACCGACACGGACGGGAGCGACAACCACATTACTGTCGATTTCACACCAGTGTACCAATGCATGCACGTCTACTCGGCGTTCCAGGCCGACGCAGAATTCGAGGCCTACTACCGCCAAGCGCGCCGTCAGCAGGCCAATCTCTTGTACCAGCCGCTCATCGACGCGAACGCTGCGGCTGTGGCAAATGCCGCCGTCGCTACCGCCGTCGCCGCTCCGCCGCCGCCAGCGCGTGACACGTTGAGCTTTTCTAATCCGTTTGCCGCGTTCAGCAGCAACCCGTTCACCGCGTCGCCATCAACGGCCTCCACCACCACCACCTCCACCACCACCGCCACCACCAGCAGCAGCAGCAGCAACAACAGCAACAACCCCTTCGGTAGTAGCTCGGCAGTAACGCCGTCCGCGTCACTGTCGCCCAGCACCTCTGTCAGCTCGTCCACGCGCAACCTCTCCAATTTCTTTGAGCTCTTTAACGAAATTGCTGGCTTTTTCATCGTGGAAGAGACAGTCATGACCACCACCCAAGGCCTGGTGACCCGTGGTCGAATCGACGACATGTGGGAAATTGCCGTTGGCCATATGGCGGCGTTTCTGTCCACACAGTCCAAGTACACACGGTATGCGCCCGTTCTCCTCGAAGCCAAGAACTATGTCGTGCTCTTTTGCCACGCAGTGGCCCAGTACGGGTATGTCACAACCCAGCTCCTCGCGACGCTCAGCGAAATGCGGCAACGCTACGTCGAGCTCTTGCTCATCGACTACTCGACGAGGTTTCGCAACATTTTCCAAGAAGACATTTACGAGCCCATTGTTGTATCGGACGAGCGCGAGTACGAGCGCTGGCTCGTCATGTATCCGCAGCGGCACGGCGACATGGATCGGGGAAACTTTCCTGCCAGTTTTCCCTTCTCGGCCTCGGTGCCGAAAATTTACGCCGAGGTCAAGGACTTTGTCAAGGCCATTCTGACGTTTGTAAATGGGCTGGAGCTGTCCCACACCGACATGGACGACGCTCTGCGTGACGCGACGAACGCTGTGCTCACCCGCACCCTGGCCGATGCGCTCTCGTCGCTCATCCGGCAGTCTTCGCTGAATCTTCGCCAATTGCTACAAATATCCGTCAACGCAACATCGCTGGCAGACACCTTTGCGCAGATTGAGCATCACATTTCGTCCATCATGCACACGACCGCTCCGAGTGCCGCAAAAAACGCCAATGCCTCAGCCGCAACTCAGGCCCCAACCAATCCCTTCACCAACGCCCCACTTGCTGCACAGACTGCCGGCACTGGTGGTATTCAAGGCGTTGTCGTCTTCAAACAGGCGCGCAGCCGAGCAGAGGACTTGGTCTTTTCGATGGTCAAAGCCAAGATGGACGATTTCATCGAGCTTGCAGACTACAACTGGCTGCTGCTCGCCAAGCCCACTGCTGCGTCTGGCTACTTGGAGGACATGCTCAGCTACCTCGAGACCATGTTCCGGTCTGTGGAGTGCTTTCCCCCGGACCTCGCCCATCTCACCTACTTTTGCGCATGCAATCATCTCGCGCACAACCTGCACACGTTCATCTTGAGCGATAATGTCAAACGAATCAGCGCCTTTGCACTCGAGCAATTTGAGCTGGACGTCGTTCGTTGCGAAAGTTTTGCCATGTCCTGTCCCGTTCCGCAGCTCAAGGACAGCTTCTTGCCTTTGCGTCAGGTGCGACTGGCTTGTTGAATTTTGGATTGGATTCACTGGCGTTGTTGCTCCCCCCTTCTTGAGTCATCTTTACTGACTTTTTTTTTTTTTTTTTTTTTTTTTTGTTTTTGTGTCTGTTTCAGCTCGTGTCTCTCTTCACCCAGTGGGACTTTGAGGCGTACATGAACGATAGCCTGCGCGGTATCAAGTACGGCTCGCTTCAAACTGCTCGTGTGATCAAGTTGCTCGAAAAGTCAGTAGAGAAAAACGAAAAAAATTGCATGCTGTTGCGCGTTTCGTCCACGCTTTGGCTCAATGGAATGCTGGGTGATGAATGTTTGCTCGCCAGAGTTCGGGACGATGATTCCAAGTTTGCAATCAAGAAATCCTCGCGCACGAAAGAGATTGACGGTTATTTGAAAACCTTGCGCGGCAATTCCACCGCCCATTCCCCGATACTACCAGAAAAAAGCTCTTAGAATGGATTGTTGCTGTTCAATATGGCCTTTGCAATACAACTTTATTCCGCGTTGCCCATTCGCGCCAATCAAGCAAGTAGATCTACCATGTTGGGGCAAAAGCAAGCAAGAGAACCTGAGCCAACAAAAAACAAAAGTCGACACTGAAACGCTTTCCGCGGGGGTGTCTTTCCAACGCTTACCGCACCATTGCAATGCATGGATGACATCACTTGCGTGCATTCGGAGTATAAAATGGAGTTCGCTGCATGCGTTCCTTGAGACTAGTCTTTTTTTTGTTTCTTCCTTGATTCTTGCTCTTTCTTGCTCTTTCTTGGTTTCTTGCTTTTTTTTTTTTTTCTTTGTGTAAGTTTCCACTGCACTCCATTTGAGCAGCCCTCTCCATCCGCACCCGACCACGCCGTTTGCTTTGAGCGACTCTGATGCAGTGTTCCCAGCACAACGAGCAGGAGATCGGCATGGGAGAGGGTGAGCGGAGGGAGTGGTTTCGCATAATCGGCACCATCCATGTGAATCGGCGCCTCCGTCTCAGCTCCCGTCCACGGCGCGATTGTCCGGGCTCCCCCGTGTGCCCGTGTATCTAGTGTGGGTGTGGGTGTGACTGCGAATCGTCCTCTTTCGGTGCCCGCATCCCAGACGCTTGGGAAAGCAACCCGCCAAAAACAAAAAAAAAAAAAAAAAGAAGAAAAAAGCAAAAAGATCAGAAAGCGTTTTTTCCCTGCTTTTGCAAAACCCCTTCAACTCCAGGTGGTGACCCACGTTGCAGGGCAAATAACCCCAGTCGGTTCGTTGACAAAAGTGGGTGCGGCGAGCAGAGTAAGCTTGAGTGACGTGTTTTGTGGTCATCGAACACCTCGTGGAGTTGCATTGAGGTACGAACCCAAAAGATTTTTTTTGAATTATTTTTTCTAATTTATTGCGGATTGGTCGGTTTCCCGGCTGGAGCGAAAAGTGGGCACACATTTGAAGTGTCAAAGCTGAGGGGTGCAAGAATGGCACATCCAAACCCTCGCCATGAGATTGGATGGAAGGTGGAAGGAGGAGGGGGTGCCATCGGATGTGAACAACACCCGCACCAAAAACAGCAAACAGCAAATCCCGACCGAAACGTGCCAAACCTTCTCAACCTCCGAGCGGTTTCCGCCCACTCCGCCATATCTCCGGTTTTTCTTGAGCTTGCGGGTTGGTCAAACCCAAGGGCTGTTTGTACAGACAAGCAGTCTGGCAGTTTCAGCTGTCAGGCAAAACTAACTGTTTGCCATTTGTTCCACTTGCAGAAACAATGAGAAGCACGGCAGTGTCCTGCTCTGTGCTTCTCCTGGTGCTATGCTTGGCATTCAAAGCCACATTGGCACAGGCAATTGGCGCTTGTGGGCCAGGTGGCGCGTGCAGTTGCTCTGGAACCACCGTGAATTGCTTTAGCCAAGCGCTGACCGATATTCCAAGCGGAATACCAACAAATACCACAACCCTGTAAGAAGAGTCTTGTGTGCGTGACCTGGAAGCACTCGAAAAGAAAAGAAATAAAGTTGCTCACCTTGCGCGGCCGATCGCTAGAACTCTGAGTTCCAACCAGCTCACGCGCATTCCAGCAAATGCCTTTCTGGGGCTGTCAAATCTGACGACCTTGTAAGCATGTGTACACGGCATGTGTTGTGGCTTCGAACAACAGACGATGGCTCACTGAACAGCTGCTTGGCAGGCAAATTTCTCAAAATCAAATCACCACCATTGCCACAGCTGCGTTCACCGGGCTGGCTCGTCTCAGACAGCTGTAAGCCACTAGAGAGTCTCTGCGATGAATAGGCGAGTCACATTTTGCTGAATTGTCTCGCGGTCAATAGAACACTGGACGGAAACATCATCACAGCCGTCCCCGAAAATGCATTCGCTGGATTGTCCGCGCTCACGTCCATGTAAGCAAGCTCCGTTTTCTTTGCTGAGCAGCAGTCGCCCTAATAGTTGTTAACTCTCGCACGATTTCCAGGCGCCTGCACGACAACATGATCACGAGCCTTTCCGCCAGTACATTCACAGGACTGACAGCGCTGACTGAGCTGTAAGCGTATGCGTTTGCACCTCAAATTCCAATGTGTGTGTTGCTGACTTGGAGCGGTCTGCAGGACGTTGAGTGACAATCCCTTGACTACTTTACCGCCTGGTCTGTTCAAGGGCTTGCCGAACAATCTCAGATTGTCCGTCGTCAATGGTCAAGTGTTGGCACCCAACAGCTTTGTTGGCAGCACGGCTCCTCCAAGCACCTACGGCAACGCGTCCTCGCCCAGGCGTAAGTCCTCACGAGACTACATGTTATCGCTTTGAATCCTTGCTAAGTGTTTGGTGTTTTAGAGTGTGATACCGCCTGCGCAACGTGCTACAACGCTGGCGCTGCGTCATGCTGTGGGACAAACTGCCTCTCCTGCAACTCGACGGATTTGTGCACTCAATGCTACGACGGTTATGAAATGGCGAGTGGGTACTGTATCGATCCGAGCAGCACGTCCCCGAGCAGCACCATCGCGGACAATGTATCGAGCACTGCTGGTGAGGCGTCCAGCACTCCTGGTTTCAATGCTACGAGCACCGCTGTGTTCAATGCGTCGAGCACTGCTGTCAAATCGACGACTGCCGCCTTCAATGCTTCGAGTACCGCAGTGAAATCGACGACTGCTACTTTCAACGCATCGAGCACTGCAGTGAAGTCGACCAGCTCTGTGGTCAACGCTTCGAGCACCCCTGCATTCAAGGCTTCGAGCACGCCTGCTGTCAATGCTTCAAGCTCTGATGTTGATGCATCGAGCACTGCTGTCGATGCGTCCAGCACTCCTTCGTTCAATGCTACGAGCACCGCTGTGTTCAATGCGTCGAGCACTGCAGTGAAATCGACGACTGCCGCCTTCAATGCTTCGAGCACTGCCGTGAAATCAACCACTGCTGCTTTCAATGCATCGAGCACTGCTGTCAAGTCGACCAGCTCTGTGGTCAACGCTTCGAGCACCCCTGCATTCAATGCTTCGAGCACGCCTGCTGTCAATGCTTCCAGCTCTGACGTTGATGCATCGAGCACTGCTGTCGATGCGTCCAGCACTCCTTCTTTCAATGCTACGAGCACCGCTGTGTTCAATGCGTCGAGCACTGCTGTCAAATCGACGACTGCCGCCTTCAATGCTTCGAGTACCGCAGTGAAATCGACGACTGCTGCTTTCAACGCATCGAGCACTGCTGTGAAGTCGACCAGCTCTGTGGTCAACGCTTCGAGCACCCCTGCATTCAATGCTTCGAGCACGCCTGCTGTCAATGCTTCCAGCTCTGATGTTGATGCATCGAGCACTGCTGTCGATGCGTCCAGCACTCCTTCGTTCAATGCTACGAGCACCGCTGTGTTCAATGCGTCGAGCACTGCAGTGAAATCGACGACTGCCGCCTTCAATGCTTCGAGCACTGCCGTGAAATCAACCACTGCTGCTTTCAATGCATCGAGCACTGCTGTCAAGTCGACCAGCTCTGTGGTCAACGCTTCGAGCACCCCTGCATTCAATGCTTCGAGCACGCCTGCTGTCAATGCTTCCAGCTCTGACGTTGATGCATCGAGCACTGCTGTCGATGCGTCCAGCACTCCTTCTTTCAATGCTACGAGCACCGCTGTGTTCAATGCGTCGAGCACTGCTGTCAAATCGACAACTGCCGCCTTCAATGCTTCGAGCACTGCAGTGAAATCGACGACTGCTGCTTTCAACGCATCGAGCACTGCTGTGAAGTCGACTAGCTCTGTGGTCAACGCTTCGAGCACCGCTGCATTCAATGCTTCGAGCACGCCTGCTGTCAATGCTTCCAGCTCTGACGTTGATGCATCGAGCACTGCTGTCGATGCGTCCAGCACTCCTTCTTTCAATGCTACGAGCACCGCTGTGTTCAATGCATCGAGCACTGCTGTCAAATCGACGACTGCTGCATTCAATGCTTCGAGTACCGCAGTGAAATCGACGACTGCTGCTTTCAACGCATCGAGCACTGCTGTGAAGTCGACCAGCTCTGTGGTCAACGCTTCGAGCACCGCTGCATTCAATGCTTCGAGCACGCCTGCTGTCAATGCTTCCAGCTCTGACGTTGATGCATCGAGCACTGCTGTCGATGCGTCCAGCACTCCTTCTTTCAATGCTACGAGCACCGCTGTGTTCAATGCGTCGAGCACTGCAGCGAAATCGACGACTGCCGCCTTCAATGCTTCGAGCACTGCCGTGAAATCAACCACTGCTGCTTTCAATGCATCGAGCACTGCTGTCAAGTCGACCAGCTCTGTGGTCAACGCTTCGAGCACCCCTGCATTCAATGCTTCGAGCACGCCTGCTGTCAATGCTTCCAGCTCTGATGTCGATGCATCGAGCACTGCTGTCGATGCGTCCAGCACTCCTTCTTTCAATGCTACGAGCACCGCTGTGTTCAATGCGTCGAGCACCGCTGTGTTCAATGCGTCGAGCACTGCAGTGAAATCGACGACTGCTGCATTCAATGCTTCGAGCACTGCCGTGAAATCGACGACTGCTGCTTTCAATGCATCGAGCACTGCTGTGAAGTCAACTAGCTCTGTGGTCAACGCTTCGAGCACCCCTGCATTCAATGCTTCGAGCACGCCTGCTGTCAATGCTTCAAGCTCTGATGTCGATGCATCGAGCACTGCTGTCGATGCGTCCAGCACTCCTTCTTTCAATGCTTCGAGCACAGCTGTGTTCACTGCATCGAGTACTGCCGTGAAATCGTCCACTCCCGTTTCGTCTAGCGCGACTGTCAAATCTACAACTGGCGTCAGCTCCTTCACGTCCACTGCAAAGCAGACCTCTGCAACGTCAACGACTTCCACTACCGCCACGTCGAAGGCCTCCACATCGACTGTCAAGCCATCCTCTACAACGGCCTCGTCCAAACTGTCGAGTACCAGCAAGTCGTTCACCGCCAGCTCAAGCAGCGTTTCGTCGTTCAAGCCAGTGACAACACCGACCTCATCCGAAACGTCATCATTGATACCTTCCTCCTTCACGTCCCCTGCAAAGCAAACGTCTGCAACGTCAACGACCTCCAGTACCGCCACGTCGAAGGCTTCCACATCGACTGTCAAGCCATCCTCTACAACGGCCTCGTCCAAACTGTCGAGTACCAGCAAGTCGTTCACTGCCAGCTCAAGCAGTGTTTCGTCGTCCAAGCCAGTGACCTCATCCAAAACACCGGCCTCATCCAAGACGTCATCATTGATTTCTTCCTCCCGACCAGTGACTTCATCCAAAACACCGGCCTCATCCAAGACGTCATCATTGATTTCTTCCTCCCGACCAGTGTCGTCCAATACACCGACTACTTCCAAAACTTCATCTTTGGTGGTTTCTTCCTCCCGACCAGTGTCATCCGCAACGCCGAATCCGACGACTTCGCTCTACCTGTGGCTGGCTCTACCCTTCGGAGCTTGCATCGGCTCATGCGGCAACGGCATTCAGTCCAGGACAGTCGTTTGTGTTGCCGCTGCCAATGCATCGAACATTGTGGACGACAGTTTGTGTTCTTGGTCACCGAAGCCGGTCTCTGAGCGGTTCTGCGAGCCCTGCCCGACCACGTATGAGTGGGTGATGGGTATCTTCAGCCCCTGCACGTCGCCTTGCAGCACCGGGTTGCAATTCCGATCTGTTCGATGCCTGTCGTCCAATGGACTGCTGGTTGTCGACGCGTACTGCAATGCTACGGTCAAGCCAGCGACCAACCAAACTTGTACTGGTGGTAACGCGTGCAACTGGTACACCAGTGCCTTTTCGATGTGCGCGGGTCCATGCAACAGCACCTCCAATCAGACACGATCAGTGTTGTGCATTGACGAAACGGTTGGGTCTGTCGTCTCTCGCGATCAGTGCAGTGTCGCGACAATTCCAAGCACCACACAGAGCTGCAGCACGCCGGCATGTCCAGTCATCGAGCAGTACGACTGGGTCGTTGGCGCTTTTGGTGACTGCTCTGCGCTATGCGGTCCCGGCACGCAAACTCGGAATGTCAGCTGTCACTCCCTCACAAACGGCTCCTATGTGAGCGATGCACTTTGCGAACAAACCAGCGCGCGTCCCACTTTGTACCAGGCATGCGAAGTCCAGCCTTGCGTCTACTCGTGGTTCTATTCCTCTTGGAGTGGCGTGTGTGCCTATCCGCAGTGTACCCAGACCCGCAATCTGCTCTGTGCCAACCAATTTGGCATGTCTGTGCTGGCATCCTACTGCTACAACAATGGTGAGACACAGCCCGCGTCGAGCAGCCCTTGTCAGACAGAGTCTTGCACCAACACCCCAGTTGACTGCTCTTGCACGGACTGGTCGGAGCCGTCGTTGTGCTCGGCAGACTGCGGCTCTGGCACCCAGTATCGTTACCGCGTGTGCACGGAGGCAGTCTATGGCGGAAATACCTGCGCGGCTCTCAATCTGACTGCCACGTCGGAGGCACTGGCGTGCAACACGCAGCCCTGCCCAGTGAACTGCAACTGCACGGCATTCCGTCCTACGAGCAGCTGCACCAAGTCGTGCGACACCGGCACACAGACGTTTGAGCGCACTTGCACCGGGCCCTTCAACGGTGGCTTGACGTGCGCAGAGCTCGGATTCGACACGGCGCCCCGCACCTTGGTTTGCAACACTCAAGCCTGCGGAGATACGACACTGCGCAACTGCACCTGCGGCGAATGGTCGGCCTGGTCCAACTGCACGCGCAATTGCGACACTGGCGCGCAGAGTCGCTCTCGCATCTGCACGGAAGGAGTGAACGGTGGAGCAACATGTGAATCGCTCGGTCTGGAGCGCGATGAATCACGCACGTGCAACGAGCGTCCTTGTGCCATGCCGGTGGACGCGCTTGCATTCATGCTAGGCTTTGATGGCACAGACAACCAGGCTCGCCGCAGCACTGACTCGAATGAAGCGTCTCCCATCATCGGGCAAGCCGTCAAGTTTGATGAAAACTCTGCTGGAATTGTTGTTGACGCTTCCACTGCTGGCGGCCTGTTCCAGTTCACCTTTTCCATGTGGCTCTTGCCGGCTAGTGACGGTTCCCTGCCAGCTGATGCCCTTCTTGTGCGTCTGCCTGGCGACTCTGGGAGCGCTCTGTCACTCCGAGGTAACGAGCACCAAGTTCTGGCCCCTTCTGCATCAATGGCCACTGCTTTCATTCATGACGGCACAAGCACGCCCAGCTCGAGCAACAGCTGGAAGCACCTTGCGCTGACGTGGGATGGAACGACCGCGCGCTTGTATCTGAACGGTGCACTCGTCGATTCGGCGCCGACAGATTCGTCGTTGGAGTTTATTCCAGGAGGCGAGTGGGTCGTTGGATGCATCGGCGACGGGTCTGCCTGCTACCGTGGCTTGATCGACGAGGTGTCGCTGTGGACATCGGCCTTGTCTGACTCGATGCTTCAGGAGCTTGTCCAGCGTGGCCAGGAGCATTTGGACGTGTACGCGCAAGTGTCTGCGGTCAATCCTGCACCCCCTCAACCCCCTGGTGGCGACGACGACACGTCGGATTCCAACAACTTGCCAATTATCATCGGAGCTGCCGCTGGCGGTGCGTGTCTTGTGACTGTGCTGGCAACCATTCTCATTCGTCGTCGCGTGCGCGCACAGCATGCCGCTCGAGGTGCTGCCAACCAACGTCTCGACTTTGAATCGTCGTCCAGAGCTCCGGTACCGATGCAGTCAAACGCCTTGGTCGGTTCACAGCCGGCCCAACAGCAAGCGCAACCAGTGGTGCAGCCACCCCAGCAAGCGCCGCAACAAGCAAAGTCGCTGCAACAGGTGCAACCTCTGCGACGCCCTGCGTCTTCTGCTGGTCTCCAGCCCGCCGACGTGTACGCCACACCGGTGCGTGCGGTGCCCATTCCATTGCGGGAGCAGTCGAAGGCTGTCGTGGTTGGTCCAAACTCTCGACCCGGTTCGACGCTTCTGCCCGAGCCCGCGGCCTTCCGGGCTACCCACAAGTTTGTTCCGCGTCACGGCGACGAGCTGTCCATGGAAGTGAACGACGTCGTGTACATCCTTTCCGAGTGCAGCGATGGATGGTGCATTGTCCGTTCGCGTCGCGGCAAGGGCTTGGTCCCGCGCAATCGGCTCGTCGCGCTGCCGCTCCGAGCAGCAATCCCCTCCTCCGAAGCTGAGCACGTGTACGATCCCGTCACACCCGACCATCTGTACGATCCCGTCACACCCGACCATCTGTACGATCCTGTTACACCCGACATCGACAACGTGTATGAGCCCGTCAACCGTGAAAATCTATACGATCGGGTTGCCGACGCCATCGATCCGCGTCCAAGCGAGACTTCTGAACCCTTGTACGAGCCGCGATACTCGCTTCCTGCGACAACGTCCCCGAATTCCGAGCCCTTGTACGAGCCTCGATATTCCACTCCTGCTTCGTCTTCGATCCAGCCCGAGCACTTGTATGACAACTAGAAGCAGCCTGAATGTTTGAATGTTTGTGCGTGCGCGTGTGTGTGTTTTGGTACCTTTGTGTTTTTTGGATGTGGTTTTTCGGTCTGCAATGCACAGTAAATTTGTCGAACGAGTCATTGTTCAACTGTGGGGGGGTCACCTTGTTGCGTGTGCACATTTGGATGCGATGTGCTCGGTGAACAGCAACTCAGGCTGCAGAACGCAAATCTCCTAGCCTTATCTCATATGTTGTTGCGCACGGTGAAAAAACCAACCCCAAAACAAACAAACAAACAAACAAACAAAAAAAAAAAAAAAAAAAAAAAACCACCTTCGAAGGCGACAAAAACAAAGATCACATTAGAACATGAAGTTACAAAAGAAATGACAGAACACGACCAACAAACACAAACAAAACAGGCAACGACCGAAAGGCAAAAAAGTATAACAAAGGAAGAAAAAGGAGAGAATTCAAGTAGTTTCGATCATTTTTATTTTTTCTCCAGCCTTGTGATAGGAAGGCAAAAAAACACCGTTTTCTAGGCGTTCATGGCGTTTGTTTGGGATATTTTGAAAGGGGGGAAAAAGATACGAGATTTACTTGTCCTCGGAAGCCTTGGACATGGCCTCAGCCTTGGCAACAACCTCCTCGATACCGCCGACCATGTAGAAGGCAGCCTCGGGCAGGTGGTCGAGCTCACCAGAGTAGATCTTCTTGAAGCCCTTGATGGTGTCGACAATGGGGACGAGCTTGCCGGGGGTGCCGGTGAAGACCTCTGCTACTGAGAAGGGTTGCGAGAGGAAGCGTTGCATCTTGCGGGCGCGAGCGACAGTGAGCTTGTCCTCCTCGGAGAGCTCATCCATACCAAGAATGGCGATAATGTCCTGGAGCGACTTGTAGTCCTGGAGGATCTTCTGGACGGCACGGGCAACGTCGTAGTGCTCCTGGCCGACAATGCGGGGGTCGAGAATACGCGAGGTCGAATCGAGGGGATCGACGGCGGGGTAGATGCCGAGCTCGGCAATGCCACGGGAGAGCACAGTGGTGGCGTCCAAGTGGGCGAAGGTGGTGGCGGGGGCGGGATCGGTCAAATCGTCGGCGGGCACATAGATGGCCTGGACGGAGGTGATGGAGCCCTTGCGGGTGGTGGTGATGCGCTCCTGCATGGCACCCATATCGGTGGCAAGGGTGGGCTGGTAACCGACGGCAGAGGGAATGCGACCAAGCAGGGCAGACACCTCGGAACCGGCCTGGGTGAAGCGGAAAATGTTGTCAATGAAGAGCAGCACATCCTGGCCTTCCTCGTCACGGAAGTACTCGGCAACGGTCAGACCAGTGAGGGCGACACGGGCACGGGCACCTGGGGGCTCGTTCATCTGACCGTACACGAGGGCGACCTTCGAGCCGGGCTTGCCGAGCTGGATGACGCCAGACTCGATCATTTCGTGGTACAGATCGTTACCCTCACGAGTGCGCTCGCCGACACCGGCAAAGACAGAGTAGCCACCGTGCGCCTTGGCGACGTTGTTGATGAGCTCCTGAATGAGCACAGTCTTGCCGACACCGGCACCACCGAAAAGACCAATCTTACCACCCTTGGCGTAAGGGGCAAGCAGATCGACGACCTTGATGCCGGTGACGAGAATCTGCTGCTGGGTGCTCATCTCAACGAACGGGGGAGCCTCGACGTGGATGGGAAGCTTCTTCTTGGCGTTGATGGGGCCACGCTCGTCGATGGGCTCGCCAATGACGTTCATGATGCGACCAAGGCACTCGGGGCCGACGGGGATCTCGATGGGGTTGCCGAGATCGAGGCAGAGCTGGCCACGGGTAAGACCCTCAGTACCGTCCATGGCAATGGTGCGGACAGTGTTCTCACCGAGGTGCTGGGCAACCTCGAGAACAAGGCGGGCACCATCACGCTGGACCTCGAGGGCGTTGAGGATGGCGGGCAGCTCGTTGTCGAACTGGACGTCGACGACGGCACCGATAACCTGCACGACACGGCCAGAGCCGACCGAGCGCGAGTTGGCAGCGGCGGGGGCGGCAGCGGCAGCGAGCGGGGTGGTCGACACGGTGGTCATGGCGCGACCTGCAAGGGGTGATCAGGGAAAGGAAGAGGGGAGGGGAAAAAAAAAGGTAAAGGAGAAAGGGAAAAAAAAAGGAGGGAAAATAAAAAAAAAACATGGCCACGTTAGTCAGGATGGATCGTTTTCCCCCCGCTTGTTCGCTTCAATTTCAGACAAAGGACAGCTGGCCTTTTTCGCCTCTCCCAGTTTGTGTTTTGAAAATAGGGGAGAAAAAGGAAGAGTCGTGAGGATGGAAGATTGCGAACGAGTCGAAGGGAGAAGAGCGAAAAGAAAAGAGGGGGAAAAAAAGCAAAAAAAAAAAAAAGCACGATCTCATCAAAAACCGATGGAAAAAATAAAAGCAAAATGAACAAAACCACGATCGGCAACAAAGAGCAGCTGCTGCACAAGCAGGCCGTTGGACGCGATCAGGCGGCGTTTGGGTTGCCCACAAAGACGACACGAGACGAGTGTCGAAAGGGAGAGCATGCGATCGATGGTGCAGCAACAAAGAAAGAAAGAAAGCAGAAAAACAGGGGAAGAAACAAAAAAAAAAAAAAAGCGATCGCCATTTTTTTTTTCATCGATCACGAACAAAGCGAGAACAAAAGCATCGCGATAGACAGTCGCACGGCAGATGCGATGCGCGAGGGGCAGCACGAGCTCATTGCACAGACACCAGCATGAGCAACAGGGGCGATCAAACGGAGGGGCGTCGTCAAAAGAAACGGGAATAACCAAATCGATCCTCGTGTTTTTTTCTTTTTTTTTTTTCGATTTTTTTTTCCTTTGGTTTTTTCGGTTTTTTTTTTTTTTTCGTTGGAGATGGATGTCCGATTGTCTGCTATGTCTGCTTTCATCCACCACCCGTTCTTCCAAGAAGCGGTCGAGGGGACAATCCAGAGCAAAGGAAGGCTGCCGTTTGGAAGATCCACACCCAAACATCCAGAAAGCGACAACGCAAAAAAAAAGACAAAAGGAAAAAAAAAAAATAAAAAATAAAAGGAGCAGATCGCTTTCTTTTTCATTTCTTTCATTTGAGATGAACGGGAGACAGGAGAGAGAGAGAGAGCTGGGATCAGGACGTACGCTGCTGGGGAGCGGCGAGGCCAGCGGGGCGTGCGGCGAGGGCAGCGGCAGCGGCGGCGCGGGGAGCAGCGCGGACGGCGGAGCTGGCGATCTGACGGGCGAGCTGGCGGCCAGTGGTGCGAGCAAGGCTGGTAAGCATTTCTCTTTCAAAAGTTGGACGAATGGCTCGGTTCCATTTTCGGCGGTTGTCGTCTAATATTATTATTATTGCATGAATTATTTACTCCCGTTGATCTTGTGCAAGAGTTTGTTGAATCAGAGCAGCGATCGCAACGAAAATGAAAAACAACGGAACACACAATTTTTTCAAACAAAAATGGAGGCGGATTGATGCGGTTTTCAAGACAACTCAACAATCCGCACCGCACAAACAACCAAACATGCAATTGGACAGGCAAAAAAAATGTGCTCGTACTGTGTGTGACTATTGTATTGGAAAAAAAATGAAAATCAATGCATCATCGCGAGCCTGACGACCCTCCTGGCGGATTGGGTTGGATCAAACCCAGTCGGGAAGGGTGAATCGAACCGCTCGAGTGCGGCACGGCTCCACCGGGCAATGTTGAAGCTGGCTCGCTTCCAGACGGTGTCAGTCTTGGAAACTGAGCCGGAAGCAGCGGAGGCACGTCGCTCAGATTCAGACGTTGACGGGGCGCAGCTGCGCTCGCCGTCGTGTACCCGAGGCCTGAGCGGTGTTGATTGCCCCATTGTTGCTGAGAAGGCGCTGGCTGATACGCCGTTTGAGGGGCTGCGCCTGGCGGAGGGGCGCCAAACTCTGAGGAGCGTACGAATCGCGAGCTGTTGTTGTTGTTGTTGTTGTTGTTGTTGTTGTTGTTGTTGCCAAACTCGCCACCGCCACCGCGGCTGCTACTGCTGCCAACCCAACCGCCGTCCATGGGCGAATCGTGCGAGCTGTCGGATGCCGCGCTCCAACCGCCATGGCTCCCTCCACGACCTCGACCACGACCTCGCCCGCCACGACCACCACGACCTCCGCGATCGGAAAAGCCAATGCCCGCGCCGCCTGTGCGCCGATGGCCAGAGTTGTCGCCGCGCGTGTTGCGGAAGGCAGCATTTTGGCTCGCCAGGGCCAGCAGTTGCGGCGACACGGGTTGGTTGGCACTCTCAAAGTTGCGCACCAAATCACCCGCAAAGCTGGCGTCTTTCGATGACAGCAGTGTGTATGCCGAGCCTTTCTCGCCTGCACGACCCGTGCGGCCGATACGATGCGTGTGCGTGTCAATGTCTCGTGCCACATCAAAGTTGACCACCGTTCGAATGTGCGAAATATCCAGACCGCGTGCTACAACACGGCAACACGGGTACCAAAGTGAGCATCGACCAACGGTATTTGTTTTTTCGTTGGTGGCATGCATGGTCAAGGTGATGACAAAGTACTGACCAGCAACATCGGTGGCCACCAGAATGGGGAATGCTTTGCGCTTGAATTTGGCAATAATTGTATTGCGCGAGTTCTGGTCTACATCGCCGTGAAGGGCCGAAGCTGTTTCAGGCATATGAGATGATGCGGTGGCCCTGGTTAGTTTGATGAACGCGCCCTTCCCTCCACGCCACCTTTGCGCAACACGACAAACCTTCAAAGTGCGCCTTATTCAGCTTGTCTGTCACAAGTTGACATCCAGCCTTTTTCGTGACGAATACCAAGACTGAACCAGCTGCAGAGGCAGAGGAAGAAAGAAAGAGCGAGACAATTCGTTCGGATGAGAACAGTTTTGTCATTTGAAACCGTTGCCAGTTGTCATGTTGTCATGTCAGCTTAAAAGAAACTTACTAGACATGAATTCGACAATGTGTGATGTCAACCAAGAGAATTTTTCGTCGTCCGAGTGGAGAATGACCGCTGTTTGAGCGACATCTTGATTAGCCTGGCACAAAAACAAAAAAAAAAAAAAAAAACAAAAAAAAAAAAAAAAAAACAGATCAAAGTTTTCAGCAATCCAGTTTCCTTTTTCAAAACGTGCATTCAAGCATGACAACGTGGAGCTGAGCAGTTACCTCGCCAACATCGCCAACCACAATCCGAACGGGATCTGTCAACACATCGCGAGCCAACCGTTCGATTCGCTTCTTGAATGTCGCGCTAAACAGTAAAGCTAGTACAATTGCAGAACGGGAGCGATTTATGACTGAGAATGCACGCGCCAACAAAAAAAAATCGCGGATAAAGTTTCATTCACCACTCACTTTGCCGGTCCGGCCTGATGCGATTAATAATGGAGCGGACTTGTGGCTCTGCAATAGCACGAAACGGATGAGCCATCGAGACACACTTTCACACCGTCCAAAAGCAAAACGACAAGCAAGCGTTGCAGAGCTCGCCACCTACCAAAGCCCATGTTGAACATTTTGTCGGCCTCATCCAACACCAAGAAGGTAGCGCGCAGCATGTTGGTCAGCTTGTCCTTGAGCATTTCAATCAGACGACCCTACACGTACCATACAAGCAGTCAGATACTTGATTGGAATGTCACACCAAGGCAACCAAAAAAAAAAAAAAAAAAAAAAACCCCTCGCCAAGCAGCAAGAGCCCAAAAAACAACTCACTGGAGTAGCCACAAGGATTTCAACTCCTTGCTGTAGCACCTTTGACTGCTCGTACTTGCTCTCGCCACCGTAGATGGCAGCGACACGGAGACCGTACACGCGGCCAAACTTTGTCGCTTCGTTGTAGATTTGCTGGCACAGCTCCCGCGTCGGCGCTACAATCACGCCGATGGGCCCCTCGCCGACGTCTAGTTCGTCTTGGTCCATGATGTGCACGAGCATTGGCCACAAGAAAGCGGCCGTCTTGCCAGAGCCGGTTTTGGCAATGCCGATGATATCGCGCCCAGACAAGCCCACGGGAACTGCTTGCGCTTGAATGGGCGTTGGTTGGGTATAGCCATGTTTTGAGATGGCTGCCATGAGCGGGGAATCAAAGCCAAAGTGACCAAAGCTCACACACGGGGACGGCACGTTCGAGCCCGAGACGCGCAGTTGCAATTTACGCCGCAGCGAGTCCACCTCCAGCGGGTCCAGGCCGCTAATGTCGCTGTGCGCTGAGTAAAAGTCCTTTTCAAACTCACGGTACTGGATGGCCCCGTGATCGATTGGAGGCAGGGGGTCGATTTCCTTCTTTCGGACAACAATCGGATTGTCGTCACTGTCATATTCGGTTGGCTCCTCGTCGTCCGAGTTGACTGGGTTGGCGAGCAAGTACTCTTCTCGCTCTCGAAAGTACGACTCTTGGTCGTCCTCATTATCGACGTCCAATCGGAGTGCCTAGGAGGGAAAAGCGCGGGAACAGACGTTAAGTCCATGCAAAACCTCCTCAAACCACCACCACGACCACCACTACCACCACCATTTAGCAAATGCTTACACTCTTGTTGGTTGATGATGTCTTTGCCGCTGCCTTGGCGTTCATATCCGCCATGTACGCTTCCAGTTCGTCGTCCTCATCCTCGTCGTCGGCTTGGTGTGCAGCAGCGTTTGCTCGATCTGTCTCCATCGCCTTGCCATCGCGGCCACCGGCACCGTCTTCAGGATCACTTCCAAACGCTGCATGTGCAGGCGGCCTCCGTCGCGAGTGCTCCGCGCCCTCTTCGCTGTCGAACGCGACAAAGCTCGCTGGAGCCGGTCGCCGGGCTCGAAGCCTGGCCAGCGCGTCCTCGTCATCGTGGTCATTGTCCTCGTCGTCGTCATCGTGATGATGGACTGTTCCAGGGCGGCTCTTGGCAGCCGAGGTGGTCGCTCGGTACGGTTGATCGTCGTCGTCGTCGTCCTCGTCTTGCAATCGTGCGAGCTTGGCGCGACTGGCATTGCTGCTATGATGATTATTATTGGAGGCAGCAGCATCATCGTCGTCGTCGTCGTCGCCAAACACGTTCGGTCGCTTGGCGACAGGAACCGCACGACCAGAGAACATGGTGTGTGACTGGTCTGAGACTGCCAAAAGTGGTGCTTGTGAAATAGATGACTGTCACATTACACTGAAAAGTGATTTGAAAGGTGAATTGAAAGGTGAATTGATTGAGTTGATTGAAACGAGATGGGACCGAAAAAGAAAAAGGATCGAACGGCTGCAATCAATTGCAAGTGATTGACAAGCGCAAACAGGTCACAGTGCGACTGACAGCTCCAGTCCATGTGGCTAAAGTGGAAGAATGCATGAATAAATAATCTGCCTAATCGCAACAAACACATAGGCAAGGGAAAAAAAAAACCGAAGCAAAAACCGTTCAACTGGTCCCACTTGGTCAGGAGACCGGCCGCCACTGAGACATAGCAACAAGCAGGGAGTCGGCATTTGGCGCAGGCGCTGTTGCACTAACGGCAAAACAGGCACCGGGATGTGATGGATCCGGGAAGGTCTGTAATTGCCGAGCGAGATGGCTGGCGGTGGTGGGTCCGATCGCGGCAAACCGAAGCAAATGCAACACGCCAAGCGACTGCACAAGGCTGAGACTTGAGCTCAATGCAGTATCAACGCCTGATGGGCTGAAAAAGACGAACCAGACACCGTCTGCTTGATCGATTCGCTGGTCCAAGGTGGCTCGCAGTCCGGTTTGGAACAAGTCTTGGTTGCCGCTCGTTTGGTAGACGACAATCTCTGACAGAGGAATGCCAGCAGCAGCCAGCGCCTTGGGGATGGCATCGTGTCGCTTTTCACCACAAGGAAACAATAGCGGCAGATTTCGGATTGGCGCTGGTGTGCTTGACAATCCAACGCCTGGTGCCGGTGTGACTGTCGCATTATTAGCAACACCAAACCGTGCAGTGATTGCATGCGCCAAGGCCTCGCCGGTTCCGCTTTCGCTCGCCTGCGCCTCAAAACCGAGCTTGACAATTTCTTGTGCCGTCGCCTCTCCGACCGCCATCCAGACTCGGTCCTTCCATGCTTTGTGGATTGGACTATCCTGGTCTGCGTACACCAAAACATTTTCGACGATCGCCCACACCCAACCCAAGCGAGTGTTCAAGTGAGTTGGCACCTGATTTCTCAGAATCGTAGTCACTGAGACTGAGACTGAGCGCTGTTCCAGACTCACCAGCACCACCACACCGCGCGAGGCTCTCGGCCACAGCCTGGACGGCGCGCTTGCTTGTCAGCACCATTCCAGCATGACTGTCGGGCCTCGCCACGCGCTGATCGAGCTGCTCTGCATTGACGAGCTCGGCCTCGAGCACTGGGACGCACGCGACGACGCAGCCCTCGACTCGCCCGAACGCCTGCTCCACGGCATGACAGCAAGAACGAACAAGCCATGCAGGAACGTGAGTGAACGTGAGTGAAAGTCGGGGGGGGGTGGTGGTCGGAGGACTGCGCACCTCAATGTAAGGATCGCGTCCAACTCGGGCTTCTCGGAGGAGCACAACGACCGGTCGCTTGTCGTGCATTGGGAATTGGGATATGAGAACAAAATTGAATCTTGCTTTGAATGACTGAGAACGGACGGGCTGTTGTGGAAAATGGGAAAACGGTCGAAAAGCTGGAACTTTTGCGACTGAGCTCTGAGTAGTTTTGAATTCAATGCAATGCCGTATTAGCTATATCCGACAAAACAAAAAAAGAGATTCAAACACCCGCATCGTGGGGCAGACTTGCGAGTGTTGAACTTGACCAAACTCAAACTGCACTCAAAACCGAACGATCACCCAAACGGCACGACGTCCGGCTCTCATGATCAAAAACAACATCCACAGCATTCCCATCTGCATTGCGTTGAATCCACAAAACAACAACAACAACAACATCAACATCACAAAACAAAGTGATGCAGTTGATCCAATTTGAATGAATGTCGATTAAGACGTGTCTTCAATGTCTCTGTTGTTTCTTGACTTGTTCTCGTTCATTGTTCTCTCATTTCGTCTCCTCTCCTCGCTCATTGTTCTCTCATTTCTCTCTCTCTCTCATTTCTCTCTCTCTCTATTTCTCTTGTTCGCTCTCTTTTGCTCTTTATTCGTCTCTGCACTTTCCACTCTTCTTTGACGCCTTCTTTTGTTCGCATTCGGCTTTTTACATCCCCGCTTCCCCTTCTCTCTCTCTCTCTCTTCTCTCTTCTCTCTCCCTCTTTCTCTCTCTTCTCTCTTCTCCTCTTCTTCCCTTCATTCTCTCCCTCTTCGCCTTGAATCATCGATTCTACCATCTCGGGGGGAACAACACCATCTCCTTTGTATTTTTCCACTTTTGATTGTTCCACCAATGGTCGTTCACCAGCCAACCTCATCATCATCATCATCATCATCATCATCATCATCATCATCATCACCAACATCACCATCACTCAATCACGCAATAGACGACCAGCAGCCTCATGCAACAGCTGCGTTGAGGCAACGGAGTCGCGGCGGCACAGCATCAGCATCAGTGGCTGAGCATCAGCAAGCGCCGCGACCCATCCTCGCACGTGAGACGAGCGACGACAACGACCACAACCACGACCACGACAACGACCACGACCACGACCGCAGCGCAGTCGCATCAGCAGCAACGGCTGCGTCCGATAAACCCCCTGTCGCTGGAGGAGCCGGAGCCGGAGCACAAGCAGCACCGCAGCTGTCGCGGCCCTCGTCCGAAGCCGCGATGATGGCCCTGCTGCTCAAGGCGCCGCCGACTGCGCAGCTCCCCATGCGCATGGGCACGCTGTTCCTGTGCGGCGTCTTCTTCTCCATCCTGTTTAACGTATTACAGCGGCAGCACCACGTAACACAGTTCCCCGGCGCGTCCAGCAGTAGTGGTGGTGGCTCCACGTCGGCGGCGGCGGCGGCGGCTGCAGCGGCCTTCTCGTCGCCCGTGTCGCAGGCGGCGACAGACCAGTTGTTGGCGCCGTCATTGCAAGTGCTTGGAAGCTGGTCTGCCGCCATCATGTCCTCTGCGTGGTGGGTCCCCGTCGTCTGTGGTCTCGCTGCCATCCTTGTCGGCGTTGCCTTCCCATACGTGGACTATCTGCTTCGTGCGCCCCATGTCTTCAAGCGAGATTGGTCCAGCGTCATGCGATGCGTTGGCGTGTGCATTGGCATCAACTATGCCAGCGCTGTGAGTTTATTTTTTTGTGTGTGTTTGTTGCGTTTCTGGCGACGGTTCATGCTCACTCTTTGTCACCGCCGTTTGTTTTTCGCATACTTGCAGAAACTCCCATTCTCGACCAACGTGCAATTGTCGCTCATGCTCGCTTTGATGGCGATTGCGCTGTGGTGGATGTTTGACCGAACTCTGCGCGGGTTTTTGATGGGCTTGGTTGTTGCTTTGGGCTCGACGTCCGCCATCCAGCTTCTCGTCTTTTTCGGAGCTTTCAAGTAAGTGTCAGCTTCACAGGTTGCTCTCCTTCTCTCGTTCCCACGCAATGAAGACCATTCGAAAAAAAAAAAAAAGAAAAAAAGCTCACTTGGCTTTTTGTTCCGATTCACTCTTTTTTTTGTGACAGTTTCACACAACCTGATTTCTTTTGGGTCCGATCATGGATTCCGTGCATCTTCTTTGCGACTGGAGTCACGTTTGGCTGCATTGGACGACAGCTTGCACACGACGCCAAGCTCGATTATCTGCTCCAAGCCAAAAAGACAGCATGAGTCCTGTCCGTTGTAAAATGTAGATTTGCCCTGTTTTGTTTGTGGTGGTGTTTTTGTTTTGTAATGTATACAGATCCATTTGCTCGCTTTCACCTTGAGCCGCAACAAGTATCACAGTGAAAAAGAGGCGAGCGAAGAGGCAAACGCACACACACAAAAACACTTAAATCATTCGGGTTACTCATCGGCGTTCGCGGCCTCGCGCTCGCGCTGCAGCGCAGCTTGTGAATTTCGGAATGCAGCAAGCTCTGCCTCGTCATCCTCGTCGTCTTGTGCAGTTGCGGGTGCCTGATCAGATTCTGCCTCATCCTGGAAGGCCGGGGGTTGGAAGGCGGGGACCGCAGCGCGACTGCTTGATGCAGCAGAAGCGGCCTGTGGCTCGGGTTGTTGCTGCGGTGGTTGCGGCGCTTGTTGCTGCTTCAACTTGAGCTGATTTTCCTTCCACTTTTGCGCCATCTGGAGCAGCTTGACATTGGGAGCGTTCTCCTTTTCGTCGGGGAACATGTAGTCAAAGTACTCTTCCCAACCGGCGTCGGACTGCAGCAGAGTGTGTGTGCAAAAAGCGAGTGCATTCGATGCAAAAGCGCGTTCAGTGAGTTCATGCAAACCCAACCCACAATGCAAGCAATAAAGCTAGCAACGCATACCCCATCGGCGGCCAACGCTTTCTTGCGCTTCTTGATCTTCATTGGCATCTTGGTCGCCACTTCTGATCGAGTCTCGGCCGAGCCATGCACCGACTCAAAGTCCTTCCAGGCCTCAAGCAGAAGCACTCGTTCCTACAGGTCCACCAGAAGCAGTTAGTAAAAAAGCGCCTTGGATTTTAAACATCCAGCGAATCAAGCTTCCCCTCCCACACACCCACACGCAAACACACGCACCTCTTTTTGATGTTCCTTGCGCAATGCCTTGTCCGCTTCCTGGAAGACCGTACGGGCAGTGGCAGCATTGGTTTCCGATGGGACGGAGATTTCGAATTGCGCAAAGCTAATCCAGACCTGCGAGGCGAGTTGTGAAATGCAGTGTGAACAATCACCAAACAAATGTGATGAGTAATGATCAAACAGGCAGAGAGACGCGACAAACACGGTACTCACCTTGACATGCTGAGTCCGCTGAAGCAAGCGACGATACAGAGCACGGGTGCGGTCGAATTCCCCTTGTTCAGTTTCAAAGTCAATGTAGGCCTTCCAAAGCACCTCGGGCATATCGAGTGAGGGCTGGAGAAAGAGACCAAAGAGACCCAGTGAGACGAGATGGCCAAAAAAAAAAAAAAATCCACGCAACAACGTCAGAGATAACCTGCCCCGCCGAACAAGGCTTACTCTGCTTGTGGCAAGCTCAAAAATATGACGAGCGCGATCAACGTCGTCAAGAACTGCCTCCAGCTCGGCAAATTTGACCCAGGTCGTGCTATTGGTTTCATTGAACTGCAGGAACTTTTCGTAAAGCTTTCGGCAGTTGTCAAACTCGCGCAGTTGCAGTTCAATGTCAATGTAACCCCTGAAGATTTGGTCTTTCGGACACATGCCTATCAAGAGAATTCCAGCCGATTGAGGTGACCACGGAAGATTGAGCAACTACAAAACAACAAACAAACAAACAAACAAACAACAAAAAACAACCATCCAAAAACCACACTGCTTACCAATCGCATTGCCAAGAACCAAACGAGCCGCTTTCAAGTTCTTTTGGCGGAGTTCAAAGCGGGCAAACAGCAACCAAATCTTGGAGAATGTAAAGACCTTGTGTGGAATGAGCTTGATCACGGCGCGGTACACTTCTCGTGTTCGGTCCATGTCCTGCAGAGCGATGGTACCTGGAAAAGTAAGCACAACATGGTTTCTTTTTTGAAATGTGCTCGAGCAACGGCGCGCGCGATTCGGTACCTTTGCATCCAACTCTTCAAACAGAGCATAGTAGATCCAAAGATAAATGTAGCGACGCCACAATCGTTTTTCCTGCGCGGTCAACCAAGAGTGAATACACATGCAACTACACTGGGGCAATTCCTAAAAGCACAGGGGCACATGTCGGCGAAAAAAAAAATCTAACCTGCGCTGGCGGAACGTTGGCGATCGCACGCTCGTAAACATCGCGCGTACGCTCAAGGTCTCCGTTGCTCTCCTCCAAACGAATGTAATCAAACCACGCATCGTAATTCGAAGGGTTGGCTTGGATTTCCTGTGCAATCGCAGCGATTTGAAGGTGAGGAATGGTTATTTTTTTTTCGTTTTTCCTTGTTGAAACCGAGTCTCAACCTCGAATTTCTTACCTCCTCGTACTGGAAACGGCGCTTGCTCAGAATAACATCCTCGATACCACGCTTCTCGCCATGCTTCTTTTCAAATTGCGTGTAGCTGGTCAGGAGGTCTTCGGCTTTGGTCTTTGGCAGACGCTCGAGGGCATACTTGTAAATGACGCGTGCGCGATCGTACTCGCGCTGGCCCTCTTCGAAGCGCGCAAAGGCGGCAAACAGACGCTCGTCCATGAACTCTTCGCCAAAGAAGGCGACGGCGCGCTCAAAGACGCTGCGAGCGAGGTCAATCTCGCCTTGCGACTCTTCAAAGCGCGCGTACTTGATCCAATTCTTGGCGTCGTGGTGCACCCCGACAAAGCGTTCGTAGATGGCACGCGCGTTGGCAACCTCGCCATAGCGCAGCTCCATTTTGATGAACGTGTTCCAGGCCTGCTCCTCTGGCTCCCACGCCATCCAACGCTCAAACACTTGGCGCGCACCCGCAGCATTGCCAAGCATCTCCTCCATGTACGTGTACTTGTACCACAGCTGGTTTGCGCGTGGCAGCAGCGTCGTCGCACGGTCCCAAATGTTGCGCGCATGGTTGACAAAGCGATTGCTCATCTCAAACTCTGCGTACTTGATAAACACGTGGATGGAGCGGGGCTCGGCGTCCAATGCGCGCTCAAACACTGAGCGTGCGCGCTCAAACTCCTTGTGCTGCTCTTCAAACGCAGCGTAGCGCAGCCAGTGCATCGTGTTTCGTCGGTTTTTCTTGAGCAGCTCTTCAAACTCGCGGCGCTTGCGGCCTCTTTTCGTTTATTCAGCGAGTCAAGGGGAATGAGAGGCATGAAAGTGTTAGTATGCAATTGGCATCGTACTGTTTCCTCCCAGCACGTGAGAAACCACGATGATGGTTGCAAACGCAACGAGAGGAAACGAAACGAAACGAGAGGAAACGAAACGAAACGAAACGAAACGACGAGCACTCACTTGAAGGCGTCCAGCTCGGCCGGGTCTGCAATCTTTTGGTGCGGCACCTTGGCATCGACCTCGAACTGGCGCTCCTTGGCCTCGCGGATGATCTGTTCCGCTGTGATCTGGAGCGCGGCGGGCGCCTTGTTCTTGACCTTGGCGACGCGCGGCATTCGCTGCTGCGAGCCCGACGGCGGCGCTGATCCAAACTGGTCTGCCATATCTAGTTTGTGTACTTTGAAATCCGACAATATGGGCTCCCGTGGCGAATCTGTTCCAAGAGCAGAAGGCAGAAGGTGAAGTGAGATCTCGCCTTTGCCAGGGCTGGTCTGACCCTCCCCCCCCCGCCCGCCCGCCGCTCGTAAACCGCTCGCCAGCAGCAAATGTGAGGGAACTCTCGAGAGCGCTTGAGGCTGAACTCAGAGCCGGCTGGACAAAGAGCGGCGGGTCGTCGCAGCGTCGTCGTTCATCCCCCCAACGCACGCTCCATACAAGACGAATCTCTCTTACTCAAAAAGCGCGACTGGACCTCTCCTTATTCCCCCGAATTTGTAATGCTGATAATGCAAAGAATGAGAAAGCACGCGACCAACGTCACAGCCAGCAGCAGTACCGGCGGGATGGCTCGCGATTGATGGAGCGATTGGCTGCTCTCAGACTCTGATCGTTCGTGTGTAGATCTGCATGCTTACACTATCGCCAACTCGTCTGAATTCATTTGTATCGCTCTTTGCCAGAGTTTCAGTCTATATAAACCTGTATTTGCACAAAGCATTGAGCTATGGACAAGGTTTCAATTGTAAGCGCAAATCTCATCGCCATGGACCGTCGCTTCTCGGCAGCGGCTTGTTGGTTTGATTTTCGCTGGAACCCAAAGCTTTCATAAAGTGGGAGGCATGGGAGGCATGGGAAGGGGGGGGGGAAGAGAACGAGATGAGTAGCTATGAAAAGCGCGTTGAGGCGTTCATGCACTCCCACCCTTCGTCCTTTCCTCGCTCTGGCTCGTGTACAAGCAATTCGTGTTCAACACGAGCCCGTCACATTGAAGCAAAGAGGGGGGGGGAAGCGTAAGGCAGAGGGACAACCCCGGGTGCTTTCGCCTGCTCGCTCCATGTGCGCCACTGTGTTCAGCTCTTGTGCTGGAGCTCCCGCGTCTCCAGCAATCGACTCTACGCTCTGCAAGCCAGTTGAGCTCACAATGCTGACAAGCACATCGCCAGACACTCTGGGCAAGCGAAGTGCGATTGAGATGCTCACTCTATTGCGTCCGTTGCTTGTTGTCCTGCAGCTCCGAGTCGGCGACGAGCAAAGCATCGAGAACGCAACAGTGGCCATCAAGGACGAAGATCACACGATTGGCAATGCTCTGCGATACATGCTGATGAAAAAGTAACCGCTCGCTTCCCACGACGATGACTGTCTCAGAGACTTTGATTTTGATCTCACTTACTCCTGCATTTCCGCGGAACGTTCACCCGCAGCCCCGATGTCGAGTTTTGTGGCTATAGCATTCCCCATCCGTCAGAAAACAAGATCCATGTTCGAGTGCAAACCGTTCGTAAGTGTGCTCCTGGTTTGGCATGCGTCATTTTGAGTTTTCCTTGTCTGTGCGCTTTTGTTGACCACCGCTGACCGACTGGTATCTGTTGTGGTGCGTTGCTGCATCTTGTTGTGTGTGTGTGTGTGTTTTGCGTTTCCTTGGCTTGTTCTTGCTCGTCTGCGCCGACGCACGTTGTGCTCAAATTTTTTCAGCTGGCTCGGGCGTTTCGGCAGTTGACGTCGTGCGGAAGGCTCTCGAGCAACTGATTGAAATGTGCTCGCATGTTGCCGGTGTCGTTCAGACCGAGTTTGATTTGCAACCACCTGTTGTGGCAGAGACAGAGGAGATGGTTCAATAACAAGGCTCTGTTTGATTTTTTGTTTCTTGCTGGTTCATTGATGTCTTTCCATTTTGTGTTCTGCATCCTTGCTTTATTGTGAAGCACTCTCCATCATCACTGTGGGATGATGGCAAAAAAAGGGGGGGGGGCGGAGAACAGGGAGCTGACACCGGTCACTTACCAAAGTAGCGGCATGTGGCGGCATTCTCGACCAGACTCTCTACCAAAAGCGTGATCCTTCGAGGCTGTTACCATGCTTGCAGTGCACAGGTACCATGACATCCAACGCGTGCGGTAGCGCTGGGCTGCGACTATTGTAATCCGAACACATTTCGACCATGTCTCATTGAGCTTGAGCTGTCATTTTCTTTTCCTCTTGTTGAGCATGTCATTGAATTGTTGGGGCGCTCATTCACTCTATTTTCTCTCAGTCTTCTTCTTCTTCTTCCTTTTCCTTCTTCCTTCTTCCCCAACACACTTGCCATGACGACTCTGAGCCAAGCAATCAGTTGGACTGCGCACGGTGCGTTTCTGATGCCTCCCTTCCTCCGCTCCTCTCTTCTCTCCTCCTATCGCTCCGCGCTCCCCCCCCCTTTCGAACCTGCCGTTCGCTGCCGCTCTTTCATGAAGGGCGCTCGCTCGCTCGTGGGGTGGCAAGGCAGGGGTCTTTTTGTGGTTTTTCGATGTTCGCGTTGCGGTTTTTGCAATTCAAATCAAAAGAGAGCGCCACGCTCAACCCCCTTCCCCTCTTCGTCGCTCTCTCTCCACTTTGATTGTGCGCGCTTTGGGCTGCTTCAATCAAATCTTAATCCACCTGTTCTCCTCTCGCTCTCGTCTTTTGCTGGTGACGGCAATTGCAAAACACGGGGTCATGGTGTCTGACAGCAGTAATGTCAGCGGTCATCTCGAGTCGAATTTCGCCTTCACGTGCAACTCAACTCAACATCCCTCTCTGTCTCTCTCTGTCTCTCTCTCTGTCTCTCTCTCTCTATTGCGCTCTTCGTTCGCTTCTCTTTCACTTGTAGGCTTGAGCTCAATCTTCAGTCGCTGATCTTTTTGTTTTGTGAGAGGGGGGCGCGGTTGTAAGTTAACGGGACGAGGGGGACTTTTACAAATTGAACACCCGCTTCCGTTGGGACTTTGCACAAAGAGCTCAACTGCACAACCCCAACAACAACAAGCGACAGTCCCCCCCCCCCAAAGACAGCCTCAGACAAGAATGCACGAGAGCGAATTGGGTTTGTTTGTTTGCTTGGGGGGAGGGGGAATCGGAGCGAGCGAGATGGCTGCGCGCGTTGACTTTTTCCTCAATTGTCAACCGATGACACGTCCACACTGTATCGCTGTTCACTCACTCTCACTCACTGTTCACTTTTGGGGGGTTGCATTCGACAGGCTTTGCAAGCTTCTTTTACGTCACGTCGCCGGCAGACGCAGTGGAAGACGTCCACAAGGTGCCAAAGTACCTCGTCCACGCGCTGCCCTTCTTTGCCATTGCCATTGTGATTGAGTTTCTCGTCTCGCTGGGCCACGATCGCAAGAAGCGATACTTCCGCCTGAACGACTCGTTCTCGTCCATCACGGCTGGCATTCTCCAGCAGCTGTCCACCTTCTTTTTGCGCGGCATTGAAATTGCGTCGTACATTTGGGTCTACGACAACTTTAACCTGATCAAGCTCGACTGGAGCGCGCCGTCAACCTACTGGCTGTGCTTCCTCGGCGTTGATCTCGGCTACTACCTCTTCCACCGCTATGCGCACGGTAAGGGCGTGAGCTCCTTTTTTTTTTTTTTTTTTTTTTTTTTTGCACGCGTGTGCAGCGTCTATCGAGTTCGGTTCAACTCATGCTGTTTTTTACTCTTTGTTTTTTCTTGCTCTTGTTGCTGTCAGAAATCAACCTCTTCTGGGCGGCGCATGTCGTGCACCACAGCTCGGAAAACTACAACCTGACCACCGCCTTGCGCCAGTCCGTCTTCCAAACGTACACGTCCTGGTTTTTCTACTTGCCGCTCGCGCTGGCCATCCCGCCATCCATCTTTGCCATCCACCGTCAGTTCGACACGTTGTACCAGTTCTGGATTCACACCGAGCTTGTTGGCTCGCTCGGCCCGCTCGAGTGGATTCTGAACACCCCGTCCCACCACCGCGTTCACCACGGCCGCAACCGCTACTGCATTGACAAGAACTATGCAGGCACGCTCATCATTTGGGACCGTCTCTTTGGCACCTTTGCGTCGGAGGACGAGCCCGTCGTGTACGGTCTTACGCACCCCATCGGCACCTGGGATCCCCTCTGGACGCAGGTCCACCACATTGTTCACATTGCGCAAAAGGTCTACGCCGTGCCTGGCATTGGCAACAAGCTTTCCGCGCTCTTCAAGGGCCCTGGCTGGGTGCCCGGCTCGGAGCGCCTCGGTGACCCGAACGGCATCCCCGACGTCCGCGCCCCTTGGCCGCAGTACGACACGACGCTGCCCTCCTTCCTGTCGCTCTACGTCTGCGCGCATTTTGTGCTCGTCATGATTGGCTTTACCCTGCTGGCGTCCGTCCGCTCCCACCTGCCCGTGCTGTTTGTCAACGGCTTGGCTCTGTATCTGCTGTACTCGCTCACGTCCTTTGGCGCCATGTTTGATCGCAAAAAGTACGCCTTTGCCATGGAGATTTCGCGCATCATCCTGTTCCTGGTGCTCGAGCTCGGATTCTGGTACGGCTACGGCGACGAGTTTGTCTTTTTGTGGTACCGCGATCCCTCCGTTCCCGGCTACGTCCACCGACCGCTCAAGGCTGTGCGCGCCTTTTACATTTTCTCTGGTCTCTGGCTGGTGGGCCGATTCTTCTTCTTTTCGTTCTACGGCCAGCCCGAGGTCGAGGAAAAGCTGCAACAACAACAACAACAACTCGAAAAGCCGCAATCGGCCGAGGCGAGCTCCACCACAGCCGCTACCACTGACAGCAGCGTGTCGAACGATGCCAGTGAGAAGGCGCCCACTCGGCCACACAAGTCTGTGAAGGCAGAGTAGTTCTGATTGAGGGTTTTTTCTTCTTTTGTCGTTCCTGTTGTGCAGCGTTGTTTTTTTTGGTTGTTGGTCTGTCAGGGTGCTGGGTCATCGCTTGTCGTCTTTGTGTATGTGTGTATGTGTGTATGTGTGTGTGGCTTGTGTTTATCATCTTCGAGCCCATCCTGCAATACTTTGTTATTCAATGTACTTTTAGTGGCCGAACAAAAATGGGATCATTCACTCTTTTTTTGTTTTCCCGTTGGGGTTCAGTTAGTGTAAGCTTGAACGTTATTGCAGTTGCGTTTGTCCCCGCTGCTGCTGTCTTTGCTTGAGTCAGTACATTTCTCTTCTAAACGAGTGCGTGGACGAGGCCGTGCGATGCTGCTGCATCTTGATTGCGGCAGGCGAGAGAGTGTGTGTGTGTGTGTGAGAAAGCTCGACGCTTTTGCGTCCACTCCGTTTGCTCGGCTTCTTTCTGTACTTGTTGTTTGCTGCTGGAGCACTTTCGATGTCATTTTGCAATTCCCCCCTTTTGGAGATTGTGTGCATGCGGACGAAGAGAAGCAAGACGCATGGCCAGCCGAGCCCTCCTCGTGTGTTTACTTGCTGGGACACAGTGCTTTGTGTAGTTGTTTTTTTTTTTTTTTACGTCTTTGAAGGGTTTGTCTCAAAACCTTCGCTGGTGTTGCTCTCGTCTCGTTCGCTCTTCGGCAAAGCAACAGACTCGAGTTTCACCGATTGCCTATGGGCTGGAGAGACTGGCCAAGGAGAGAGAGAGCGTTGTGGTGTTGTCGGTGCGGTGCCGCAGTCACAACTTCACCTCCAGCCCACCCCTCACCCCCGCCGCTCCACCAGCCTCTCCCTTTGAAAGCGACCCTGTTACGTTGCTCTCTTCTCGCTGGGTCCACTGCCCCGTCTCGATCTCGCCGTCCTTTGTCGCAAACGGGCTTCGTGAGACTTCGGAACATTCTGATTCGCTGGCTGGCTTCCGATAGCCACGCCCCACTGAAGCCGATCGCGACAGCTACAAACAAGTCGTTGAAGCGATTCCCCGTGAGACCACCAGCATAGTGCGTAACAACCATGCATGACACTGCCCTCCTCGAGCGCTTCAAGCAGAGGCCGACGAGGAGGGCAGCAGTGGTGGCGCGCTGCAAGGTCAAAGGGTCTGGTCGAGAAGGAGGAGGGAACGGAAGTTGGGGGTTTTTTTTTTTGTTTGTTCTTTTTTTGTTGTTTGTTTTTGTGATGCGGCTCCGTTCGTCGGTGGACGTGCTGGTCTTGAGTCTGGGATATGGCAGTTGGATGCCTGGAGTAGCATTCGGCGGCGGGCTGCTTCTTTGTGATTTTTGGAGGGGGGCGTCGTTTCTCCAACCATTTTGGTTTCTTCTTGGCTTACTCATTGTCTGAAACGCGATTGTTCTCGAGTCTTATTATGGTGATTTGTGTGCATGAGTGGCTGAATTTGGGATTGCTGTCGCGATTGGCTGGAAATTGCTTTGGAGCGAGGGATGTTTTCATTGTTTTTTGTTTTTTGTTTGTTTGTTTGTTTGTTTTGTTCATTGCATCGACCATTGCTGACTCGCCCCGACTTGATTTGAGACAGAAAACGGAGCAACATCCACAAGCTATCCACAAATCAAACATTTTCTCCCGTCCAAACAAAGTCACAGAACCAATCCGGGGTTTTTTTTTTTTTTTTTTTTTTTTTTGGATTTCTTGTGGAGTAGTATGGCTGCCGCCCCAGCTGTTGTTGCGCCTTCCCAGTACCATCTCGATTCCAACTTGCACGCAGACTCGGAATCGCACGCCATGCTCAACCTGCGCTCGCCACGATCCTCCAGCACTCGGTCTTCTTCCATTGACTCGACCAGCTCGGCCACGCCTTCGACGCATAGTCTTGCAAGCTCCTCTTCGGAAGCTGCAGTGGACGAGAGCATGCTCTCGTCCGATGGGCCAGACCACAGCGCTGGCTCTGACACCCCTGAGCCGAGCTTTACAATCCCAGCAGATGAACCAAGCTTGACCGCTTCCAATCCCAACAACACCTCCTTGACTGCGCAGAGGCCGGCTCCGTTCAACTCGGCCAACAACAACGCGCAACGCGCGCCACCTGCCACCCTTGGCCATCGAATCTTTGTCGGCGGCATCAACTGGAAGGGTGAAGAGTCCGACCTCCGCGAGTTTTTCGCAAAGCTAGGCACTGTTGTCGAGTGCAAGATTATTGCCGACCGCGTGACAGGCGCCAGCAAGGGATATGGGTTTGTGTCGTTCAGCGACGCTCACACTGCAGAGGCAGTCAAGCAGATGCAAAATCTCGTGTACATGGGAAAACCGCTCCACTTGAGCGACGCTGTGCGCAAACCGAAAGGATTGGACGCCAAGTCCGACGGCTCCGACAAGGGCGCCAGCAGCCGTGGACCCCTCCAGTATGCAAGCCTTCCGCCAACACATCCAAGTGCCCCTTTTGGCGCTCCAGCGGCGACCAAACCGTACGAGACCGTCGGCAGCCTTTCGGCGCAGACGAGCGCCCTGCAGCAGCAGCAGCAACAACTGCAATTGTTACTGCAGCAGCAGCAGCAACTGTTGCAACAACAGCAGCACCAGTTGCAGCAATTTCACGCTGCGTTTGGGTTTGCAAATCAAATGTCCTTCCCGGCCACCTCTGCCCAACTTCCGGTGCAGCCGTTCTCGGCCACCTCGGTTTCTGCATCGGTGCTCCCTGCAGCAGGCGGGGTTCCGATGGCACAAGCGGCTGCAGGCCGATCTGCCGAGCAAGCGTATCTGCAGTACATCAACCACACCGCCGCGGCAGCCGCTGCTGCCCAGCAGCTTCAGTTCCACCAGATGATGTACATGGATCCGGCGCAGCTAGATGGTTACGCCATGCAAATGACACAGCCGCTGCAGCATCAGCAGCCAATGGCGCCGTCACGCCAATCACCAGCACAAGCCACTGGCTCGAGTCGCTCCAATGCTTCGACAGTGGTTGACTCACTATCTTTCCTGGCTGTAGGGCTTGCGTTTCTTTTATTTTTTAAATTTCCACAGGTTGTGTACAAACGTTGAGACTTACACTGTGTGATTTCATTGTTTTTGCTAGAATGACCCGCCAGCGTCCATCCACTCCATTTGAGCGAAACCCGCTGCTGAGCGTCAATGAGTGCGTGGATTGAACGGTGCTGGTGCGCTCTTTGTTGCCCTGTTTTCCGTGAGATGTTTGCAAATACACCTATCAGCTTTATCGAGTTTCTTGTGCAGGAAGAAGGGTACTCGAAGAAACGTTCTGCTGCGCATTCCGTTAGAAGTGAACTTGAGACTGGGTCTGTGGTTGCTTTCTTTCAAAATGCTGTTCAGAGACAGGGAGCGGAGGCGGGGGGGGGGGCGGCAAATGAATGAAAAGCAAGTTGAATGAAAAGCAAGTTGACTTTCAAACGACTGGCCCACTCGCTCTCTCGTGAATGCGTGCAAAATTACCAGCTGAAATCGATAGCTGAGCCATTTTACCAAAAACTTCGACTCTGTGGTTCTATTCTTGTGTTGGACTTGCTTTGTGTCAAACTCACTCCACTTTTGTTGTTTTCATTTTATTTCTCGAATTTCAGGTTGGCTGCCGTTTTGTTGTTCGTCAGTTGATCTATTTGATGCATGCACACAACACGCACACATGCTCAACACACAGTCTGCCACTGTGGTGCGCAGCAAAGCACAGCGAATGGGATGAACGCCGAAACATGGCGATCGAGAAAACGCCCCCATTCGCTTGCCCTCGTTTCTCGATCGCCCGAGGCTCAGGCACCAGCGTTGCCCGCTACAGCAGCTTGATCCAGCTTGCTCCAGCTTGTTTTAGCTTGATTCAGCATGTTCCGGCTTGACCCAGCTTGCGTAGACGTTGGCGATGGTCGAGGGTGCACAGCTGGGTCTGCCACGCAAATTCGCCGAAAGCCGCTGTGTCGCGTAGTCTTGTGGCACGGGCGATGATCAAGACACAAAAGTCTCCCCAAGAGTCAACTGCATCACCCTAGACTGACGGAGGGGAGGTTGAGGATGAGGGGGAGCGGGCGGCGCGTTTCGGCTTACTTCGTTGACGGATCCGAATTGTTGTAGATGGCTACTGCACGCACACCGCAGCAGCGTGAGCTGTTTCAAAAAGCAAAGTCTCCCCAAGAGTCGACTGCACCACCCTGGACTGACGGAGGGGAGGTTGAGGATGAGGGGGAGCGGGCAGCGCGTTTCGGCTTACTTCGTTTGACGGATCCGAATTGTTGTAGATGGCTGATGCACGTACACCGCGGCAGCATGAGCTGTTTCGACTAGCGAAATCTCTCTATTGGGTCAAGTAAGTATTGTTCAAGATCGAGGCGTGGTCGTTGCTGCGCGCTGACTTGTTTGGCGGCGGTTTTTTGGTTTAGAATGTCGAAGCTTGGGATCACCGACGAAGATGCTTTGGTGATTGCCGAGGGTCTCAAGGAGAATAGCATTTTGCAGAGGCTTGAGTAAGGCAGTATCAATAAGGTAGCTCGCGCAAGGCGAGATCTGACATGAATTGTATCAAATAGTTTGTGTGACAACCAGATTGGCGACGCGGGAGCACAGGCGATCGGATCGGCGCTTCGAAACAAGTTGAGCCTGGCGCACCTTGAGTACGTTTGGGTGTTGTCACCGAGACTATTGGTCACGCGGCTCTAACTTGACCGAGGTGATACAGCATGAACGACAACAAGATTAGTGATGCCGGAGCTTGTGCCATCGCTGAAGGCTTGACGACGTCGACTGCGCTGAAGTACTTGAGGTGCTGTGTTCACTCGTTTGAACGTTTGTCGCATCTTCAGCTTTGCTCATGAATGGCTTGTTTCTCTGTTTGTCTGATACAGAATTGACACCAACCAAATCGGCGACGCGGGAGCACAGGCGATCGGATCGGCGCTTCGAAACAAGTTGAGCCTGGCGCACCTTGAGTACGTTTGGGTGCTGTCGCCGAGACTATTGGGCGCGCAACACTAACTTTCCGAGTTGATGCAGCTTGAGCAATAACAAGATTGGTGATGCCGGAGCTCGCGCTATCGCTGAAGGCCTGCAGACCTCGACTGGGCTGCTGTCGCTCAAGTATTGTTGTCGAACGCTTGACCTTTGGTCGCGCCTCCAGCTTCGGTACTGAATGGCTCACTTCTGGTATCTGTCTGAATTAGTATATACGGCAATCAAATTGGGAACGCGGGAGCACAAGCGATTGGATCTTCGTTTCGGAACAAGGCCAACCTGTGCATCCTCGAGTATGTTCTGGTGCTGTCACGAGGGCTATTGGGCGCGCAACACTAACTTTCCGAGTTGATGCAGCTTGCGCAATAACAAGATTGGTGATGCCGGAGCTCGCGCTATCGCTGAAGGCCTGCAGACCTCGACTGGGCTGCTGTCGCTCAAGTATTGTTGTCGAACGCTTGACCTTTGGTCGCGCCTCCAGCTTCGGTAATGAATGGCTCACTTCTGGTATCTGTCTGAATTAGCATGTACGGCAATCAAATTGGGAACGCGGGAGCACAAGCGATTGGATCTTCGTTTCGGAACAAGGCCGCCCTGAAAATACTACAGTACGTTCCGGTGCTGTCACAATGGCTATTTAATCGCCCAGCTCTCACTTGGTGATTTGATATAGATTGGGCAGTAACAAGATTGGTGATGTCGGAGCGCGGGCCATCGCTGCAGGCCTGCGGAAGTCGGCTGCGTTAATTTACTGCTGGTATTCAAGTCGCATGTTTGACCTTCCGTCTGACGTACAACTTTGCTAAAAGTGGATTGCTACTGATGATTGTTTGATTTAGTATGCAGGCCAACCAAATCGGCGACGCGGGAGCACAGGCGATCGGGTTTGCGCTCCGGAACAAGGCCAACCTGTCCGAACTCAGGTATGGTCTAGTGCTGTCCTAGGGACTGTTGGTCGCATATCTCTTACTCGACCACTTGATATAGCTTGGAAGCGAACAAGATTGGCGATGCTGGAGCTTGTGCCATTGCTGAGGGCCTGCAGATGTCGACTTCACTGACTCAGCTCAGGTATTGTGGTCAAACCTTTCGGTTACAAGTACAGCTTTGCTCAAGAATGGCCTTCTTCTGATGATTGTCTGAGTTAGAATGCAAACCAACTATATCGGTGACGCGGGAGCACAGGCCATTGGATATGCGCTTCGAAACAAGGCCAAGCTGTCCGTGCTCTAGTAGGTTCTGGTGTTCTCATTGAGACTGTTGGTCACGCGACACTAACTTGATCGAGTTGATGCAGCTTGAGCGAGAACAGGATTGGCGATGCCGGAGCTCGTGCTGTCGCCGAAGGCTTACATACATCGACGTCGCTGACTGACTTCAAGTATTGTAGTCGCACGTTCTACCTTTGATCGCGTTTCCAGTTTTGCTCAAGAATGGCTTGCTCGTGATGTTCGTCTGAGTTAGGATGCAAGCCAACTATATCGGTAACGCGGGAGCACAGGCGATCGGATCTGCGCTTCGAAAGACAGCTAACCTGTCTTTGCTCAGGTACGTTCTGGTGGTGTCACAGGGGCTATTGGGCACGCGACACTAACTTGTTCGGGTTGAAACAGCTTGACCAACAACAAGATTGGTGACACTGGAGCTAGTGCCATCGCTGAAGGCCTGCAGGCGTCGACTGCGCTGACTCAGCTCGGGTATTGTAGTTGCACTTTGACGTTGGGTCGCATCCCAAGTTTCGCTCAAGTGTGGCTTGCTTCTGATGTTTGTATGGCATAGGATGCACGCCAATCAAATTGGTGACGAGGGAGCACAGGCGATCGGATCTGCGCTTCGAAACAAGCCGAACCTGTCTCTCCTCGAGTATGGTCTGGTGATGTGACGGGGGCTATTGGTCGCACGGCTCTCACTTGTGCAACTTGATGCAGCTTGGCGAAGAACAAGATTGGTGACACTGGCGCTAGTGCCATCGCCGAAGGCCTGCAGGGGTCGACTGCGCTTACCCGTTTCGGGTATTGTAGTTGCAAGTTGGAGCTTCTGTCGCACCTTCGCCTTTGCTCACGAATGGCTTGGAACTGATGCCTATCTGGCCTAGGATGAACAACAATCAAATCGGCAACGTGGGTGCACAGGCGATCGGATCCGCGCTTCGGAACAAGGCAGACCTGGCTATTGTCCAGTACGTTCTGGTGGTTTAAAGTGTCGCTTCGGCGCGCGTCTCTCATGTACCCGTTTTGATACAGCTTGGGCAGCAACAAGATTGGTGACGCTGGAGCTTGTGCCATCGCTGACGGCCTGCGGTCGTCGACTGCATTGCTAGCCCTCGGGTATTGTTTTCGCATGTTTGAAATTTGGTTGCATGTCCAGTTTTGCTCAATAATGGCGTGACACTGATGACCTTCTGAGTTAGGATGCACGCCAATCACATTGGTGACACCGGAGCCCAGGCGATCGGATCTGCACTTCGGAACAAAGCAAACCTTTCTGTACTTCTGTACGTTTTGTAGCTGTCACAGAGGCTATTAGTCACACGGCTCTCACATGATCGATGTGATATAGTATGGGCAGTAACAAGATTGGTGATGCAGGAGCTTGCGCCATCGCCGAAGGCCTGCAGACGTCGACTGCGTTGACTGACTTCAAGTACGGTGGTCGCAAGTTTGGCCTTTGGGTGGCATCTCCAACTTTGCTCAAATTTGACTTGCTGCTGGTGTTTGTATGACACAGGATGCACATCAATCAGATTGGTGACGCGGGAGCACTGGCGATTGAATCGTCGCTTCGGAACAAGCCGCAGCTGGCCATCCTCCAGTATGTTGGTGTGCTGTCGAGTGTCGCTTGGGCGGTTGGGTCTGATTGAGGTCGTCCGATACAGCGGCTTGAGCGAACCAACATTGTGCATCTGTTGAAATCTTACCTTGTACGCGTCCGTGCTTGCAATAGTCTGTCCCGCAACCAGATCTCTGCAAGTGCTGTTCAGCGTCTATCCCAAAGCATTCCCGCAGATTGCGAGTTCTTGTGAGTTGCACTTGTTGTTTGGGTGGGTGTTTGTGAGACTTCATTGTCGTTCTGACTTGCTTCATTTTCCAGGGCGGAAAATCAGAGCATCATTCCCCCGAGTCCAGGCCCCGTCGCACCCACACCCGCTCCGCTATTCAATGCTGCCAGCGCGCCTCTCGCGGCGTCCGATTCGATGGCTCGGCAAGTTGGTCAACAACTCCAATCGCGTCAAGTGGAACCAGCTCAGCCCTCGTCCGCTGCACCCATCAACGCCACCATTCCGCGAGTGTCGTTGCAAGTTCTGTCGCAAGCCACAATGCAGTTTTCAGAGTCCAGGCGCATCGGTGGCGGTGGATTTGGCAGCGTCTACTCTGCTGTCTGGAGCGGTCGGCAAGTTGCGGTCAAACGCTTGGCGGCCAATTCAACCCAAGGCATCGCTCAGTTCGAGTCAGAGCTAGAATCTCTCTCGCGTTTCCATCACCCGAACATTGTCACCATCATGTGCTATGCCCAGGAAGGCAACGAGCGCTGCTTGGTCTACGAGCTGATGGCAAACGGATCTGTTCGCGATCGTCTTGATCGCAAGGGTGGCACGCCTGCATTGAACTGGGCTCAACGCCGAACCATTGCAACCGATATTGCAACCGCCATGCACTTTGTCCAGACTGCCATTCCGCGGCAGCCGCTGTTCCACCTGGATCTCAAAACGAGCAACGTGTTGCTGGATGCTGACTTTCACGCCAAAGTCGCCGATTTTGGGCTGACGCGCTCTGTGCCAGCTCAAGTCGATGAACACAGCTACATTCGTACGCAAACGGTTCAAGGCACACTGCAGTACATCTGCCCGCAGTACCACCAGGAAGGCAAGGTCTCCATCAAAACGGATGTGTACTCGTACGGCATGATTCTGCTTGAGCTTGTTACTGGACAACAGCCCAGCATCGATTTGATGGGTACTGTTCGGCACCAGCTTAAACGGAGCCGTAAAATCGATGCGGTGCTTGACAAGGCAATTGACTGGAGCAGTGAAGCTAAAGAGTCGGCACAGGCCATCGCCGAGCATGCGGCTGATTGTCTCGAACCCGCACGAGTCTATCGACCATCGTTCGGCGAGATCCTGAGACGATTGTCGGGCGAAGAAGCCGGAGCGAACGAGGAAGAGGCTATTGAGCGTGAGTGCTTGATCTGTTGCGACGCCCCGACGAATGCCAAGCTGATGCCGTGCTGCCACGCATGTGTCTGTGTTGCGTGTGCTCGAGTGATGATCCATCGCCACAGCACCTGCCCGATTTGCCGGGTGCGTCTGACGTCTTTCAAGCAGGGCGCATTCAACCAGACCTTTGTTCCGTGAGCTGCTCTAGGTGTTTGATGTTTGAGTGTATGTTGCTTTGCATGTTTAATTCAGGCTGTTTTGGAGCTGCACCAATCTGCCTCGTACTAGTATCAATGAAAATGTATTTCTAACACTCTTGCAAAACCATATGCAGCTGTTTGAAAATGGGCAACTCAGTCCCGTTTCGCTCGTTGCAAAAATGCCAAAAGCGCTGTTGTACAAGAATATGACTCCGAGACAACGCGAGTTGTACGACAAAGTCATGAATGCGCCGAACGAACGCCTCTTGTAAGACATGGCCCGAGTTGATTGGAAACAGTGTGGCTGCCGCGCTTTGTGCTGTGCTGACGAAAGTGGAGGACAGTCTGTACGACAACCAGGTTGGCGTTGACGGAGCACTGGCCATTGCGGAGGCGATCAAAGTGAACACGTCATTGACCGAGCTCAGGTAGAGGCATCTCACTTTGACAGATGCTTAGGCCGGCAGAGGGGACGTTCAGGAGCTCACTCGTGTATGGGGGACGAGGCAGCTTGGTCAAGATTGATCTTGGCGATGCTGGAGCCCGTGCGATCGCTGAAGCAATCAGAGTGAACAGGACGCTGACAGAACTCAAGTAAGCCATCTCGCTGGGACTGGTGCATGCGAGTGGGGGATCACAGCAAAGGGAAGGCAATGTGGCTGGCTCACTGAGACTGGCGGGATGAACTTAGTCTGTCTCGGAATCAGATCGGCCCCGTTGGCGCTCAATCGCTTGCCGCGGCACTCAAAGTGAACAAGAAGGTGGAGGTACTTTTGTAAGTCATCTCACAGTGACGGATGCATCTGAGTTGCAGGGGGGTGATTTCAGCAGCGAGCCGTCAGAGTGCTTACTGCTTCCTGGAATGGGATTGCCAGCCTGGCTGCGAATCAGTTTGGCGATGCTGGATTGCAGGAGATTGCTGAGATGCTTTTCGTGAACAAGACGCTGGAAATGATCTAGTAAGACAGCGTGCCTTGTGATCGGGGCAATCCAGCAGATGGCATTTCAGAGTACTCACTCACAGAGGATGGACAGTCTGCATGAGAATCAAATTGGCGATGCTGGAGCGCCGGCAGTTGCCGAAGCACTCGAAGTGAACAAGACGCTGAAGGAACTCAAGTCCGTTCACTCTCGCTTTGACTGATGCGTGTGAGCTGGATGATTTTCAGCCAGAGTGCTCACTGGCAGAGGATGAACAACAGGCTGAGCGAGAATCACATTGGCGATGCTGGAGCGCAAGCGTTTGGCGAGGCACTCAAAGTGAACTCGACCGTGACAATCGAGTGAGTCGCTTCGCTGTTCTCTCGTCTCTCTGGATCAATGAAACCGCGTTATTTTGCCTCTCATGCTCACCCACTCGGCGACAGTCTATCGAATAACTGCATTGGCAAGGCAGGTGCTCGAGCCATGGCTGACGCACGCAAAGTCAATCCTACGCGGCTGACACCACAGTAGGTTTCATGTTCTTTCCAATGAGAGCCGTTGATGCATGCAGTGTTCCTTCAACCGATGGAGGGGTATTTATGACTGATTGCTCTCTCCCTCCCTCTCTCTCTCTCTCTCTCTCTCTCTCTCTCTCTCTCTCTTCTCCTTGTTCGTGACACCCAGCATGGGCAGCCAGATCAACCCTCTGGCATTCGCCTTGCTTCCACGATTAGCAAGTGCTGATGACATTCAGGCCGTGTTCCACTTGCTGACCAGCAGGCATGAGGTGGAAGCGACAGCTTACTCGGCGCCGCGTCGTGGATCGACCGGGCGCGGTAAACCGCGCAAGCTGTCCGCACCAAAAGGTCCTACAACCCCACCCGAGCCCGCGGTCCTACCGGCGCTACCAGCCGAGATTGCCGAGTGCATTATGCACGAAGCGTACTACTGGCCAGCCGTGCAGCACACCAAGCGAATGCAGTTCAACGAAGATGGCCCGGCGGATGTTCTGCAAGTCACAGTGCCTGGAGACAGTGTTGGGGATTCGGCCCGTCGTGTGAAAGCCATTCAAGTGCTCCGTGGCTGGCGCCATCCTCCCGCTGACACAAGTCCGCTCGTGTTTGATTTGGTTGTCCGAGACGAGCGCGGTGCTGTTCGGTACGAGGGTGCTGCAAAGCCAGAGTTTCTCGATTCGACCGTTCAGCGGGTGACGATCGTGCCAGCGACTCATCCAATCATGCGACAAATGCGCGATGGCTGGAAGGTTCAAGTTCGACGCAGCAAGGCTGTCATTGGCGTGGTATTTGAGCACTTGTATCTTGGCTATGTTTAAATTTGTGGGCATCTTTGCCAATCGCCCTGCGTCTTTCGAATCAATTCAAATGCTTCCAATAAATGGTCAGGGGAAAGCGTTTACGCCTCAACCTTTCAATGCCATAGCCAAAACAGCACAGCCTGGAACGGACAAGGAAAAAGAGCAACCGCGAAAAAAAAAAACGAAATAGAAAAAAACCAAGTCATGAGCATCCAGATGCGGCCGCGCACCACACAAAGACGCTGCTCCGCACAGCTGTGGCGTGTATGTGAATCCAGTCTCCAGCACGACTGGACTTGCACCGACCGAGCGATCTGCCCCTTGTCATCTGTGGAAACATAAAGAGAAACGAAAGGCGGCTGAAATCCATCCATTTTCCCGCCAAAATTACAAAAAGCCCGCGCAAATTCGACCACAGCCAAATGCTCTTCCTCGCGCTTTCAGATGGGACCAAGTGACTACTGCGATTCTATGCACGTTCTCACACCACATAACCATCGCACAGCATGTTTGAAAAAATCCTTTCGAAAAGTAAGGGTTGGTGTTGAATGAACACCAGAAAAAAGTTTTTGTTTTTTATGTTAAAGAAAAAGAGTCGGGAGTAGACCCAGCAGCAGCGCTTCGGACGACCAGGTTTTACTTGGCGCCGGAGGTGTACTTGGTGACGGCCTTGGTGCCCTCAGAGACGGCGTGCTTGGCAAGTTCGCCGGGGAGGAGGAGACGGACGGCAGTCTGGATCTCGCGAGACGAGATGGTCGAGCGGTTGTTGAAGTGGGCCAGACGGGACGCCTCGCCAGCAATGCGCTCGAAGATGTCGTTGACGAACGAGTTCATGATGTTCATGGCGCGGTTGGAGATGCCGGTGTCGGCGTGGACTTGGCGGAGGACCTTGTAGATGTAGATGCCGTACGATTCCTTGCGGCGCTTCTTCTTCTTCTTGTCCTTGTCGGCGCCAGAGGCAGCCTTGGCAGCGGCCTTGCCGGCACGCTTCTCACCCTTCTTTGCGACCTTCGGCGGCATTGTAAGTTAAAATGTAGGAGTGAACTCGAATCCAAATCGGGGAGCCCGCCTTTTAAATTGCGCGGGAAAAAACAGCAAAAAACAACCCAAACGAAAATTTTGGCGCGAAAAACTCGAAAAACCAAAAAAACTCGAAAAGCCAAAAACAAAAAAAAAAACTACAAAAACTCAACAATATTTGTCGACCAATGAAAAAATTGAATGAGCGAATAATTTTTCCATTGGCTGGAAATGAAAGAGTGCAAAACTCAATCCAGTTGTCCGCTTTAGGACGAGAGGAACTTTTTGGCGGGAAAAACGAAGGGAGGAGACAGAAAAAAAAAACCATTGAAATGCTCGCTCGAATGTTCATCCGTTTTTCCCAACCCCAACCTCTGCGATGCAATCACCGCACTCAAATGAACTTCTTCTTGCTTGGCATTTTCGTATTAAAATATTGGAATACAATGATTTTTGATTTAGCTGCAATTTGGCAGCATTTTCACGTTGATCGAGTGATGGATTTGGCGCCAAACTCATTCAAATCTAGTAGCTGACAGCGTTTTCTTCACTTTTTTTTTTTCTCTCTGTTTCGTTCTTTTTTTTTTCCCCCCTCTCCTCGCAATGTCGACTACTGCCGCAGCTGCTGCCCCTCCGGCGCCCAAGGCCAACAAGCCCAAGAAGGTCCCGATCCACCCGCCGTACAACGTGATGGTGCTCGAGGCGATCAAGGAGCTCGGCGACCGCTCTGGCTCGTCGCGCCAAGCCATCTCCAAGTTCATCTCGGACAAGTACCCGTCCACCGCGGACACCATCAACCACCAGCTCCCTGCTGCCCTCACCCGTCTTGCTGACGCTGCGACCATCAGCCGTGTCTCGGGCATTGGCGCCACCGGCTCGTTCCGCGCCTCCAAGACCGCTGCTGGTGCCGCCAAGGCTGTGAAGGCTGCCAAGGCTGCCAAGGCCGCTGGTGCCAAGACCGCCAAGGCTCCCAAGGCTCCCAAGGCTCCCAAGGCTCCCAAGGCGCCGAAGGATGCCGCCGCAGCGAAGGTGGCCAAGGCGCCCAAGGCTTCCAAGGCCGCGGACGCTGCCAAGCTTCCCAAGGCTCCCAAGGCCCCCAAGACCGACAAGCCCGCCAAGGCTCCCAAGAAGGAGGGCAAGGCTGCTGCCAAGACGAGCAACGCTGCTATCGCTGCCAAGAAGAAGGCTGTGAAGGCTGTTACCCCCGCCAATCCCGCCGTCGCTGCCGCTGCCCTCGCTGCTGCCGCCGCGTTGCCCAAGGCTGCCAAAGCTCCCAAGGCTGCCAAGGCACCCAAGGCCGAGAAGCCTGCTAAGGCTGCCAAGGCCCCCAAGGCCGACAAGCCTGCTAAGGCTGCCAAGGCTCCCAAGGCTGCCAAGGCCGAGAAGCCCGCCAAGGCCCCCAAGGCTCCGAAGGCCGAGAAGCCTGCCAAGGCTCCCAAGGCTGCCAAGGCCGAGAAGCCCGCCAAGGCTCCCAAGGCTGAGAAGCCTGCCAAGGCTCCTAAGGCCGACAAGCCTGCTAAAGCTGCCAAAGCCCCCAAGGCCGACAAGCCCGCCAAGATTGCCAAGGCGCCCAAGGCCGACAAGCCCAAGCCGGCTGCCAAGGAGGTCAAGCCCAAGGCCGCCACTGCCAAGCCGAAGGCTGCTGCTGCCCCCAAGCCCAAGGCCAAGTAAAAGTGATGGATTGAAAGTCGCTGGCCCTTCGCCGGGTTGCTCTCTTTCCATCTCTTTCTTTGCCTTCCTTTCTTTCCTCTTTCTTTCAAAAACTAAACAAACTCTCAGGTGTTTTTTCAACACCTACATCAACATTGCTTGAAGTTTTTTTTTTCTCTCTTTTGCTGGCGAACGTTGCTTGTTGCTGCTTTGGTCACGGACGCTCGACGTTGACGCACTTGTTGGCTGTTGGTTGTTGGTTTGGTTTTGGTTTTGGTTTTGGTTTTGCTTTTGCTTTTGGTTTGCTTTTGCTTTTGGTTTGCTTTTGAATTGGTATTGGTTGAGATCAAGTGCACGCGCGGATTTCCAGTCGCTCGTAAGGCCCACGTCTGATGTATGTGCAGCTTCATGTCACCTTTCTGTCGATCGTTGTGTTTGTCTCGATGCCGCTGCAAAATCCGCAAAAACAACTTGGGTGTGCTCAACAAGACTGTGACTCGTTTCGCATTTCCCTCCCCCCCCGAACGCATGCATGCTTTTCACAGGTTGTCGACTGTAGTTGCTGTGTGGTTTCAAACCGTGAACGATTAGAGAAAGTTGCAACAGTGTCTTTTGTGAGTTTGAACTCTTAGGCTGAAATCATCACCTTTTCACTACCCTCGACAACAATCCCGACCCGACACTGTGCAATGCTAGAGCTTGCGACTGGTTTTACAGTGAGCTGGTTTATTTCGAATGCTTGCTGAGTAGCAGAGGTAATACTACACGAGTTGTTCAATTGTGACCGTTCATTTTTGACATTTCACAGCCAGCAACAACAACCTCCAGCTCCTGTGCTATCGATACATCAGCAACAGCAAAGCACGAGACAGGCAAGCACATGTTGTACAATAATCCAGACCTCCACGAACGTAGACGAATGGTAGGTGTGTTGCGGCTTTTTTGCGACCAACAGTCGCCATCGCACACCTAACTTGCACGCAGAGCATTTCTACTCTCTATCATGAACTACACTATGTACCGCACTCGATGCGCATCATCGTTATGAGCTGCTGAGCTGTCACAGTGCATCGCCAACAAACAACGCCGCCATGCGCATTTTCAACCACATGAACGCAACGACAACTAACGCAACTAACGCAGCAACAACTAGCGCAGCAACAAACAAGAAAAAAAAATCCTTTCGAAATGTGGGTGTTGGTGTTAAAAACACCAGTAAAATTTTTGTTTTTGGGTTAAAATCTGAGAAAGAGGAAAGCGTCAAAGAGAAAAAAGGACAGGCTCTTTAAGCACGCTCGCCACGGATGCGGCGGGCAAGCTGGATGTCCTTGGGCATGATGGTGACACGGCGAGCGTGGATGGCGCAGAGGTTGGTGTCCTCGAACAGGCCGACGAGGTAAGCCTCAGCAGACTCCTGGAGGGCGGAGATGGCCGACGACTGGAAGCGGAGGTCGGTCTTGAAGTCCTGAGCAATCTCGCGAACGAGGCGCTGGAAGGGGAGCTTGCGGATGAGCAGCTCGGTCGACTTCTGGTAGCGACGGATCTCGCGGAGGGCGACGGTGCCGGGGCGGTAGCGGTGGGGCTTCTTGACACCGCCAGTGGCGGGCGCGGTCTTGCGCGCGGCCTTGGTGGCGAGCTGCTTGCGGGGGGCCTTGCCACCGGTGGACTTGCGTGCGGTCTGCTTAGTACGAGCCATTGTAGACTTGTGGAGATTTACAAAATGTAGAGTGAACTGATTCCAAACGCGGAATGGCGGCTTTTGAGAAAGAAAAAAGTGGCCAATTTTGATGTTTTTGCGCGCCATTTTGTTTTTCGGTTTGTTTGTTTTCTGGTTTTTCATTGTTTTTCAATGGTTTTTCAATGGTTTTTTCAATGGTTTTGGTTTTTTTCGTTCACACTCCATCCAATTTTGGAAGAGTGGATTGAAATGGAGGCACTTTTGGCGCCAAAACACCAGAACCGCGTTTTCGTCGAGCAAGTTTCAATCCTGCATTGCTCGTTTCGCCCCTTCACGCCCCTCTCTGCGGGCCACTCCACCCCACAGAGCACGTCAAATCGCCCATGTCGCGCACTCCTCGAGGAGCGGTGGTGAGCAGCCAAGCGCAACAGGCAGAACCGAGCAGAAGTGGATTGAGTTTGCGTTTTTCGCGCCAAAAAACACTGCTCGTTTTTTGTTTTTTGAGTTTTTGAGTTTTTTTTTTTTTTCAATCTCAATCTCAATCCAAAAAAAAAATCAATCCAACAAAAAATAATAAAATCACAACAATAATAAAAAACCGCGCGCTTCCATTTCCAGCGCGGGTTTAAAAAGCTCGTCATTCCCAATTTGGCACCGCTTCACTCCTCACTTTTTCAACCAAAAAACTCCAATGTCTGGTCGTGGCAAGAAGGGCGCCGAGACGGCTTCGTCCGCCGCCGCCAACAAGAAGCAGAAGACGCGCTCGACGCGCGCGGGCCTGCAGTTCCCTGTCGGTCGCATCCACCGCATGCTCCGCAAGGGCTCGTACGCTGAGCGCGTCGGCGCTGGTGCCCCCGTGTACCTCGCTGCCGTCCTCGAGTACCTCGCTGCCGAAATCCTCGAGCTTGCTGGCAACGCTGCCCGCGACAACAAGAAGACGCGCATCAACCCCCGTCACCTCCAGCTCGCCATCCGCAACGATGAGGAGCTCAACAAGCTGCTCGCCGGCGTCACCATCGCCCAGGGTGGTGTCCTCCCCAACATCCACACCGTCCTCCTCCCCAAGGGCGAGTCCGAGACTGACGCTGCCCCCGTCAAGAAGGTCAAGAGCGGCAAGTCCGAGTAAAGACCGTTTCTGAGCAACTTTTTTTCCTTTTTTTTTCCTTTCTTATTATTTCTGGTGTCCATTCGACACCACCCTACACATTTCAAGGAATTACTTTCGACGAACATTGCTGCGGCAATTTGTAGATTGGCAATTGAGCATGCATGATGGGCTGAGCTTGAGCGTTCGCCCAAACATACAGAGCCTGAGACACCACTAGTGAAGCACACCGCAAGGAGATTTGTGCACTAGAGGATACAATGTAGGGAAGCTAAGAACATGGTCGCTTTCGCACATACTTTGTCCAACAACAACAACACACACACAAATGTTAGACTCCAACAACCAAGTAGTCTTGCTGAACCGCTTGTGCAGTCGGCTTTGCGGCATCGGCGAGACCAGAATCACGAATCTTGGATGAAACATCCCCTAGCAAATTCTGGAGCTCGGGCAGGTTGAGTCGAGCGATATTTCGTGTCATTGGTTGGAGAGTCTTGAAAACGTCGCGATATCGCTGCACCATCGTATCCTCCGCGGACTGTGCTGGCGCCGGCGCGGTGGCCAGGTGCACTGCCCCAGACACCATGAAGAACACAGTCCCTGCGACCAGCAGGATGATGGCCAAGCGCACATAAAACGTGATGGATCCGAGAGGTCGCAGATTAATCACCGGGCCGGTCGCAGTGGGAGAGCGCAAAAAGGTCCATTCTTGTGGAACCTGAAGTAAAGAGTCACCACAATTAGATGCCAACAACAAAAAAATTCCTCGAGGGGAGCGGGCAAGAGTCCAACAGAATCATACCTTGGCATCAATCCATTCGGACAAGCGCACCAGCCACCGCACAAGCACTGCAATTTCGAACTCGCGGATGGGTTGACGGATGTCATCGTAGCTGGAAAGCTGTGTGCACAGAAATAAAGTCAAAAGACATGGCACACCTGGTTTGACAACCACACTTTTACACGTACCGGTTTGACGCGCGTAATCACAGGAGTGTCGGCGTCGTCCTCTGGCATTTCTGAGTGGACCTCGGTAAGCTGTGATTGAGAGGCACAGCAGTACGCAATGAGTTGGGTCCTCTGGCTTCTCAACTCGTCAGACTCACACACGCAACCAATCACAACTCACATCGAAAAATTGCTCCAAAAACACGAGCGTAGCGTCGGCCATGTCGAGCGACCGCTCCTCGGTGCCGGATTTTCCCTTAGAGAACACCGGAGAGAACATCCGGGCATACAAGCCTCGCATTGTGCGACTCAGAGCACCCACGACAGGCACGGCCTCCACGGCCGACGGGTCGACTCCGAGTAACCGCTTGGACTTTGAGGGGTGGGCGATCGCTGCGAGCTTGCGGTGCGTCGTCCACGACTGCTCAAGCACAATGCCGAGTGCAGTAAACACGTCGGCAGTGTGATGAGCATCAATAAGCATGGGGAAGTAGGTAAACTGAGGAGGCGAGGTGGCAGAAGCAAATACCAACGACTCGATGCGATCTCGCAGCTGTCGTCCAAGCTCGAGCTGGTGCTGCTCTTGCTGCTGAAGCACGAAGGCACCAAAGCGTGCGCCACCCATGACAGAGCTACGATGGTTGCCACGAACGGGCGAGTTTTGGCGGGAAGCAAAGGACAGGTTGGTGACGTCGGGCGATCGCAAAGCCGAATCGTCCTGTGTCACGTCCTCGTCTACGCCAGCTTTGCGGAAGCGAGGAGGAAGCCGCCAAGAGGTGAGGCCTCGCCGGGTGGCCCCGGGGCTACTCAGAGACGACGACGAGAATGCCAGTCCCGACGATGATGATGATGATGAGAATGATGATGCAGCAACGACCAGTCCGCGAGTTGCCGTCCGCGAGACAGAGTCCAAGAGCGGAACCAGCGTTTGCTCGGCGTCAAGAATCCACTTGCTGAGGCCAGTGGTGGCGAACGCGCGTGCATAAATGTAGAGATAGCGCAGCTCGTTTGTTTGCGAAAGGGGCTTGAAATGGGTCGCACGCTGCAAAAAGATAAAGCTCAGATCCGTGTAGAAGAGGTAGTGGTCTTCCACAAACCGGTGCCAAATCGCTGCTTGAGGGGATTGGGTGAGATCAAACAAGAGAGCGTTCCCCGACTCCTTCTCCTCGACTGCCGCTGCAGAACCCCACGGTTGGATGAAGGCCAGCCAAAGCTTGACAGCGGTGAAGAACAGGCTATCCACGGGGGAACGTGTCACGAGCAGAATGAAGCGAACAAAGTGGAACAGAGGCGCCGCAAGGAGTTGCATTGTGAGCGGCGCAAGCTCGGCGTGCTGCGCTGCATGGGAGGGCAAGTTGGACCGGCGGGGGAGAAACACGCACGTGCCGCTAGATTCGGTGCTCCAATAGCTGGCACCGCAGTTCGATGCAAACCGAAAGGCAAGAATGTGCTTGGTGACGAGGTAGAGGCATTGAGTCTGGAACCACGCCGGTGCCGCGTGTTGGAGTTCGGCCGAGTTGGACGCGTACGGCTTGCGGATGCCGACAAGCGGGGAGCCCGGTGCCGCGTGGAGATCGCTGCAACTCGCAGCCAAGTCATCGGTGAACGAGGACATGCCGAGAGACAGGCGATCGTACCGTTGGTCGCGCAGCCAATGGATCAAAACCACGCGCACAAACATTTCGGATAATGCCAACGTCGGATGGTGTCGTAGTGAAGGAGCGTCGGTACTGTTGTTGGGGTCGCTTTCCGCGCCAAATCCAAAGGACGACAGGAAACCAGATTTGAGGCTGCTGCTGCTGCTGTTGCTGTTACTTTGATCATCCGTGCTCTCGCGCTCGTCGGCTGCTGTTGCCGCCGCTGCTGCTGAATTTTTGATTGGCAAAAAATACTCGAGATAGTCGCACACCAAACTTTGAAAAGCACCCCGACTCTCCTGCCGACTGCTGCCACTCTTTTGGTTGCCAAAGTACTCGCGCTTCGCCGAGCGGTTCTCAAGCACGCAGGAAGCAAAGCAGCACATGTAATACTCGAGCACACCAAGCGACACGCGCTGTGTTGTGCAAAAGAGGGTTGTGTTCGAGCTTGCCAGCGGCGACTTGTCCCCACTCGCGGAGGCGTCTGAACCGAGTCGGCCAGTAGCAGCAGCGCCTAGTTGGATGTTCATTGCTCGAGAACCGCGTTGTCCGAGCGGTAATGCAGACAGTGGCGCGCCAGGCGCGTTTCCTCCCGCCGTCGAAGCAGCGCCGGATCCCGTCACATTGACATCCCAAGGGAATGTGTAATAGTCGACCGTCGTTGCCGCGCTGTCGGACTTGACAGTGGCCGACCTCGATTGCTGGGTGGAGCTGGTGTCTGCCATTTGAAGTCCTCGCGGCAGGAGGGCGCGTGCGAGGTCAATGCGAACGAAATCGTCAGCCTGCAGCCGGCGCATGAGCTCGAACAGCTTGCCTCGCACACAGAGCAAGCTCTCGAGCGCCTGGCGATCCTCCTTTTTCGAAATGCCATGGATCCAGTCCTGGAAGACGGCGCGCAGCAGCAACGGGAGCATCTGCGCAAAAGCTTGAAAGTCGTCGCTTGTGCGCAGGTGCTCGAGCTGCTTGTTCACCTGGGTGCAGCGGTCCTCGATCGTGACGGGCTTTGTCATTGCATCAAGCAGCGCGTCTTGCACTCTTGAGACCGATCCGGCAGACGCTGCGCGCTTGGTTGACGGGACACGCGTGGCGGCTCCAGCAGAGCCAGGCACGCCCGGTTGTCCGTCCGCTTGGCTGAACCCGGTGACTCCGAATCCACCTCGCATGGAACCTGCAGGCGAAACGCCGCCGCCCGAGAGCAGATGCGACGCGGGAAGCGGGGACGAAGCTGAGCTGCGTGCTGCAGGGCTCATGCTCCCTTTGCTGCTGCTCCCGCTGCTGCTGCTGCTGCTGCTGCTGCTTCCGGCTCTGTCCTGTGCTGCACTGCTGCTGCTGCTGGGCTGCTCGGCGAAGGTGACGCGTCGCGGCGACTGGAATGGAGGGGAGGCTGGTGAGCCCACTCCGCCATGCAACGACATTGAATGGATCAAAAAAAATATAAAAAAAAAAAAAAGGAACTGTTTTGTGCTGGTTTTGTCCATTTTGTAGTCTAGTGAAGCAAGGCGAAGGAAGCAGAGGATCGGAGCATCAACAAAAAAATGTCACTTTTAGTACATGAATTGGGGAATAAAAAAACGTGGAATCGAAACAGTAAGGAAAAGGAAAATCAAACAAAATTACAAAGCTTTGACAAAAAAATGCTTAACAATTGAGCTGCAGCTCGGTGGTTGAATGGGACATGCTCAATACGCCAACGGAAATGGAAAGCGGCTATATCAATCGCCGTGCTGTACCCAGCGCCGAGTAGCCAATGGCTCCCAGCATACAGAAAACTGCCAACGGGAAGAAAATGCTCGACCACTGCCCCGTTGTCTCGAGAAGATGGCCGGTGAGAGTCACAAACACCACACCAGAGAAGGCCGACAGCGAGTTGATGATGCCTGTGATTGACATGTTTTTTTTCGAAGGTGAGTGCGAGCGTCTCGCTACAAAACATCCCAGCCTGAATTCTGCTGTTGTTTTTCTCACCAAAGAGTGCACCGGCGTGTGCAGGCGCAATGTCTTGGGGGTTTGACATGGTGCCTGAGGTGGAAAAGCCGCCACATCCCAGGACGAGACACATCAAAATGAGCGCCATCGACGGGGACTCGACGTGACACAGCGCCAACAAGCACACGGCTGGGCCCACAAGAGAAATGCCCTACACATGTGATGCAGACCAAGACCAAGCAAGCAGCAAGGGGTTTATGGTGAGGGTACGAGATCAAGCCCGAGGGAAAAAAAAAAACAATGGCCAACAAGCTGTCGTACCTGCATGGTTTTTCGCACGCGTGTCAAATCCCAGTGTCGGTGGAGGAGATACTGTGCCACGCGACCTGAAGCCAACGTGCACAGAAATACGCACGCCCAGGGCAACGCATTGTCGACCACAGACAGCGAATGGTGGACGGGAGAGTTGCTTGAAGCATGTCGGTGCGCCTTGGTCGCAGCAGCCGCTTTCAGGTCTGAAAAGTAAGTTGGGAGCCATGTTACAAGCACAAAAGTGAAGGCGCCGCAGCACATATGGGCCAGCAGCATGACCCTGCAGACGCGTGGCAAGCAGAAACAGGAGCAGAAGATGAGCGAACAGAGAACAATCCAAACGATTGCCTCAGCTCGAGTGCGAGACGCAGCACATGGCGCTGCTCGACTCGACAGCTGAAAAAAGAACTCGACAGGGAAGGAAAGGCTGCAGCGAATCAACAACAGCAACAACATACCAAGTGGCGGGAAACGCGAACGCTTGGTACACGAACGTTTGCTTTGTTGAAGACGCCTGTCCGCTAGACAAAGCGGAGGCCGGAAGCGCAACCACATGGTCTGCATTCGCCCCGTGCGAGGTAACCGCGATCGATAAATCAGCGCTGGGGTTGTTTGACGCGCCGAGGTCGAGGGTGCTGTGGCTGGGTTTGATGGGACTGTCAGTCACCGCTTGCCAGATGAGTCCACGCCACAGCAACCCGATGCCACCGACAAGGTAGAATGCAATCTGCCACGAGAGCTTGTCAATCATCAGCGTGCCAAGTGTGCCGCAGACGAGTGTTCCGATGTACGCGCCCGAGCACGCAATTGAAGTTGCAGCCTCCCTGGAGCGACCAACGAAAGAATGACCGACGAAAACAACGCAAGACACAACGGTTCCAAGAAGACCACGACATTGTTGATGAGTATCAGACGAGACACTGTTGATCGATTCTGAACGAATTCGAAAAAAAAAAAAAAAAAACTCGAACAGAAATTTCGCCTCAGAAGCATCGAAAACCGACAACACAAACCAAAAAGTCACTCTGCTCTCTGACGGATTCAAGGACGTACCGCTCGGCAGCAGCGACATCGTGAGACAGAATCCGCATCATGGACGGGTAGTGGAAGCCCTGGAAGCAGCCTGTGAGGAAGCGCGTCACAACAACCGCAAGTGTTCCATACGGCGCTACAACCGGAATGGCCACCGTCGTGAGCAGCCAGAACAGCGCGGCCAGGCCAAGCACACGGACACCGCCGTAGCGATCTGCAAGGGTGCCGCCGACCGCCTGGGTGAGCGTGTACCCTGCAAAGAAGGAGGACAGCACGACGCCCGAAACGGACTTGTCCCAGCCGAGCTCGTCGTGCATCGGAACCATGGCCAGCGACATGATCGACCTCGACGCGTACAGGCAGGCACCGCCAATGCACAAAGCGAGTGCGACCCGCATCTCAGCCCGACTGCAGACGTTTTGGTTTGAGGTTTTCTGGCGAGGATGTAGAATGAATGAAAGAGTGAATGAATGAATGCAAATTCGCTCGCTTTCAAAAACTAAATTCGACAACAATGGTTTGTCGCAATGCCCCTTTTTGTGGAGGTCGTGGAGTTGTCGAGCCCACCAAAATGTTGAAACAGAGTTGGTGTGTCCTCAATCTGTCACCTATTCAAGCTTTTGCCCAACCTTGTTCAATTGTGGATGCCGTCTAAGTTGACAGAGGAATTGGCTCTCGGGCCGACTTACCACGATTAAAAACCCTTCGGGTTTTCAACTACCGGTAATTCCCTCTTAAGCGAGCGTTCGAACGCCGCCATCCGCAACAACCCTCTTTTTTTTTTTTTTGTCGTTTTTTTTTTTTTTGCTTTGCCTCCCGCTCGTCTTCGTTCACTGCTCTGACCAATCACCTGACACTGGCATTTTGCCACACAACAACAATCATGCAATCGCGCTGGACAAGCTTTTGCACCAGCAGCAGCAGCACCGCGTTGCTTTTTTGCAGTCACTTCAACTTTTGTCTCGGAGCTTTTCCCGCCACTTTCTTCGATCACACTTTTGCGTTGGAATTTTCTGCCGATGCAGGATCCGTTCGAAGGACCGCAAGAGCATGCATGGCTCTCAGATTGCGCTCGGGCGGAGCTATTTGCACCGTCGTTTCTTGCTCGGCTCAATGCCTGTGAGATGGCTTTTGAAGACCGACAGTTGTACCTGAGTGGACCTCTTCGAGCTTTTGCCGAGTTTTCGTTGGCAGTGATCGAGCACATTATTTGCTTTGTCTCAAGTGCGTCAAAACCTCTGGATATCGATAATCCTCAAGTCTTCACCGCGTCACCTTCGCCTGGGGGCACTATGCCATCGGTTCAGCTCATTCGCGACCTCCGACGCGACCTTCTTTTTACAGTTCGCACGTACGTCCGTATCAGAGCACGGCGCCATATTGCTGCGCTGCTTCGATTGCTTGCCGCCTTTTTGGCAGACCCATTCTCCACGACCGAACGACCGCCGCCGTTCAACCAGCTCAAGCCCGACTTTATCGACAAGCTCCATCAACGCACTTTGCGCGATATTTTCCTGTTCCACGAGGTGCAGTGCGACTTTCGGACCGACCCGAGCCTCGAGCTTGGTCGCCTCTCCCTCGAGGCTGATTTGCGCCAGGTGGCTTTCTTTTGGTCGTTCGATCGAATACACCAGCACATTTGGGTCGGGGGAGCCTTGACAAGAGAAGACTTTGACCAGTTTGCGGCAGAGCGCTTTCCCCAGTTTCGCGAAATTCTTACCTACAAGCAATCCAAACCTTTCAACTTTGAGTGCGGTTGTGGTGAAGCAAATCGCAGGTCGTGCTCCTGAGACTCTTGCTTGTGCTGTGTGCCGGCAACACGCATCCTTTCGAAATGACGAGAACCGGCGCGATGAGCGAGAAGACCCTTCTGTGAGTGTTCCTCCTTTCCGTGATCTTGAGCTGTAGAAGAGTTTCTCCCTCTTCAATAAAAGTATTGGGTGCAGGAAAAAACACCCAGTCATAAAACACATTGCTTTGTCCAGAACCTGCGACGTCATGAGCACTGGAATCGTTGGCACTGCCTCCGGCAACACGGGCAAAGTAAGAGGCTCTGTTCAAAAGGCGAGGGAGCTGCACACTGGATCTTTGAAGGATGCATGAGAACAACAAACTCAATTCGATGTTGTGTCGGCTTTTCTGGTCAAGGAACGCTCTTTTTTATTTTGCATCAGAACTCCCTCTCTACTCCATCGCAGTGGACTGGCTTGCAAGCTCCGCTTGAAGTAGGGCATCCAACGTTTTGATTCGCTCGACGGCTTGCGAGATACATTGGCGAAGGGCGGTCGCGCTCAGCGGGGTGCCTCCCGGCTTGTGCACGGTCCAAAGAGTGGGATTTTCGGAGGAAACGTCGGCTACGATGGTGACGGCCCCGCTTTGCATGGCCTCCTCTTCGGCCGTTGGATCTGCCAGCGTAAACGCATTTCCATCGAACAAGCTGAATGTGGCTGCAAACGGCGTTGCCGGCAGGGTGAGTTGCGTCGAATTGCCCGACGGATTGAAGCCTGGCTTGCCCGAGGCTGCGTCCAGCGTCACTGCGGGTAATACCAACGCATGAAGCGCACCGACGATGGCCAGGAGCGCGGCGTCTGTCGAGTTGCCAGCATCGTCCAAGCAAACAGCGTCGACGTACAGGCACCAGCACAGCTCGCCACGAGTAATGCACAGCTCGTTCAAGTCGACAATCCCCCGTGCGCCTGCATCGGCAGGGTTGGATTCTGCCATGCCGGCTTGCGCTGACTGCGACTTGAGGGGCGTGGTCGGGGCGGGCACGGACGGCGCGGTGGCCGTGCTCGACGCTGCCTGCTTGCCAACAACCAGCCCATGCATCAGCCGTGACAACGCCTGTGCTTGCTCGCTCGGGGGCCCCAGGCGCGACGATGCGCTGCACATTGGCGGGAAGGTAACGTTCGTCACAACAAAGCCCCAACCGGGCGTCTGCAATGACGGTACTGCGAGCTCCGCCTTGATCCCGCACAGCACGGATGTTTGTCCGATTTTCGCCAATGCCGATGCTTGAGAGAGTGAAACGCACAACAAAGCGACGAGCGTGTGAGCATGTCAATCCAAAATCCGAGCACTCTGCTTGCATCTTCTTCTGATTCTTCTTCTTCTTCTTCTCGTTTTGAGACAAACCAAAAAACAATGCTGTCCACAATGTGTCAAAAAAGCCTTACCATGCGCAGTGGCGAGCGGGTTGATGCTGAGCGAGGTGTCTCTGAAGCGCTCGAGTCCACGTCCGTCTGGTCGCAGTTGCTGGCTCTAATAACGAGTCAAACAACCAAAGACCCAAAACCAACAAAGCAAGACGAAATGTTCAGATGCAACCAATGAGTGATGATGGCGAACAGCAAAGCTCCCATTGCTGCCATGTGTGGCAGAGTGATCCTCCGCTCTCACTCTCACTCACCACTCTCTCTCACTCTCACTCTCCAACTCTCTCGGACACACAAAGGGGGAATTGGTAAGAGTCAAATGGGAGAGGGTCACTGAACGCACGAGGAAACGACGGTAGTACTCGAGCGGATGGACGCGCTTGAACGTCTCTGCGTCGCGCTGGAGCTGGGCCAGCTCGACCGAGTCCGCTGCTGCGACTGCTTCAGACGCCATAGTGGATGGAAAAACAAATGCAAATGCTTGCAAACAAAACAAAGAGTGAACTACACAAGCGCTGGTTGAGCGAAAGTGAACAATAGAGCGAAAAGAGTGAAGAAAAGAAAGACTGATCCTGATCGCTCGTTGCTGAGCATCTGAGCATCTCTGAGACGCGAATTCAAGGGACGAGCATCTTACTCACTTTTGTAGTTGCTCAGTTAGTTTGGAAGAAGGCCTCAGTCGTTGTTGCTTTCTCCTTTCCATCTGAACAGTTTTAGCTGCACGAAAACGACGTTGGCGACGGAACGAGGACAACAATGGTCGATCTGATGCCCATCATTGCGCTCGTGCTGCGGTTGGGACTAGCATTGACAATCGTCCTTGTCGCCGTGCTCGTCGGTAAACGCAAAGATGGCTCGTCGTGTTGGCGGGAGAGAGAGGGGGAGAGTGAACAACTCTGAACGGACTGACTTTGGCTGGCTTTTCGCTGACATGTCCCGAACACAGCTTGGTTCCTGGCATGGAAGCTCGTGCTCTCCAAAATGACCTTCATTCGCGAGATATTCGGGTTCAAGGACCCGTCGCTGCCCGAGGCGGCGTACACGAACAAGCGGGCGCTGCGACCCAAGCCATCAACACCCAAACAAGCTGCTGGAGCCTCTGCCGCAAGTGTCACTGGAACAAAGCCAGGTATGGGTCCATCGGTGCTGCCATTCCGAAACCCAGACCACCAGCAGCCGCCAACACTCAAGCGGCGGCTGTCAGACCCAAAGCCTGTCGGTGGAGCGGCGTTTGCCGCAGCGTCGTCAGACTCGCCTGCTCAGCAACGCAACCGCGTGAGCTTTGCTACAACCGTGACGCGCGTGGCATACGAAGACGAGCCGACCCCAGACTATACTCCTGCTTCTGGCATTGGTGCAGACACGATGCGGCGGCGAGGCACGGTCGACAACTACTTTTGACGATGGCAGACTCGTGTATGTTGAACGAGGCTGCAACTGAACAGCCTCAAGCATGACCAGCAAGCCTTCGAGAAGATGGGCGGTACTGCTGGGGCGTGGGCATTGCGCTGCTGCTGTCCTTGTTATCGGAAAAATAACATGTTTTTTGGAAAACGCGCGCTTCTGCGATGGCTTGTGCTTGTTTCCATCCAACTGTGACGCTTTCCCTCGACGCTTTGGTCCATCTTCCATCAATCAGTGTGTCAACCGTGCACATACAGTTGTCGTCCGAGAAAAAAAAAGGCTTGCCGAAAATTGCGCTCCTCTTCTTTCTCTCGGATGAAATGCCATCACACTCACACACACCAACATGCCTGCTCGCTCTCATCACAAAGAAACAAACTCTACTGGTCTGAAAAACAAAGCGCAATCAAATGGAAAAATGTCTTCTATTTTTTTGCACTTCACCACATTGTGAACACTTCAAAAAAACACAAAGGCACGAGAAAAGGGCATGGGGCACCCCCAACTCTCTGTTCGGTCAAAGCTGTCTAGTAGCCGAACTGGGCAAGGGTCTGGTTGACCTTGGCGAGGGCATCGGCGCTCTTGGCAACTGCTTGGGTGCGGAGCTTGGCGAGCGACTGCTTCTGCTTGTGGTAAGCAGCAGCCTTGGCCTTGCGCTTGGCCTCGAGGGTCGAGACGACGTCCTGGTACTTCCAGCCGACCTCGTGGGAGAGGCGGCCAAGACGGCAGAAGCGGCGCTTGGGGCGGAGGCGGAGGACGCGGAGGGCAGAGGGGACGACGACGCGCTTGATGCGGTCGTACGGCGGGGGGACACCCTCGAAAACCTTCAGGCGCTCAAGAGCAGCGGCACCGCGGGCAGTCTTGTGGGGGAGCATACCGCGGGTGACGCGCCAGAAGATGCGCGAGGGCGAGCGGAGGTGGAAGGGGCCCTTGCTGGGGTTGATCTGCTTCTTCTTGCGAAGGAAAGCTTGGTACTTGATCTTGTTGCGGATGAACGAGCCCGAGATGTTGATGTCCTCAGTGCGGAGAACGACAACCTTCTGGCCGAGCAGGAGCTCCTTGGCGACAATGGACGCAAGGCGACCGAGGAGGTGGCCAGCTCCGTCAATAACGACAACCTAGATGGCAAAAGAGAATGAATGAATGAATTGGGTGGAGGTTGGTGAGTGCGAGATGCCAGTGGAGCAGGAGACGAGCAGAGGGGCAAGCATGAGAGGGGCAAGCATGGCGGCCAAAAAAATAAAAACTTTTTCGATGCAGCGTCAAAGCCATCGCCAAGGGACGCGCTCCCCCTCCCCCAGCGTGGATGTGTGTGTGGCATTGAAATAAGTCGAGAATCGAGGAAGAGACGGAATGATCAAAACGAAAGAGAAAGACGGGGAAAAACGAAAGCGAGCAAAAAAAAAAAAAAAAAAAAAAAAGCTCAACCACCATGCGGTGAAATCCAGCGTTTGGCTGGAAACGGACGCGCGTCCAGCGATCAGCCATCAGAGAGACAGTCGCGCATGCCATGGATGGTGCACTCGAGTGGCCACACACGAGGGGAGCGCATCCACCACCACGCCAGCGGTATTGACGACCAGCACATGCAAAGAAAAAAAAAGCCAGCGGCCAAGCAGAATTACTGAAATTAAAACAAAAAATCAAACGACGAGATCTTTTTTTTTTTCGTTTTCGTTCTTGCTGTTCGTTTCCAAAGAGCGAACGGGCCAAGCAGCGACACAAAGGACCTGCGGGCAAGGCTGGCAACAGACCGAGGGGCAGATCAACAGCTCCACAAAGCACACACGGTGCAAGGGGAGGGAGGGGACGGACACTGCAGCTCTATCTGCTCTGCTTTTTTTTTTTTTTTTTTTTCGCCCGCGTGCAAAAACGACCCAAAAAAAAAAAAATCCATCCAGCGTTTGGTGCTCAGGAGAGAGAGAGAGAGACGAGCGGAAGGCGCAGACGGCACAGAGCTACAAGACACGGGATGTAGTAGCACTCGCTCAGCAGAGACAGAGACAGGAGAGCAGAGACGGAGACGGCACAGAAAGAGGTTTGCTTTTTTTTTTTTTTTTTTTTTTGTTACCTTCTCGAACATTGTGGTGTTGAACGGAAAAAGAAGAAAGAGGCCGAGCGAATTTGGACGAGCAATGGCTTTCTAGCCAAAAAATAAAATAAAATAAAATAAAAATAAAAATAAAATAAAAAATAAAATAAAAAAATGAAAAACTTGAGGAAAAAAATTCGTAGGGAAATAAAAACCACGAGACAAAATCAAAACATAGCAAAACATCACTAAACTACAGAAAAACGCCCCTATGTTTTCCTAATCTCAAAAATCTACTTGGCCGCCAATGCAACTCCCACTGAAAAATCGCAAAAACAATCAAAAATCACTTTGGTTTGCATGGTCGACCCAAAGAAAAAAAAAAAAAAAAAAAAAAAAAAAAGATCAGAGATTGGAAAATCTTGGATAATCCATTTGTATGCTTTTATACATCGAAAGACTTGATGCTTGAAGCAAAGAAAAGGAAGAGGAAGAAAAAAAAAAGCGACAAAACTGAGAATCAATCTCAGTCTCGAAATTTGCTCAAACACCGAACGTATGCAGATTCGACGACGAAAGGCGGTTGTGCTGGTCATTGTCGGACTCGTGGCGACAGTGCTTGCCTACGAAGCCCTGTGCACGGCCTTCCGACGGCAGCCTCGCGGTAAGAAGAGAGACAGAGAGAGCGCGAGAGAGTGTGAGAATGAACCACTGGTCATCACAGTCGTCGCGACCCCTCAACGACGAGTGCTGCACCACGAGCACCATTGTGGATGTGGATGTGTATGTGTGGAGCGCGTGTGTGTATGTATGTGTGGAGCTCACTCGGTCTGCTTTCGTGGCTGGTCTGTGTGAAACAGGACGCAAAGCACTCCCTTGGCAGCAACAGCAACAAGTCCGATGCCCCGTGTGCCCGGCCTCTAGCACAGATGGCAATACAGCAGAACTGACGGCCGACCAGCTGGCTGCTCGTGCGCAGGAGCAAGCAGCAAGGTGCGCCGTGCCGTCCTTGCTCCAGTCGCTGGAATTGGTCGGCACAACCGTGCCCCCGCCGACCTACTATGCCAACGAGAATGACATTATGCTGGTGGCGCCTGAGCTTCATGCAAAAGAACGACGGCGGGATGGTACGTCCGACCTGAATCGGTGCCTTTTGTCGTTGTCGGTTTGGTTTTGTTGCTTGTAGCGTTGCATCTAACATTTCCCACACACACACACACACCCCGCTTCCAACACCAGTCACATTCAGTATCGCCATTCCAACAGAAACCTACGCGATGCCGGCGGGATCCACACTCCCGGTTGTTCGCACGTTGCAGCGATTAATCAACAACTTGACGCCGCAAGAGCAACGCCAAACACTCATCGTCGTCGTCATCACGTCCCCCGCAAAGCGAGCCATCCCTGCTGTCTTGACATCCGTCCACACGGCGTTTGCAGCCCACATGCTGTCGGGGTTGATTGAAGTCGTCGTGCCGACGCCTGCCGCGTACCCGATGCCCGGCACGCCGTTGCGCAAAACGTACGGTGCGACCGAGCAAGAGGTGCTGATTCGCTCCAAACCCAATGTGGACATGGCGATCGGCATGGAGTACTGCGCTGGCCGCGGCCGCTACTTTCTGGCGCTTGCCGAGAGCGTGGACACCAGCCCCAACTTTTTCGACCAGATGGCAACCTTCATCTCCTCGACAGATAGCGTCGAGCACAGCCCGCCGTGGTCTGTCCTCGAATTCAATCTTCGCGGTCCTTCCTGGGGCAAGCTCTTTCGCGACACTGAGCTTCTTGAGGCAGCTGCCTTCTTCCGCTTCTTTTATCTCGACCACCCCCTTGAAAATCTGCTCGTCTACTTCATGTCGTCCAAGACGCAGCCCTCGCGATTCTTCTCCCCTCGAGTGCTGTTTACGCCCGCTCCTTCAGTTTAAGTGGAAGTGTGTGTGTGTGTTTGGCTTGTTATTTAATCAGAACAAAAAAAACTAAGGACAAAAAACAATCACCAAAGGACGAAACCAACCCAACAAAACCCCAAGAATCGCTTGCTGTTCTTGTCTCGTTGACCTCTCCACCCATCGGTTTCGCCCAACAATAGAAAAACCATTGCTTTTTGTTTTTTTTTTTTTTTTTCCTTTATTTTTTTTTTTTTGTTTTTTTCATTTCAAAATGTCTGCATCTGAACTGTCGCCCAATCCAAGCAGCAGCAGTCCGCGCCGTCACGGTCGCTTTGCAGTTGCCTCGGCGTCGCTGGACGATACATCGGTGCCTGAGCAGCCGCTCGACGCTGCGGTGACTGCAGACCAGGCAGAAGCAGCAGAAGCAAGTGAACCAGCAGCGGCATCATTGGAGCGCGATTCAAGTGCTGGTGCTGCGAATCTTGCTCTGGCAGCCGATAGCGACGCCGGAGAGCAGCTTCCGCTCCCTGTGTCTGCAGGCACAGCCAACAACGGCGGCGGCGGCGGCGATGGCGGCGCTGGGTCTGACGAGGCGGGCGGCAGCAGCGAACCAGTACCAGTACCACCCGTCCAAGGCCAAGTCCAGGTCGGTGAGCTGGAACTGACTCCTGCACCCGAGCCCACTCCTGTTGCTGTCGTTGGAGAGCCGACTGCCGGTGAGCGTGCTAGTGCAGGCAACGCACCTGATAGCGATCGTGCTTTGGCAGCCAGCGACCAGGTCGAGTCCTCCACAACCAGCGCAACCGGCTCGTCCGTGGACGCCAACAGCCAGCGCCAGAAGCCAGCCACGCTGCGCCTGCCAGGCCGAGACCAAAGCAATGCCGCGTCCGAGACCGTGGCGACTTCAATGGCGTCGACCACCTCAGGCTCAGCTTCTGCTTCTGCAACGGTCGTCCCCAAGCTGGTCGTTGCCGAACGAGGCGGTGGCGAGCGTCAACCCATCGCGCACACGCCTGGTGCACAGCTGCTGCTCGACTTGCTGCACGACGACGAGTACCTCTTCTACCTGGTCGAATTCATGGAACGCGAAGGCGCTCAGACGCTCCTCGCCTTCTGGCTCATGGTCGAATCCTTCCGGCAGTACTTTGTCGTCTGGTCGCCAACAGAGGCTCAGCTGCAACAAGAGCAACAACTATTACAGCAGCAGCAGCAACAGCAACCAAATCAGTCACAACTGGAACATGCCAATGATGGCAATCCTTCATCCCTGACCTCTTCCCCTTCGTCCTCCTCTGCTCTGTCTGGCTCGGGCTCATTGCCTTCTCGACCAGCTCGGCAAGCCTCGTCGACGACCGACCCCGTTCCGCCGTCGCCAAGGTCTGCGGCTGACATTGGCCCACAGTCGGCTGCTGCAGCGGAGGCCGCCAATCTCGACGTTGCGTTGAGCATTTTCAACAAGCACATTTCAGCGCGAGCAACACACCCGCTCCCGGGAATGACGGATGCGCTTCGGACCGATATCGAGGCGCGGATTCATTCCGAGCACGGCCCAGATATTGGCTGCTTTGATGCCGCGCAGTCCCATGTGCTGGTGCTCATGGACCAGCAGTATCTCGAAAAGATGCGCTCCATCGCGGTTTTCGCAACCCGTTTACAATTCTACGGCTCGTCGCCGTCCGACACTGCGGTTGCCGCTCTGCGTGCTCCTACCAGCCGCATTTCAGTAGGCCGCAACTCGATGCTGCTCGTTGACGACTCCACAGGAAGCATCAGCATCAGCAGCAACAGCAACAGCAACAGCAACAGCAGTGTTGGCCATTCACATCCCGGCCAAAACGGTCACCCCAGTGCTACCCCTTCGCCCATTCGCAGCCCAGCCCCCGAAAACAAATCCCCGCTTCATAAATCACTGTCGTGGCGACTCAAAACCAACCCATTCCAACAGTCTCCGCCCTCGCCATCTCCGCAGTCACAGTCGCAGTCCCAGCTTCCTTCAGTCCACACACCCAACAAGAGCGTGGCGTCGACGAGCAGCAACTCCTTGCCAGCGGTGGTTGCCCCCGCGCCTGACGCTCCTGCTGCTGCTGCTGCTGCTGCTCCTATTCCCACTGCTGGAGTTGCAGGAGGATTGGTAGCCCAAGACCCCAACAAGCAGGATGCCGCTGGTGCTGCTCGCGCAAAGCCCGGGTTGGAGACGGTGAATGAACACCTGACTGAAGCACCGCTCGAACAGGACGCAGATGCTGCCGACCACGACGCTTCTGCTGACACCAATGCGGCGGCTCACCTTCAGCTGCAACATGCACAGCAACAACACCAACAGTACCCGGAAACGCCCGCCAAGTTGGATGTGCACATGGCTCGTGGCGGCATTCTTGGTAGCGCTGCACGCATGTTTGGTATGGTCGATCGCAAGGTTGAGGAACAGAAGGCCGCGCAAATTGCGCGTGCCATCATCCAAGACGTTGTGGCCGCGACGAGTGCCACCGCTCAACAGCTCTCGGCTTATGATCAGCCACTCGGCTCCCCTGGTGGGCCCATTGCGCGGATCAACTCTCGCCAGACATCCCGGCCCGTGTCTGTCATTCTCTTTGACGACCGCGATGCGCTGTAGTTTTGCTCTTGCTTGTTGTTTTTTTGAGGTCGAATCCTTTTTTGCCATTATTTTTTATTTTCATTTTTAATTTCGTTGGCGCTGTGGGGTTTGAGGGTGTGAGAGAGGTTTCTCCTGCCCTTCTCCCCCTCCATTCCTCCCTGTTTGTTACGGCGACTATTCTGTCTTTTTGAGTTGTTTCTTGTTTTCTTGTAAATCCTTGTGTGATATTCCAAGCTTTGGCAACGTACACCTCGTGTCTTTCGATGTTTGCTTTGATATACTGTTGATCCATGCTTTGATTGGACAGGAAATGGGTTGGCAAGAAGGAGCTTAAAATGAGACAAAACACAAAACACAACAACAACTCTGAACACGAAAACTTCTGAACAAACAATCAACAAAACCAAACACCGCACAAAATCAAAAACATGCTCATGCATGCGAGTCGCTCTGTTGCTCAAGAATTAATGACGCAAGCTTTGCACACAAAGTCGCAGACGCCTTGGCTTGTTCGGGCGAAAGGGTGCGCTCAAACAAGCCAGACTGCATGATGCCGACAAAATTGACATCGGCGAGGAAGGTGGTTCGACGGCTCTTGTGTTGGGCGCGGAGCGCGGCGGTCGTGGTGGTCCCGGATGTCACAGCAATTGGGATGGCTGGCGACGCAGGGCGCTGCTGGGTCGAGTTGAATCGCACAATCTCACTCACAAGTGTTTGAATCACCACCATCAGCTCAAAGTCTTGGCAGTTGGTCAAATCAGTGTCAATTCGCTGCATGACGCCCTCGCTCCTAATCCATCGAACAGCAGCGACACGCGGTAAGTGCAAATTCAAGAGACCAATGCTTCCCAGCAACAAAGCAAAAAAAAAAACGAAACACAAAACAAAACAAAAAAAACCTCCTTACACAATCGCAAACAAGTCCGGCATGCAGGCAGCAGCGTCAGTGAGGAACTGGTAGATGAAAAGACGCTGGGTGTCATTTTCGGCATAGGCCAGCAGCGTGATGATGAGGGAAAAGAAGAGCGTGCCCATTGTGCTGTCGACAAGCAGAGCACGATTGAGCAGCTGGCCAAAGCGGCCATCCGGCGAGTCTCGCGGATTCATGAGATACATGAGATCTTCAGTGAACGGGAGCACGGCAACAATGTACGAGAGAATGCTGCTGGAAACTTCAATCTCGCCTCGCGGTGTTTTTGAGCCTGCCACATCAATCAGCGTGCCCAGTGTTCGCAAGCAGAGCGCTTTGGTCGATGGCAGCTCATGCCGGTAGCCCTTGATAATGTTGGCTGTCAGTGCAAACTCGAACGACGCCGTGAACGACACCAGCGCCTGCCGGTCAATGTCTGTGCACACAGATTCGAAAGGCGTCCGTGCAGCCATCAGCACGCTCTGCATTGTGGCACCGCCATCAAACGCCCCCTGCGCGTGGAGAGCCCGCAAGCACACGCCAAGCAACGACAACGCGGAGGGGAAGACACTGGGCTGTCCGATCTGCAGCAACGACACAGCCAGCCACACGAGATGCTTGAGCAGAGGCGAGTTGCGAGGCAGAACGACGGTGGCGCGCGTCAACGAGACAAGAATGGAGCCAACCAGCTGGTCGTGCTCAGGGCCAGCAGCCAGGGCAGTCTCGAGCGCCTTCAAGGTCTGCTCAATCAGCGACGGATCAAACGCTTGACAGACGACGCCGAGCGTGACAAAGGCCCGACGCTGCAGCGCAGGGTTGGGAGTGAAGGCGGCCTTGGTGGCAAACTCAATCCAGAGCTTCTGCAGGCGAGTGGCGGACAGATTGGTCGACGAGCCACCGAGGGGAGACGATGAGGCGCCGTTGGAAAGCGCGGCATTGAGCGACATGTTGCTGCCGCGCATGTGCTGGCTTGGAGAAGTGGCAAGCAGATTCGTCGTCGAGCTGGCGTGCAGCGTGCCTGTGGTTGACAGGGAAAGTTCGCCGGCCGTCGCAGGCTCGGCGCCAGCAGGCACGCCCAGCACGAGACGCATGGTGCTCAAATTCTCGTACAGCGGCTCGTCGTCGTCGTCGGCCGCGTTGGCAGGAGGGGCGTCCGTGGTGGCGGATGTGTCAATCACAGATGGGGGCTCGATCAACAAGAGCGAGCGAGGAACGTGTTGCCCGCCCGGCGTCGACGACGCTTTGCGGGAGGCTCCCTCCATGCGCTCCAAATCTTCGTCCACAATCACGGAAATATCAAACAAGATGGAGGCAATGGCTTCGATCGATGAGAGCGCCAGTGTGTCTGCCATGCTGCCGATCGAGTGAGGATCGAATGCAGCCGCGGCAACGTTTGCTGCGGCACTGATGCCAAACAGCAAGTGGACCTTGGGCAGCGACAGTTCCGTGAGAATCTGACGCAAAGCGCGCAGCTTGGTGTTGGACAATGGCAGTGATGTGCACAACGACTGGACAATGTTGATGAGCAGGCCGAGAATCGTGGCGCGCAGGAGAACGGGCCCCGTGGCAGAAATCATCGACACAATGTGCAAAAGCTCGGGCAGCGTCTTTGTGACGTTCAAGCGATTGTTGAACGAGAGCATGAGCAGGAAGCGCGACAAGATGGCAATCTCAGGCCAAAGCATGTGCTCGTCCAGATCGGCCACCGGTTTGGCCGACGTCTCGTCAATCACAGTGCGCAGGCGCTTCACCAGCTTTCCCGCAATCAAATCCATGTTGGCGGACGCCAACGTCACGGCCGTGTCGGCAATCACCTCGGCGCGCAAGGAGCCAAGACCGTCAGCGATGGCGCGCAGGACAAACGCGTCAATCACAAAGTCGGACATGGACGAAATCTGGGCAATCGGATGCCACACCTTGGCCTGGATGGACGGGTACATTTCGCGCTCATTCACTGTCAGCTCGAGCAGCGAGTTGATCAGGTTGCGCGTCTTTTTCAGCCGGCCGGGGTTGTCCTCGTCCTGCACGGCAAATGCGGCCAGGTTTGGCAGCCAGGGCGCCATGTACTCGAGGCACAAGTGCTTGAGCTCAGTGGACGATCGCGAAAACCCGACGACGCATTCGCTCAAAAACTCGAGTGTCAGGTGGGGCGCGTTGACAGCCATCTTCTCACTGATGGCAATGATAAAGCTCGTGTTGTTGGCTGGAATGCACAAACCCTTCGCCTCGAGCAGCTGTCCTTCAATGTCAAAGTTGAAGGTAAATGTGGCGGCGCAGAGCATGTTGTACGCCGCAAGACGCAACGCGGGATCGGCGCTGCCCAAGTTGAGCAGGGCCATGTTGAGCATGGTGCCGGGAACGTCGTTCGGACGGAGCTTGCGCTCGGACAGGCGCTGGTGTTCGGGCCGAGACATGCGCCAGCGCACAATCATGGCCTTGATCGCCTGAGCAATCTTGTCCGCCTCGGCGTGGGTGACGGTCATGCTGCCCGCGCCGTGATCGTGGCGGATGACAACAGTGTTGGGCACGTCCTTGCGAAGCACCGCTTCCTCAATTTCGCTCACTGGGAAAATGTCTGTAATGGTTGTCGCCACGCCAAAGATTTTACGCGTGTTCACCGAGGACAAGATCAGGTGCTCCGAGTGTATTTTGACGTGGACCGTGTGTGACTCGGCCGACGTGGTTGCGTTGCTAAAGACCTTGAGATTCTCGTCGAGCGCGGTGGTGGAGGTGGGCAAGTGCAAATCTGAGGCAAAGTAGCCACCAAACTCGGAAATGTGGTCGACAAAGACAAACTTTTTGTGCTGCTTGGTCGGCAGCACGAGGCGGAAGTACCGCTTGGCCACCTTCTTAAAGTACGAGTTGCAGTTGTAGAAAAAGACATTGTGCAGCAGCTCGAGCGTCTTGGGATGCAGCACAGAGACAAAGCGGTGGATTTGGTCCAACGACGGCTCGTTCTCGCGTCCAAACATGGTCATGTCGCACACAATGTCAAAGGGCTTGCTGTCTGCAACGCCACGCATGGTCGACAGCACGTGGTACATGAGCATTTCCATGTCCATGAGCTCGGGCTGAAGACGACGCGCAATAAAGTAAAAGACGGGCATTTTGCTGCTCGACACGCCCGCCTGGAAGAAGACGTGCTTGTGGCGTGGGGCGTCGCCAGACTTGACTTTGGCAAACTTGCGCATAAACTCGACGTGAGCCGCGTTGTCCTGGTTGAGACTTGACGTGCTCGGCTGAAGCGGCTTCTTGCTGGCCGTTTCCGGCGGGGCGCCGAGCTGCGACATGGCTGCTTTGAGCTTGTCAAACACGGCTCGGTGTCGCGAACTCGAGAAAGCCATGGCGGTGGCAGCCGAAGCGCCAAGTGAGGTGAAGGAGGCCTTGGAAAAGCCGTCCTCAGCTGCGATCGCCGGAGTGGCCGCCGGTGACGATGACAGCAGCGGCGGAGGTGGCGCGGCCATCGAGATGCGTGCGGTCGAATTGCGGACCGAGCCGCTGCGACGCGACGACAGTAGCTCCTGCTGGACTGATTCAAAGTGCGAGAACAGGAAAAAGTGGAGCATTTGCACATCCTCGTCCGAAACGAACGTCTCGACGGGCGCGGCACTCGCTCCCGCGCCGCCGGTGGTAGGCGCCTGTTGTGCGACTGAGGCCACCGACTTTGGGGGCTGGGGCCGCGCGCCAGCAGCAGCACCAGCAGCAGCAGCAGCATTGTTGGACAAATTGACAGAAGACGATGACAGCGGCGAGGGCGTCGAAGCGCATTGCGCCAAAAAGAAGGCCTTGGCCTGTGCGTCCTGAGAAACGTCGGCCAAGTCCTCAAACAGAGCAACGCACTGAGGAATGTTCTTTTGGACGAACGGGTTGAACTCAAACATGTACCTCTCCTTGACAAAGCTCAGCTGGTTGGCGAGGTTTTGCAACACCTTCGAGATGAGTGTCAGACCACGTCGGACGTTTTCAGAGAGCGTCACGGTCTCGGGCAGCACGCCGTAAACGTGTGGGGCCGCCATGGCCGGGTTGATGAAGCGCAAAAACACGGCCGAACCAACGCCCTTGATGCGGGCCTCTGGGAAGCGCTTGACGATGGCATCGGCCAGCAGACTGTTCAGGATGCGCAGGAAGGGCGGGAATGAGTCTCGAGACGACAAGATGGAGTTTAAAAAGGTCAGCGTCATGGCCTTGAGCGAGTTAAAGTTGGCCGAAATCTTGACCGCGCTCGGTTCTGGGCCCAGACTGTCCGGATTCACCTCGTACGAGGCTGTCGATTGAACCATGGAGAGAATGTTGGGCGCCAACACGTTCTTCCTGTATTCACCGCCGTGGATTGTGTACAGGTAGGACATCAGCTTGGTCGTTGGCGAGTTGCGACGGAAGAGCGTCTCGGCGCTTTCGGCAGCTTGCACCTCCTCGTCGAGCATGGCACGAAGGAAGGGAACGACGCGACCGCGAGCCTGAAAAATGCTCGTGAGGATACGCAAAAGCTCGTCTGCCTGAGCAGGCGGCACAGCAGAGCACAGGGACAAGGCAATCGAGCAATCCGTGTCGTCCCCAGTCACAATGGCGACGAGCTTGGCGTACTGATCCGCCTTGGCCGTCTCAGCCAGCGCGTCAAACTCGGTGCCTTGCTTGAGAATGTTGGTCAACACCTCCACGAATGCTGTACGCGTCTTGGTGTCGTCGTGGTAGCCCATCGTGATTGAGTGCGTCAGGCCGCTGTCGACGTTCGCGTTGAGCAAGTTGGACATGGCGAGAACAGTCGCCTCCCGGAAGACGATGAGATGCTGGCGAATGGGCTCATCCATGTTGCGCTTGCTATGCAGCTCAAAGTCGCGGCAAGAGTTCATCACGCTCTTAAAGAAGCTAAAGTGCTTCAGGAAGAGCGCCGATTTAGCCTGCGCGGCGTCCGCTTCGTCCACATCGGTCAGCAGCGGCAGGCCGGCGAGCAAACTCACAACAGTGCGCATGCAGGCAGCATCGAGATCGCGATACAAGCGCTCAGTGCTGCCGTCATCGAGCAGCGGAGGACCGGCGCCAGGCGATGCCATCTGGGCGCCACTCGGGTTGCTGGCTGCAGTCGCGCCGCCGCCCACGAGTCCACCTGCGCCGCCAGCAACCGATGGTGCGACGCCCTGTTGTGCGGCGGCTGCGGCAGCAGCAACTGGCCCGGCATTCGTGCCGTTGATGGCTCCACCAACCCCTCCGGTAGCGTTTGCTGCGCCACCGAGGCCGCTCTCGCCCGAAAGGCTCATGCGGAAGTTGGGCACCGCGCCCGGGTTGGAACGCGTCGAGCTGTCGGAAAAGCCCCAGATCCACTCAATCAACACCTCGACCAGCTTGTTTCGGAAGAGGGCCTCGTGCTTGAAGGTCAAGCTCGCGCGACGGGACATGACCAGCTCGATGACTTGGCAGAGCTTTGTACGCAGTCGAAGGGTCGTCTGGCCTGCAGCGAGAGCGGCCACATACTTGACAATCATGCCAATCAAGCCCTCCATGTCAATGCTGTCGAACGATGCGACAATGGTCGGCACCTGGGGCGCAGAGGGGCCGCTGATGCTTGGCCGCGAGCCGTGGCCAACCGGTCCGGCCCCGCCCTGGGGAGCTGCGGCGGCGGCGCCACTTGCGCTCGGGTTTTTGCGGCCGTCCAGAACGTGCTTCAAAATGGAGAGTGCTTGGTCGATAAAGAGCGTGGCCACATCGGAGGGTCGCGGCTGAGAGTTCTTGGGATCAAAGTAGCTCTCGACTTGCAGCGTGATGTGCGCAAACAAGATCGGGTACATGGTCGGCGTCATTTCCAGACCAATCATGTCTCGCGTGGTCTCGCGAATGAACGAGCTGGTGGCGTCACCGTCCACCACAAGGAGGGAGATGAGCTCGCTCACAAAGCGGTAACAGCTGCGGATGGGAGAGGAGACGGCCAAACTCGCCCCTGTCGTGCGGGAAATGGTGTCTTTGAACACCTTGAGATCAATCATCGGTGCAGCTGGAGCGATGGCCATCAAGTCGCGCGATCGCACGTTCGAATAAAGGCAAACGCCACCGAGCGCCACCAAGAAGCCAGTCATTTGCGCCCACTCTGTCTGCAGCTCCTGTAGCGACTTTTCCTGGGCAATAGGTGCTTCGTCGGTCTTTTGGAGTGACAGCTTCAGATTGGACATGCTTATCCAGGTCACGCTGCGCTTGCGGTCCGGGGTGCTTTCGGCCACACCGGCAGTCGTGTGGTAGTCTCGGAGTTGGGTGGTAAGATTCGTCCATCGACTGCTCGTTTCCTCCCAAGCCTGCAGGTTGCCCTCCGTCTGGCAAATCAATCGGCGCAATAGGCCACGGATGCGCTTTTGCTGGGCAGCACGTCCTGAGGAGAAGAACGTGGGGGAAAAAGATTTGAAACCAAATCAAACAGAAAACGATTAGCCAAGGACAAATAAAAAACAAGGGGGAACGAGCACTAGAACAACAACAACAACAAGACAAAAACAGGGGACATACCGGTGCCCACATTGCCAGATCTGGCAATCTCGCGATACACATCAAGATTGGCCACGATAGATGGAATGCCGGGTTGTGACAGGATGGAGTCGTCCTGGTCGTTCAGATCGGGATGCAAAATGTCAATTTCTTCGCATAGGCTTCCAAAGCCGTTCGCAGCGACTGCAACCACATTGACATCTGGATGCCAAAGATGCAACAAGAAGGTGACTTCTAGCTTGATGTTGGCGGTTGTTCGAATTTTCATGGTCGTGCTGCCACCGCTCACCCCAACCTCCGTCGAGCTCTCGCGCGCCTGATTGCGCAGGAAGGCATTGCGTGAGTTGATCAGCTCGCGAAGCCAGCTCACAAAGAGCACGGAGGCGCTGAACTTGGTGCCAATCAGGTGCAATGTCATGGAGGCAATGACGTGTGAACTGACTTCCCACAAGCACGCCATCACGTCCTGAATGTTCCACAAACTCATGTTGGCCGGCTTGTGAAGCTCCATGACAGCCTTGGCTGCTGCGTCCACAATCTCTGGGTTGCCAGTGTCTTGCAGGCACGATGTGAGGCCAGTCAACAGCTCGCGAATGTCGTTGGTGATGTTGCCCGAGGTTTGTGCATTGTACTGTTCAGGAGGTAGAGTCGGCAATTGCGGCAAGATGCGTTAGGATGCATCAGCGACAGCAACAACCAAAAAAAAAAAAAAAAAAAAAAAAAAGAGACAACCCACAACAACCAAATTCCCTCTCCCCGCCGCCAAAGCAGCCTAGGTAAAAAAAGAAAAACGATGCACGGGCGCTTCTTACATAAAGAGCGAGCTTGGGATCCGCGTGATAAAGCTGAATGACCCGCAGCAAAATTTCAACATCAACCGACTCCTCCATGGCCTTTTTGTCGGTCTTGGATTTGATCGTGCGACGGTTTGCCTCATGGTGGCGCGTCTTTAAAATGAAGGCCTGGAACATTTTCCGCAGCGGCGCACAAATGGCTGGGTACGCTTGCTCGAGCTTGGGATGCCAGGGCATCATGGAGCCCTCCGTCGCAATCTGATAGAGCGTCTTGACCAAGACGAGCTTAAAGATGGCGGGAGAATCCTCTTTGAAACAATCAGCGAAAATGGTCGTAATGACAGTGCGCGGATTCACACGGTAGTAGGCAAGCAAGTAATCCACCATGAGTTGCTGGTCGACTTCGCCTTCGCTTGTCGTAAAGGGCTTGGCTGGGTTGAAGAGCAAGGTTTTCAACTCTTGCTCAATCGACGGCATCAAGTAGCGCAGACTTGAAATGTCCGTCTTGTCAACATACGTTGAGGCTTTGCAAATGTCCACATACGGGACTGCTGCCAAGTCTGGATTCTTGGACGACGACAAGCACTTTTTCAAGCTTTCCAAGAATCGCGCCTGTCAAAAAAAAATTGGTAGATTCAAAGGGTTGGTGGAGGTGAGACGCTCAGAACCAAAAAACAAAAACGAAAAAAAAAAAAAAACAGTTTTCTTTTGATGAAGCTGACCTTGGTTTCAAGTCTGTCATCTTGCTTGCTTCCTAGAGCTAGCAGAATGTCGGGGCACAGCACAAGAAGCATTGCTTGAATGGGATATGTCACGGCACGGTACTTTTGCTGAGCGCTGCTCAAGCTATCGAACTGGTTGAACAAGACTTCGACATTGTCTGCCACAACAAAACAGGCAAGTCAGAGACACCTCTCATCATTCGCTCACGACTCATGACATTCATGATTTGACTTGTCCTTACCACATAGACGATGCTCTGACTTGGAAAGCGCAACAAACTCGTACGGGTGGCGATGAATCCAATTCCAAATGGCAGTTCGCAGGGCACCAGCAAGGTAGATGATCAACGATTTCTTGAAGACGGCACTCTTTGAGGCAATGTCTGTGTCGTCGCCAAAAGAGAGAGAAGAAAAAAGAAGAAAAAAAACATACAAGAAGAAGATAAAACGTACAAGAAGCAAAACGCACAAGAAGCAAGTTGAGCGCGCTCGCCGACCAGCCAAACTTTCGCGATTCAACGCAACGAAGGAAAGCCAGACATACCATCCAACACTTGCACGAGCCGTGCTCGGTTGAGATCGGCGTGTTCAATGAGCACAAGCTCGCCAGGGTCGGGAGCGTCCTCTTGCGACACCTTGAGCACGGAGGTCTTTTGCCCAATACGGCTGAAAATAACCGAAAAGGTCGATACGCTCACAAGGGCAATGATGGAGCTGACGACTGCTGTTATCTCTGCAGCTCGTGGCGAGTCCTTCAGGCTCAAGAGCGGATATGTGTTTGACAAGACGAGGCTACCCAGCTTTTCCGTAAAATCTGGCGATATGGTGGTTTGTGCCTGGGGTTGATGAAAAAGTGTGGAATGGTCGAAACGCACCAGAGATGAGCCTTCAAAAGAAACCCAAACTCGCGATGAGACAATGGTGTGCAACCGCTTCGTACCTCTGCTACGCTCACGCTGCCACGCCGAAGCTTCTTTTCCTATCATGGTGGCGATGGAGGAAACGAATGAGTGCAAACGGCAAACCACTTTGAAAAAGAGCAAACTTGGCAAAAAACAAACAGATTCCGTACCCAGCACTCTGCATGATACGACATGCATTCCCGGATTGTATTCAGCACAATCAACTGCGAGTCTGCAATGGATGCAACATCATCCTCTGTCATGTGTGGATTTGCCGACCGGAGCTGTTGTTGGCAGTCAGACGCGGGGGGGAATGAGTGCGACTCTGCTCAAATCGTGGCAACGCCGACACGAACGGGACGCGAACGGTAGCACATCCCCGCCAACCACTCACCTTGCCAATCTGCTCGATCTGCATGCACATGTGTGTGACGATGAGCGACATTCTGAATTCGCTCAACTTGATCAGCGCCTGCCGATTGCTCTCGACGAGCTCCTTGTCCCGCAGGACCGACAACCCGCCTTCCTTGTTCTGCGCATAGCATGGCAGCTGCGTACGAATCCAAAAAAGCGGTATTACGAAACAGTGTCAAAGCAAGCAGATTGAACAAAGAAGTGAGTCTTCAAATTGTTACTTGCCATAAAAATAAATAATCAGAATAATAAAATTTAGCCACAAAAAAAAAAAATAATAAAAAATAAAAATAATAAAATAGAACATTGTTTGGTGAAGGTTTTTTTTTTTTTTTTTTTTTTGTCAGCAATCACGCTGCATCGGTTTGCTGCCGTGCAAAAGCGCCTGATCGTGCGGGCGTCTGTGGCCTCGCATATGGAGCACACGAGCATCGTAGGGTGCTCAAGTCAGTGTGGATGGCCTGCCCCTGCCCCCCAAAAAGCACGCACAACTTGCGACGGCAGAAAGTGTAAGGATTGGAATAAATCATTTGATTTTAGACGGATTTTTTTTTGTTTTTTTGCTGTACATTTTGCTTTTTGAACTGGATTCTGCATGCTCCCCTTTGCACCACCAAGTCGCCCTTCTGGCGTCGTAGTTAGTAAGCGATGCCAGTACGAATCGGATGCCCCAAAAGGCCCGATGGACACGAATCGGCAGGCCAAACAATCAACCGGTATCGAAAAAAAATAAAAATAAAAAAATAAAAAAATAAAACAAATACGAAAACGACCGTTCATGCATTGTGCCGCGGTCTGCGTGTCGTGCACTAGACTACGACGACCAAGTGGACGACGGAGAGGCAGAGACACATGACAGGTCCGAAAACGCACCTTCTCGCGGATGCGGGTGACGAGGGTCAGGAGCAGCTGCGTGTCGTTGTTGGCCGGCACGGCGAGCGCGGCACTCGAGCCACCGCTCCCAAAGAAAGCCAGCGGAGACGACGCGCTTGTGCTGGTCATGGCGCAGATGAGAACTGACCCGACCACCCGAAATGCATGTGAAATATAATTCATCATGCATTGCAATGGGTGCAGGGAGGTGTTTCCGGTGCACTTGAGGGTGAACCTGCTGTTGCAAGTTTTCGCGCCAATGCACCGTGGGTTTGAGCTGGTGGCGAGTCCGATCTCCGGAGCCGGATAGGCCTCAAGATTGATATGTCAGAATAAGCTATTTGTCAGAGGTGTTTTCTGACAGGAGACGGCGCTAGAAACGGAAAAATTTTAGTTTCGTAAAAATTGGGTCAAAGTGTGCTTTGCAACGTTAGGTTGACAGAGCACCTCCAATTGCCAAAACGTATTGACCTGCTCCGTTTCCATCCATCTTTTGGAAATCAACAGCAAGTTAACATGTCGTTCAGTAGTCCAAATATGCCGTCATAAACTAATGCCTGACATTGACACGATCGCTTCGAGGGTGAAGAGAGAACTTTTGACCCTTTCGTTTTTAGGATTCGATTCCGTCACTGCGTTCCGTGCTTCGCGTATCCGCCTCCGGAGGCGGTTTCTATAGTACCTTCTTTTTTACTATATATTTTAAAAGAGGTACCACCAACGCAGTGACGACCGAATCGAATGAGACACACCATTGTCTTCTGACACCAAACACTTTCTGCCGCGTTTTGCATCAACCAAGGCGCAAAGCTCGTTGACACGCTTTTCGTTCAAGCTACCGATTTCCAAACCCCACTCTCAGACATGCATCCTCATTCTTGCTTTTCCGAGGTTTGCCGATGGCCAAGCGATCCGAGCCAGTTGGTAACGAAACGCTGCTTTTGTGCCTTTGTTTGAGGCTCGCCAGCAAGTCCGCAAATCCGCTATTTGACATTGTCATTGTCATACGTCGACACACACACACGAGGCAGCTCGGAAGGCGGGGCGGCCCCATCGAGAGCGCGCACAGCACAGCAGAAAGGCATCAAAGTGAATACTCAAAAGAAAAAAAAAAACCAAAAAAACAGGGGAGACGAACGGTGACCGAGTTTTGTCGAGCGGGCGAGGGGTGCAACTGCCATCGACACACGACCGCATGTTTGAGCGAATGTGCACACTGAAGTGCTTGAAGGGGGAGAGGGCGGAGTGCGCGGGATGGAAGCGTGGTAGCGATGCAACCGATTCGCATCAACGAAAAAAAAAAAAGAAAAAAAAAAAAAAAAAGAGCGAGTTGTGTTGGCGGTCTTGACGAGAGCAAAAGGCAAGGGCAAGGGCTACGTGCAGCATCGCCAGAGGGCGTCATCATCCGACCTCCTTGCACAATAGTCCAAGCCGCTGCACCCCCACCCCCGCCTTCCTCTTCTCCCTTTGTCCCTGCATCTTGGGTGCAGCCAGTTTCGAAACAGCGGAGAGCTTTTGTTGTTGCGCTCTCGCCTCCTTTTTTTTTTTTTTCATCCCTTCCAGTCGTCGTCTCCAGCGGCCGGTTTCGCGCTGAGGTCTCGAAGTGGAGGCCTCCTTGGTCTTGTCTAGCTGTGCATTGCGCTCTCTTCAGGCACGAGCAGCCCCCTCCTTTCTTCTCACTGCGACAGCTGAGAGTGTCTTTTCGAGGTGTTTTATTTTTATTTTTATTTTTGTTTTTATTTTTATTTTTATTTTTTTCCATTGGCTTTTGTATGAGGATCGACTTTTTTTTTTTTTTTTTTTTTTTTTTTTTTTTTTTTTTTTGGAATAGGTTGGTTTTGTGTTGTTCTGCTCACTTTCCACCCCCTCTGCTTGTCTGCTGCAACTGTTTGCTCTCTCCTTCGATCATTCTATTCCATCATGCGAATCTCCATTCTCCGGCTGGCCCCTCCCCCCTCCTCCCTCCGTCCCTGACCACAGGCATCCTTGAATGTAAGCTGCTACTTTGACAAGGTTTTTTTTTTTTTTTTTTTTTTTTTGGTTGTTGTTGTTGTTGCGGGTTTCCATTCTCGTTCATCAGCTGAACCCGTCGTCACCCAAAAGTCATCATGTCATTCTCATTTCAAAATCTGCAATCTCGCTGTGATTCCCCATCTTGTGCAGTGTCGGAAAGCCCGAGCGTCAGCAGGAAGACCTCGATCGCTGCATCGGCCGCCAGCCCAAGCCCGATGCAGTCGCCGGCCAGCACAACGAGCAACGCCAGCTCGGCCACCAACACGTCATCAACGCCGTCCACTCCATTGTCACGAGATGACTCCGAGTCTGGCAACGACACTCCCACCGCCAATGGCGCCAAGCCCAGCTTCACCCTGGTCAAAACCCACTCCAAAGTGTCCACCTTCTTTGGCAGCGACAAGAGCGGCCTCGTCATGGAGCCCATGTTTGCGGTCAAGGACGAGGCGGCGCAGCCTCTCCTCCGCGGCAAGTCCATCAAAGGGCGTACCGCGCCTGCTGTCGTCAACTCGGACAAGCCAGTGATCAAGTGCGACCTCAGCCCCACCAAATGCATCGAGATGCTGCGCATCGGCACCACACTGCTCTCCTTTACAAACGAATCCAAGCCCCAACTCAACCACTTTTGTTTGAGCGCCTACTGCCATCAGATTGTCTACAAGTCGGCTCAACGGCGGATTGGTGACACCCAGGAGTTTAGTACGTTTTTTTTTTTTTGTTTTTTTTTTTTTCGTTTGTTTGTTTTCGTTTCTTTTTGCCCGCTTTTGTTTTGTGTGATTGCTCCAGATGGGCTCATTGTTTAACCCTCTTGTACGTCCAACCCTTCCCTCCCTTCCCCGCCCACTCTCGACAAAACAATAGCAATCGATGTGGCCAGTATCAAAGAGGTGCGACTCGGCAAGGTCGCGAAAAATTGGGACAAGAATGCGCGCAAGTACAACATTGACGAGGCAACAACGTTTACCATTGTCTACGGCCAACATATGCTGGACGTCAACTTTTTGCACGTGTTTGCGGCCACTGAGCAAACCTTTGGTATCTGGGTGAAGGGATTGCGTGCGCTCGTTGCCACGGCGCGCGAGTCTGTTCGCGAATCGACACAGCTCTCGTTGAAAAAGTACTACATTGATGCCTACGTCCCCAAAACCGGGCTTATCAGCCTGCGAAAGGTGGTGCATTCGATCGGCAAGGACAAGAAGAAGCACACCAAGCAAATTCTTCAGTCAATGGGCTTTGCGTACTCAAAGAAGGTGGGTGTATCGCCCGAGCTCTTCCCGTTCGAGCGATACTGCGCCTTGTTCAACAAGGCCAACACCCGTGTCGACATTGCCGAGGTCTTCAACACGGTGCGCAGCCAGCTTCGAGGCTTGCCACCCGCGAAAGACCTCGACCCGAATGCCACTCTGACGTTGGCCCACTTCCGCGAATTCCTCCGCAAAATGCAAGACCAAACGCTCACAGAAGAGCAAACGTTGACGCTTCTGCGGCGGTACGAGCCCAACAACGCGTTGAAGGAGCAAAAGCTGCTCTCGTTGGACGGATTTGCGCTCTACCTGCTCTCCGAAGACAACGCCGTGCTGCGGCCAGACCACCTCCCGGTCTATCAAGACATGACACAGCCTCTCGCCCACTACTTTATCAAGTCGTCCCACAACACGTACTTGACTGGCCACCAGCTCCGCGGCGAATCTAGCGTCGAAATGTACATTCAAGTTTTGCTCTCTGGCTGCCGTTGCATCGAGCTCGATTGCTGGGATGGTGACGACGGCGAGCCCATCATTTACCACGGCCACACGTTGACTTCTAAAATCAAGTTTTACGATGTCATCAAGGCCATCCGGGACTATGCCTTTGAAACAACTCCGTACCCAGTGATTCTGTCCTTTGAAAACCACTGCTCCATTCCGCAGCAAAAGAAAATGGCTCTGTATTGTCGGACCCTCTTCAAAGACCTCCTCCTCGACGAGTTCCTGGACGGCGACTCGCTGCCCGAGAAGCTGCCGTCGCCCGATGATTTGCGCTACAAGATTCTCATCAAGAACAAGAAGCGCCGCGACATTGCAGGAGGACCACTGAGCAATTTGAGCAGCGTGAGCAGTGTGAGCAGCACGCGTGCTTCCGCCGCAGCGATTTCCGTCCCTAGTTTCGCAGCGGTTGAGCTCGCAGTCTCTGATGCTGATGGTGTTGCGGTCGACGGGAATGGCACAGCAACCGCGTCACCCGCGCCACCAGCCTCACCGTCTCCCACGAACGGAGTCGTCACGCCCTCGACGACTGGCTCCTCTGCGACAAGCCTGTCCGCCGCCGTCACGCCCTCCGCTACTACCTCATCTGGAACGCCCACCAACAGCAACACTGAAAACGAGCCCGTGATTGAGGAGGAGGACGACCCCGACTTTGTGGCCAACGAGTCCTCCTCGCCTTCGGGGTTTGTTGCACCGGTGCACGAGCCTCAGAAGACGGGCCGCCAGATTGCCGAAGAGCTGTCCGAGCTGGTCATCTACACCGAGCCCATTCCATTCAAATCGTTTGCCGACTCGCGCGAGAACGCACGGTGCAACCAAATGTGCTCCTTTGGCGAGGCGACCGCAGAAAAGCACCAAAAAAAGTCGGCGCGCGATTTCATGCTGTACAACATGCGACAGTTTAGCCGCATCTATCCCAGCGGCAAGCGCATCGACTCCACCAACTACAATCCCCAGCCTCATTGGAACAGCGGCTGCCAGATGGCTGCGCTCAATTACCAGACGCCCGATCTTCCGATGCAACTCAACATGGCCAAATTCTCAGTGAATGGCCGCTGCGGCTACGTGCTCAAGCCGTACGTGATGCGCGAAGACATTGGCTTTGACCCGAACGACAACACGGTGGAGCATGTCGTGCCCATCAATCTTGTTGTGGACGTCATCTCTGCCCAGTTGCCGACCGTCAGCGTCGTGTCTCCGTTTGTGGATGTTGAAGTGCACGGGCTCCCGGTCGACTCGTGCCGAAAGCGCACCGCGGCGACCAACAACACAACGCCCTTTCCCATGTGGAAGGAGCAGGTTTCTCAAAAAGTCATCCTGCCAGAAATCGCCACGCTGCGGTTTGTCGTGTACGACACTTCACTTGCTGGTCTTGCTGTCGTTGTCGGTGTCGCGACACTCCCGCTGAACAGCGTGCGGGTGGGCTACCGCCAGATTCCGCTCAAGACCGTTCGTGGCGAGCGACTGGACTTGTGCAATCTCTTTGTTCGGATACAAGAGCTGGAAATCATTCCCGAGCAGCATGCCGACTTTATGGCTGCGCTCATGCACCCTACGAGCGCGGAAGACAAGCACTCGGACTTGCTGGGGGCTCTGATGGGTGGTGGAGGCGCAGAGCCGGATGCGCCTGGGTTCGGAACCCCGCCTCGTGCCAAACCTACGAGCGAGACGTTGAAGAGCTCGTCTGCGACCTCAGCGTCTCCAGTTGCAGCTGCGTCTGCGCCCGTGACCGGAGACGATGGGGAGGAGCTGATTACAGCGTTGTAGTTGCGAACAGGCATTTGCGACTCTTTTTTTTTTCTTCTCCCTTCTTGTACGTTTTTTTGATTGTGAACTAAGGAGCTCAAGTTGTTGCGTGATTTCCGTTTTTTGTTTTAATATTGTGTTTGACGTTGTGCTACTGTCGTGTAACCATCGCCATCAAGTTTGGTTGTTCCCAACGTGCATTGTCGAGTTTTTTTTTTTTCCATTATTGCCGACTGTTTCATGAGCGGAGTGGCAAAGTGCGAGGGTGTTTGGAGTTTGGATTGGAGCAATGGCTTGAGTGCACAAAATTGTTTTGAAACAACAGGTCGGTCATGAAAAGTAACGACGACTCCCTTATTGTTACATTCGACGGCAATCGCCACACTCGAATCCAACCAAAAAAACAAACAAACACAAAACAACCAACAAAACAAACCAAAGCGTGAATTAACACAGCGGCTCAGCAGTCTGGCCACCAGAGGTGATTTGTCGCTTGATGACGAGCAAGATCGACGTCAGCCAAGGGTCGAGGCGGGAAATCGAGTCATAGTCGGCAACGATGGAGGTGAATCCATCAGCGTCCGACGTTTCGAGAGCCTTGAGGAGGTCCTGCGTCCAAAAAAAAAAAAAAAACCAAAAAAAAAAAAAACCGAGTGAGTGTCATTATTGGTTTGCATGAGATTCTCGGTTTGACACGTTGCATGTGATGGCAGCATTGCACTTCAACAAAAAGCAAGCCAAAGCATCATGCTTCTAAAACAATGTCATACCGAAACGAATTTGCCTTCTCGGGTATCAGCAAAGCCAGGATACATGGTCATGTACGACTCGAGCGCGTTTTGAGCCTTGACCAAATCCTGCAAGAAGAAGAAGAAGACGAAGTGGTGAGCATACTCGCGCCACATAAAGGGGTCGGCAAAAAACAAAAAACAAAAAAAAAAAACCACATTTACAAAAAAAACCACCCAGACTCACTCCTGTGCATTGCTGGCAAAGGGATGCCTTCATGAAATAGTCCTTGGCGCTGTACTTGAGAAGGTTGTTGTCGAGGGACTGACGACCAGTCTGCTCGTAAATTTCGGCGGCACGAGGATACTTGCCGAGCTGCGCAGAGAATTGGGCAACCTTCAGCAGGCACTTGGTGGCAGACGAAGTGCTCTCTTCGCCGGCAAACCAGTCAGCAGCCTGCTCGTACGCGGTGATGGCCTGCTCAAAGTCGGCGAGCTCGGTCTCGTAGACCTCGGCAATCGCCTGCTGTTGCTTGGCAGCGATGCTCAGACGGCCCATGTCGCAGAAGATGTCGGTGGCCGAGCGCAATGCCGCGACGGCAGCTGTCATCCGATTCAACAACGAAACAAAAAAATTGCAAGGGCGAGCGAGATGAGTTTTCGGGCAAAGAAGAGCGACGGAGAAACGGAACGCTCGACAAGGTCGAAAATGCTTACCGGCCGCACTAGTCTTCTTGTAGCATGTCGAAGCATCGACATAGTGAGCTGCAGCGTCGTGCTTGGACTCGAGCTTGATAGAGAGCTTGGCGCATTCGACAAAAGCATCGCCGGCCTCTTTCCCTGCAAAAAAAGGTCCAACAAGTTCAGTGTGAGCCTTTTCCCTTTCCAACAAACGACACAAGAGGAACGCCTCCTCCAAAGGTCCCACACCACATCCCACCAGACTTACACTTCTTGACCATCTTGTACTGGTTGGCAGCAAGCTTGTACAGCTCGACAGCCTCCTCGTACTTGACATTGTTGCTGCCCATCAGGTTGCCAAAGAATCCTCCGGTCGACTTGAGCTTCTTTTCCGCCTGAGCGATCAGCTCGCGTGCCTTGTCGTCGCCCATTGTTGGTCTAACCATGACGGGTACAGGTCATTCATGCATGGTGAGGTGAGTGCTTGAATCACGAGCGTCAACCGCCCTCTCCACCCCGACCCCACCCAACCAATACCCCACAAACCCTTCCACTTTGTCTCAGGCACGACGCGCGAAGACCGACTCCAAACACCACCTCTCTGCACCAGCATTGAGGCAGTGTGAACAGTCAGCTGGCCCTTCCTTCTTTTTTTTTTTTTTTTTTTTCCGAATTCCCCCTTTGTCGAGCGCAATTCGGCTCAAAGCAAGCGGCCGCGACCCCAATAGCATTGGTGCTGATCTTGCACCATTCTTGGCACCACCAAGCCGAGAACGCCGGCCGAGGAAGAGCGAGGAAGGAAGGACGACTTGAACGACAACCCGGTTTTTTTTTTTTTTTGTGAAGACTCTGTTTGGTTGCTGCAGCGCGAGGAAGCAACCAGCGCAATCGCCCGTTTGGCAGACATAGCGCAGTGCATGGTACATCCACAACGGCGGTCGCAGAGCGAGCTGTTCGACGGGGGAAGCGAAAAAACAAGGAGCAAAAAAAAAAAAAAAAAAAGCTGCACGGAAACGACTTTGAAAAAAAAAGAAAAAAAAAAAAGAGAAAAACACAAGTCAGTGAATGACGTACAGTTCGCTTGCCACAGAACAAAGACTGAGAGAGAGGTTGAGAGAATAAGAAGGAACCAGGTTTATCAAGGTAAAGAACAGTTGCGCTCAATTGTAGGAAGGGGGGTGAAAAAAGGAAAGCGCAAAGCAAGTGAGAATTTTCATCTGCGCTATTCTGCGTGGATCCGTTAGTCTCTCTCGTTAATATACATGCTCAAGCTTGCAATTGTCCCAGCCATGATAATAAAAATCATCGCACGCACTCGAGATCGAGCCAAATGTGACGAGCAGTCCATTTAACCCTAACCCTAAAAACCCTAAAAACCCTAAACCGTCACCAACTCTCGGATGTCGACACGCTCCCGCCGCTCGACGACCTCGCCCGCCGCTAAAGCGAACGTGCGCATCGACACTGCATTCAGCAAGACACGCCCCTCGGTGGCCGCTGGCCACGTGGGCGAGAGCATCAAGGCGAACGCGAAAAGCCGACAAGTCATCGAGGGTAAAACGCGCGCATCATCGCGCTTTCATCTCGCCTCTCGTCACCAGCACCGCCACGACGTTGTCAAAATACCTCAGCTGCTGCGAGGGTCTCCTTTAAGGCAGCACCGCCTCAATGGAATAGAGCAGAGCAGGTCGCTTGCGTTCCAAAGTGCAAGCTCGCCGCAAGTTGCAGAAAAATAATTCAAAAAAAAAAAAAAAGAAAAAAAAAAAAAGGTTGTTTCAAAAAAACGTTTTGTTCAAACTTGTTTCAAAACGCCGAACATTTTGATTCTGTTTTTGGGATTTTGACAGCAGTTCACGCATCACAAACACACCTCCATTTGACTTGATGCGAATTGCTTTTTATGCTCATGGACATATTTGTTTTGTCTGCCTTGGAGCAGTGCTGGACGACGACTTAGACGCAACTTCGCGTGAGCAACAACTCGAGCTGCTGAAGGCGTTCGACTTGGATAGCGAGTACGGTCCTGCCATCGGCATTACGCGACTTGAGCGATGGGAGCGAGCACAAAAATATGGTCTTGAGCCGCCAGTGCAAGTGAGTCGAGGAGTTGGTGAAAGCGAAGATGATGCCAAAAACGTCAAACTCATGCTCATTTTGTCGGCGGTTTGTTTGCAAAGATCAAGCTCCTCGTCCAAGCACATTCAGATGACTTGGATTACACAAAGTGCTTCTGGAAGACAGATGGCCCGAACGTGTGCATCTAGAGCTGTTTTTTTTTTTTTTTTTTTTTTGGTTTGTGAATTTTATCGCTGTTATGTTTTGTTGTGTTGTCGTTATTTTCGATTCCTCTTGTCAAAGAACGTTTCTCCCCGGGTTGCAAACACAACTTGAGCAGCCCCTGATACGCAACGAACGACAAAAATCGGTGACTCGAGATTATTTATTTCCTTTTTGGCTGAGGAACTCAAAAAAGAAAAGCATTCACGTTGTCTCTAGCACACGGGGGAAACAGAGACAAAGCAGAAAGCAACATGCTTAGGAGATGATCTTGGAGACGACACCGGTGCCGATGGTCTTGTGGCCCTCGCGGAGGGTGAAGCGGAGACCTTGCTCGATGGCAACGGGCGAGACAATGTCCAGAAGGATGGTGGCGTTGTCGCCGGGCATGGCCATGTCGCCGTTCTTGAGGGTGACGACGCAGGTGACGTCGCAGGTGCGGAAGAACATCTGGGGGCGGTAGCCGTTGGCAACGTGGGTGTGGCGGCCACCCTCCTTGGCAGTCAGAATGTACAGCTCAGCCTCGACCTTGGAGTAGGCCTTGAGGGTGCCAGGGGCGCAGATCATGTGGCCACGACGGAGGTCCTCGCGCTTGACGCCACGGAGGAGAGCGCCGAGGTTGTCGCCCGCCTCGCCGCGCTCGAGCTGCTTGTGGAACATTTCGAGGCCGGTCACGGTCGTCTTGATCGGGGTGGTGCCAAAGCCAACAATCTCAACTTCATCGCCCTTGTTGACAATGCCACGCTCGACACGGCCAGTGGCGACGGTGCCGCGGCCACCAATGGAGAAGACGTCTTCGATGGACATGAGGAAGGGCTTGTCAAGGTCACGGGAGGGCTGGGGAATAAAGTTATCGACGGCATCAAGAAGCTTGAGGATGGACTGGCGGCCGAGCTCGGGCTCACGGTCTTCCAGGGCGCACAGGGCCGAGCCAATGATGATCGGGGTGTTGTCACCATCAAACTTGTACTCGTTCAGAATCTCACGCATCTCCATCTCGACAAGCTCGAGCTGGTCCTTTTCGGCGACAGCGTCGGCCTTGTTAATGTAAACAACCAGGGCCTTGACGCCGACCTGCTTGGCGAGCAGAAGGTGCTCGCGGGTCTGGGGCATCTGGCCGTCCGTGCCGGCAACGACGAGGATGGCGCCGTCCATCTGGGCAGCACCAGTGATCATGTTCTTGATGTAATCGGCGTGACCGGGGCAGTCAACGTGGCCGTAGTGGCGCTTGGCCGTCTCGTACTCGACGTGGGCGGTGGCGATGGTGATGCCGCGAGCCTTCTCTTCGGGCGCGTTGTCAATATCGCCGTACGCCTTGTACTTGGCCTGGCCCGTTTCGGCGAGGACTAGATGTGGCAGGAGGATGACAGGGGCGGGGGGGGGGAAGGGGAAAATTTGCGAGTGAGATGGACGTCTCCCCAAAACAACAAGACAAACCATACAACCAAAACGGCGCCTCGTCTATCTTCTCTATTCCTTACCCTTGGTGATGGCGGCAGTGAGGGAAGTCTTGCCGTGATCGACGTGGCCAATGGTGCCAATGTTGCAGTGGGGCTTTGCACGGCTAAAGACCTCAGCCATGCCACGAACTTGGGTGCGAGCTGTCGCAAGCAAAATTTAGTGAGCAACGTTGAGATGTTGAGCAGTCCGATCATGGTACGGATCGATGTGAATGGTTGAGAGCGGGCCATGCTTCACACACACACACACATTGCCCCTTCCTCCCCGCCCCCGCCTTCTCCCGCTCCCCAGAAAACCGAGTGTGGGGGCATGTTGAAATGGAAGCGAACGCGATGAGCTGCGGGAAGTGCTCGATGGAAGTGCTGATCTCGACCCATCAGCACATGGACAAAAGCACTTGGCCTGTCTTGGCTTTTGCATTGGCTTTTTTTTTTTTTTTTTTTTTTTTTTTTTGAGCAGTGTTTTCTGCTTCAGACGTACCAACGGAGGACGGCATCGCGGACTTGCGGATCTAATCAGAGTTGTTCAAAGTCGATCGCAGCAGAAAAGCAGAGCAGAAACAATGAAAAGAACAAAGAAGAAGAAGAAGAAGAAGAAGCAATTTTCAAAGTGAGTTTTGGTCGTTATTTGCAATGGAAAATCAATAGAAAAAAAAAAAAAAAAGAGCCAAAAAAAAAAAAAAAAAAAAAAAAAGCATGTGGAATCGATCAAAGCGAAGACAAGAGCAGAGAACCGAGAGATTGAAGCGATTTGAAAGAGGGACGAAACGACGAGAACGGGGTTTGGGGTTGGGGTTGAGGGGGTTTTGCACAGATTTGCAAAAACAAAGAAAAGCAGGGCGAGACGAGGACGTACAGCGCAAGAGACAGAGGGCAAAGAAGAAGAAGAAGAAGCAGAGGCAATGGACGAAGCCACTCCACGCAGGACGACGCCAACAGCACGACCGAGCATGATTATGAAAAAAACTGAGGAATGAGCTCCAAAGCGGAAAATGAAAATGAAAAACACTAACTATTGAGACACTGATCAGCAGAAGACAATGGTTGAGTGGATGGATCAATGGATGGAAAGGGATGGCTGCAGAGTAGAGACAAAACCCGCTCTCTCCTCAGACAAATGATCACTGGGATTGACAATAAAGTCAATCACTCAATGTTTTGAGTGCTGGATGGTGAAGGAAGTGGTGCAGTAGAGCCCGACAAGAGGTAAAAACGAATCAATCCGAATCCCTCTGGCTTTGTTGATTGGACGCGCGATTCGAGCTCAAATCTCAAGTCTCGCACAGTAGCAGTGCTGTTGTATTTGACATGCATTGCTCAGATGTTGAATCCGAGTCTCAGTCTCAGTCTCAGTCTCAGTCTTCCATTTTTTCTGGCTTGCTCAAACAAGACTCTGTGGATATGACCGACGACGCCGCGCTGCAGCCGCAGCAAGCCACGAGCAGCGACCCTTCTGTGGCGCTCCAAGAGCAACAGCGCAGGCCACGCGCAGTGCTGCACAAGAGCACGTACCAGCGCGGAACGCCAATGTTCACGAGCCCAGTCCTGCCGATGCTGCCTGCGTCCATCGCCAAAGTCATACAGCTCGATGCCAGTGTTGGAACCAAACAGCAGCTACAACAGCAGCCACAACAGCCACAACAGCAGCGGCAGACCGCGACGAACAGCAGCGAGCGTCGCTTTGCCGCGCTGTCGGACGCCGAGCTCAAGGACGCGCTGGATCGCCAGCGGGCACTCGCTCGATCGCGCTCCATCATGGAAGCATTGCCTGCAGAGAAGCGCGCACCGATTCTGGAGCGGTTGCAGCTGCTGGAGCGCGAGAGTGCCTTCCGCCAGAGTTTGGACGACGTCGTGACGCTCATGGCTGGCGTCGAGCTCCAACCCACAGTACCAACAGTACCAGAGTTGTCAAACCCCGACCATGGTGCTGCAAGTATGTTACCATCTGACCCGAACGTGCAGAAGGGTCCGCCACAGCCACCACGAGAACAACCGACACAGCTCAGCGCTCGTGCGGCGGAAGCGCGTTCGCTCACAATGCCGCGCGTGCTCGATGCACACAACGAGCCAGATCGTAGCGACCAGAGTGTTATTGTCGAGGGAGAGCGCCAGGCACGACTCGGGCGCCGAGCTATCGCACACGCACAGGCGCCTGGTCGACCGCAAGTACATGCATTGTCGCTTGAATCGTCCCTCGCAATGCTCCAGCACCAACACGAGCTCCAACTACAGCAAGAGCTCTTGCAGCGGCAGGCAGCGGCCAAAGTACAGCCCGTGCGAGCCAAAGCGGGCGCTCTGACGCTTGGTGCATCGCATGACAAAATGTTTGCCCAACGAGGCAGCCCCTCCACCATAACCCCTGTATCCGGCCACGCATCGGCTGCTCGTTCGTTGCAAACCAAAGCAAGTCGGCCTCGAAATGACGCCATGTACCGCGACCCAGACGAGGACGATGATCAGGACGACGATGATGATGTGGACGAGAACGACGATGAGTTTGATAGCGACGATGACTACCCCGATGATGGAGGTGACGACGACGACGATGATGATATCGAGACATACTTCCACGATGTGACTCGCCCATCGGCTTTTGCTGGTGGTTTCCGATGACCCTCATCATTGCTTGCTGTATTTCTAATGTAATTTCTGATTTCGATACTCGACCTATTTCTGTCAGACCACACCACGACAATCAGTCCATTTTCTTATTTTTATTTCATTTAATCCCTCCATCTCACTATCTCACTGCGCAAAAACCAATGTCAGCAGAGGAGGTGCGAAAGGAGCGCGCGTCGCTGCAAACGAGCTTTCGCAACATTGAGGTAAACTCAAACACAACACTCACAGCTTGCGTACCAGCTGCATTCACATGCAATCCATCGACCGGCCACGATGGAAGGAGAGGCGACAAAGAGCGAGGGGCAATCGAGAGTTGGATGCTGCTGCCGCTGTTCTCTAGAAGCCATCGACAGAGACAGAGAGGGACGCTCACTGGAGCGTTGACACTCATCACAACCTTGTCGTATTCATCGAGCATCCATCGTTCAAAGCGCTGGGAGCCGTGCCTGCCCCCCCCCTCGTTGAGTGGCTGGGCTATCATCATCTCACTTGCAATGCGAAATTTTGGATAACAACACTAGACGAGCTTTGCCAACTTTAAGGCGGCGTCCAAGACCATGTTCACTGCGCAGGACGACTGCGTGAAGAGCATTGGAGCGCAAAAGAAGGCGATCGGCGAGCTGCTGGACATGGCGAAACGCAAGCCAGCGGGACTGACAGACCAGGAGCGAACCGAGCTCGAGCGCGAAACGGCCGAGCAGAAGAGCCAGCTCTCCCGCATGGAGGTCTCCTTCCCACAGAAGAAGTCGTAAGTGGGCGTTTTCGATTCGATCGGAGCTCTTCTGGGTCTGTTTGGACGAGGGAGGGAGCGGGAAGAGGCCTGGGATTCGGATCGCTGGGATTCAAAAAAAAAAAAAAAAAAAGCAACCTTTTTGTATTTTGCTTTTTGCTGCTTTTTGTCAATCTTGTCAGCTCAAACTCGTTTGGCCAACATGCTCTTGGGGGACTAACAACTCTTTTTAAAACGCTCTTGTCGAATTTTTGCCAGGGTGCTGCTCGGACTCGTGCTGGGAGACGTGAATATGACCCTCCCAAAGATGGGCGATCGCTTCAAGTACAAGGAGGATTACGAAAAGTTCAAGGCGCGCATGACCATGATCACTGTGCTCATCTCGTTGCTCAACCTCACACTGCTGCCGTTCCGCTTCGTGGAGGCCCTGCTGCACTGCTTGATTGTCTGGTTTTACTGCACGGCCACTTTGCGCGAGCACATTTTGATTGCAAACGGCTCGCGCATCCGGAACTGGTATCTCTGGCACCACTACATTAGCGTCGTGCTCACGGCCATGCTGCTCATCTGGCCAGACGGCTTTGCGTACCAGGCCTTCCGAACCCAGTTCCACATTTTTACGATTTACGTTGGTGTGCTCCAATTCATCCAGTTCCGCTACCAAACCTCCCGCTTGTACATGCTTCGTGCCCTTGGCAAGACGGACGCCATGGAGGTCACCGCGGAAATGTCTTCGCGTGGATTGACGTATCTCGTCGTGATGCTGATGATTGGACATGTAAGGAGGACAAGCCAAAGTTGTTTTTTGTTGGTTTTTTTTTTTTCGAGCGTTGCCCCTCAATCTTGCATTTGTGTCATTCTACAACCTCTAGGGCTTCCAAGTCTACAACGCGTACACCCTGTACGAGATCACCATGGATCCCCGCTGCCTTGAGTGGCATCCTTCGGCGCTGGCCGTTATTTTTATTGTGCTTGCCTCTGGCAATTTCATCACCTTGATGCGCACGCTCGTCCACAAGGCAAAGAAGCACCCAGCTTCGGCATAACAGTTGCTTCTCCCGGGTTCTTTGTTTGTGTATGTCGTTGAACGGTGTCTGCCAAAATGAGCATTTGTACGAATTAGAGAATGTGTTGCATGAACTCTGCTTTTTTTTTTTTTTTTTTTTTCAATTCATTGAATGAACACCTCCAGAGTTGGGCTGGCAATTTTTTTGTTTTTATAAAACCACATAAACACAACATTACAACATTCACATAACAAACACGAATGAAAAAAAGATCAAGCAAACAAAAAGACAGTCTCGTTCAACAAACGCAAAAAAACTGCTTCGTTTGGTTTTTTTTTTCTTCTCTTCAAATCGTGCTTGGGGGTATTTTCGTTTCTTTGGTTATCGGGAAGAATTTTTTGTTTTTTGGCTGTTTAGAGGATCAGGCATCGCTTGTTCTTCTTGCCCTTGACCATAAGAGCGGCACGGGTGGCAGTCTCAAACACCTCTCGGACGTTCTCCTTGTTCTTTGCCGAGCACTCAATGTATTGGTAGGCCTTGATGCGCTCTGCCATGGCCATGCCCTCCTCCTGTGTGACGGGCTTCTGCTTCATCTTGGCAAGTTCTCGGATGGTGTCCTCGTCGTTGCGCAAATCCTTCTTGCAGCCAACAAGGACGAACGGGATGCCGGGGCAGAAGTGGTGCACCTCAGGGACCCACTTCTCGGGGATGTTCTCGAGCGAGTCGGGCGAGTCGATCGCAAAGCACATAAGAATGACGTTCGTGTCGGGGTACGACAGGGGGCGAAGACGGTCGTAATCTTCCTGGCCAGCGGTATCCCAAAGGGCCAACTCGACTTCCTTAGTGTCGACAACAATATCGGCGACATAGTTCTCGAAGACGGTGGGGACGTAGACCTGGATGGAGCGAGCAGGGAAAAAAACAAGAAAAAAAGAAAAAAAAAAGAAAGAAATTCGAGGATCAATTGAAAATGAGCCACAAACGCAAAGAAGGCAGAGACAAAAGAAAAAAAAAAGTGCAAAAGGGCTGTTTCAATGAATGCCCATCGGCGTCGTGCGATTGTTACCTCGGGGAACTGGTCCTTGGAGAAGACGATAAGGAGACAGGTCTTGCCGCAGGCACCATCACCCACGACGACCAACTTGCGACGGATCGGTGCGCTCATTCTAGCTTAGTTTCAAGTTTTCGTTGACTGTGATTGACGAGCAAAAAAAGTAGAGCAATGATACCAATGTGTAAAAAGTGAGTCGATCGAGTTGGAGAAGGGCGAGTTTTTGAAAAAAAAAAAAAAAAAAAAAGAGAGAAAAGAACAGCAAAAGCAAAAAAAAATGATCAAGTGTCAAACAAAAGGCCAAGCGATCGGGATGTGGGAGCAAGCGAGAGACTGATCCATCATGCACAAAGCACACATGAGAGAAGAGAGACACGGAGAAGGAACAGCAAAAGAAGAAGAAGAACAAGAAGAAAGAAAGAGAGAAAAAGAACAGAAAAAAAAAAAGCAAAAAGCATGGGTTTGAATGATGCATGATTATTTGCGGTCTTTTTTTTTTTTTTTTTTTTTTTTGAAAAGAATGAAAAAAAAAATACCTCGCATTTTGTGGTTGGAAGCGAACGCAGCCAACCGCAGCCAAGAGCCGTTGCGAGGTTGTATGCCGAGGAGCGCGCCACACACGCACTCCAAGAGCAAGAGAACGAGATGGAGGCGGAGTCGGAGATGGAAGAGGAGAACGAAGAGAAAGAGAGAAAGAAAAAAAAAAAAAGAAAAAAAGAAAGAGAAAATGGAAAGTTGAAAAAAGCCATAACATGAAAAAAAAAAAAGAAAAAAAAAGAAAAAAAGGCATCAGACATTGGAACGAAAGCCATCACGCAGAGGAGAGAGAGGGGAAGGGGGGTAAGAGCGACGGACGGAACAAAGCACACATGACACAGAGGGGGAAAAGGGGGGTGACCGGGAAGACGCGCAGAGACAAAAGCAAAGCGAGCAAGCGAGCGTGGGGAAACAGGGCGAAACAAGCAGAAAGATGAAGCTTTTGGATTGGAAAAAAAAAAAAGAAAAGAAACAGAAAAAAAAAAAACTGTTCAAAACGACGCAGCTGCAATCGTCTTGTTCGTTGTTGGGCTCTGTCTTGCCCTGCTGCGGCTGATCTCCACGCGAAGGTGGCAGAAAGGCGTGTAGTGAGATCTCGAGATGGGGCGCTGGGGCGGAGCAAGCAACGCAGGAGAGAGCGTACAAAAAGAAGAAGAAAAAAAAAAGAAAAAGAAAAAGAAAAAAAAAAAACACCTGCTGTGCCTTTTTTTCTCTCTTTCTCTTTGACGCTTGTTTCTTTCGCGTCAGTGGCACGCGCGCTGGCAAATCTCAATGGCAAGTGACGCCCAGACAGACAGCATCGTTCGCCCTTCCCCGCTTTCCAAGCAGAACGACCGCGCTCGCAAATCACAAAGAAGATAAAAAGAAAAAAAGAAAAGAAAAGAAAAAAAACTTGCGTTTTGTGAAAAAAATAATAATAACACAAATAAAAAGTAAAAAATACAAAAATAATAATAAAAAAAAACCAACCTGAAAAAACAGAAATAGCGCGTCGCCAAATATAATTGGAGAAAGAGAAACATCATCCAAAAGAAACGAGAAGAAAAAGAAAAAAAAGTAATGAAGATTAAAGGAGAAGAAACGAGCAGTTTGAAGGAAAACAAGGAAGAGTCATTTGAAAGAGGCGGAGGAGGGGGGGGGGAAGAAAGCGAAAAGAAAGGGCGAGTGGAAGGAGAAAATAGGGCATTGGGTCGAGATGACCACCCGTTCTGTGCCGGTGTGCGCATTCCACCAAACGTCTCCAGGACGCCCGCCGCTCTGCTCCAGCCGAGTGAACGATCAGCTTGTCCTTGTTTCGATCTAGAATAATCAATCAATCGAGAAACGAAAGGATTCGAAAAAAAAAAAATCTTGCAAAGCTGCTGTCAAAATACAAAAAAATCAAAAATACAAAAAATCTGAAACTGCGCAGCTTTGGGCAGATCTACAAAGATTGGAAGATCTTCCTGATGATGAGTCGAGCAAGCACCCATAGATGTATCTACTTATTTAGAGAGTGAGAGAGAGTGGGGGGGGGAGTATAAGAGACGGTGGAGAGGGGCAAAACTGCAAATTTTCGACCGAGCAAGAGTTGTTCGCTGCGGCTCAGCATTGTTTTGAAGAATAGTCAACGCACTCAACCAGTACTACGACTTGCAATGCAATTCTACACGGTTTCCTCAAAAATAAGCTCACGTTTGGTTGCTGAGAACAGCCACTCCAAGATTTTTTTGTGCGCGGGTTGCAGCCCAACCCACACGACCCGCCAACTCCAGTCTACCACAGAACAAGCCACCAAAAAACGAACTTTTCATACTTTATGTCGTCCAAGCGGAACTCGATTGGCGAGTCGCTCGCGGCTGCTGTGGCTGCACAGACGACAACCAGCACGTCGCCGCCAATTCTGTACGCCTCAGCGGCATCGACCTCGTCGCCGGCAGCATCGGCGGGCGGACCGAGCGGTGGAGGCCACCCGCCGTCATCGTCGTCGTCCGTCACAAACCCGCTCGTCAAGGGCAGCCATCCGCTGAGCATCATCCACACTGCTGCTGGCGGAGGGGTCGGCGGATTGCTCGACCACGGGCGCGGCTCGCCAGTCCAGCACCACCACCACCTGTCGACCTCCCCGCCGCAGCAGTCGTCGATGGTCAACGGCAGTGTTGTTGCTGTTGCTGCTGCTGCCGCTGCTGCTGGTGGCGGTGGCAGTGTCAGTGGCAGTGCTCCGATGGGCTACTATCCAGAGCTCACCGGATCGCCGCCGTACTCGACCTCGCCCCCGCCTCAGACGTCGTCAGCAGGCGGGCCCGGCAGCGGCATGGGGGCCAACGCGGGCGGCCAGCATCATCTGCACCACCATCATCACCACAACCACCATAGCATGGTCGTCGTGCAGACGTCAACTGGAGCTGCAGTGTCAACCAGCGGCACCGCAGCAGCGTCATCAGCGCTCGCACGTCGCGCCATTGCCCCGCCGTCAGATGCACCGCGCTACGTCCATCTCAACGTCGGAGGCACCTTCTATATGACCTCGGTCGATACGCTCTTCAAGCGGGGCGAGAACATGCTTTCCGCCATGTTCAGCGGGCGCATTGCTGCCGAGCCAGATCCGGACGGCTGGTATGTCATTGACCGCGACGGACGGCACTTTCATTACATTCTGAACTTTCTGCGCGATGGGCGAGTCAATCTGCCAGAGAGCAAGCGCGAGCGTGCGGACATTGCCGCGGAGGCAAGCTTCTACCTGATTGAGGATCTCGTCCGGTACATTCAGCTGCAGGAGGAGGCCAAGTACTATCCAAAGTGCTCCGTGCCATTGCTGACCTCGGCGCAAGAGTTCAAGCTCATTCTGGCAACCACACGCACACCGCTCGTCGTGCTCAACTACAACCGCGGCAACAACAAGTACTCGTACACGCCAAACTCGGACGAAAACTTTCTAAAGAACGCCGAGCTCTTTGACAAGCTCGCGTTCAAGTTTAACGGCCGCGTCCTCTTTGTCAAGGACATCAAGTGCCCGAACGATATTCTGTCCTGGGTCTTTTACGGCGGAGGCATCAAGGTTGCGGAAATTTCGTGTGTCTCGCTGTCATATCCGACCGAAAAGAAGCATACAAAGGTGTGTGTGTGTGTGTGTGTGTGTGTGTGTGTGTGTGTGTGTGTGTGTGTGTGTGTGTGTGTGTGTGTGTGTGTGTGTGTGTGTGTGTGTGTGTGTGTGTGTGTGTGTGTGTGTGTGTGTGTGTGTGGAAAGTGGACGTTTTGAGGATTTTGATGTTTGCTATCAGCAACTTGCGAGCGTAGTTGAGGAAAATCATTCTGCTGATGCTGATGCTTTTTCTTCTTCCTTTTTTGACAGGTCGAATTCCCAGAAGCAAAGATTTACGAGGAAACACTCAATGTATTATTATTTGAGAATGGCGCCGTTCCGTCTCACCCACCCACCCATCATCAGAGTCCGTTTCTTGGCATTGACGATCGGCCATGAGGCGGTTATTCGTCCTTGAACCTTTTTTTTTTTTTTTTTTGTCGTTGCTGCTGTGTTTTGTTTTGGTTGGATTGGCTGGTCCTCCTCCACTCTGTGATCATTTGGACAATTGGAATAAAAGTCGGGTCGCAGACTTGAAGGCTTCACAACCATCAAGCTACTGGTTTTGGTGGCATTGGTTGCTTTCAATGTTAAGATGATACGAGTGCGCCACGCAAAACTCACAAAAACGAAAACTCACAAAAAAACGAAAACTCCAAAAACAGGCAACCCATCGCTACATGCTCTCGAATTTGTTGATGCGATCGTGGGTGGTGCCTTTGCGGATGAGTCGGAGCGTGGCGTACTTGGTTTTGCCGAGCTGGACGTTGCTCTCGTGGATTTCATCGAGCTCGGATGCCATTTCAGTGCGACGCAGCGGCATGATGTCGGCAATCAGCGAGCGCAACTGTACTTGGAGCGTTTTCGATGTGCCCAAGTGCTCCCGCCGCTCCTTTTTGATTTGGGAGGCCAGCTGGGTCGACGCGTCGCCAGGCGGACGAGTGTCCACATCGCGCAGTCCAGTCCCGGCACCTGCATCTCCGCCGGCGCCGTCGTGGCCCAACTGGCCGAGCGAGGTCTCCACCTGAGCTCCGTTTGCGCTGTGAGGAGACCCTGGAGCATAGCTCGAGAGTCGGTAGGACGGCTGGCGTGAAAATTGCACATTCGACAAACTCATGCGCGCCGAGTGCACTTCGGAGGCCAGCGAGGCGCCCGTCGAGCTGTCGAAGGAAGGTATAGACAGCCGTGCTGCTGCGGTAGAGGCGTGCATGGAGCGGCGAAGGGTCGTGGGCGAGCCGTTTTGCGCAATGAGGCTGCGATTATCAGGTGCAAGTCCATTGGGTGGGGCGAGGCCGGCGCCTCCATGCGCCGAGCGTGCCGAATTGCCACTGTCGCGGCGCGTTAACTGTGAGATGGCGGTTTCGGAACCGCTGGAATTGAGCGAGGGGAGGGTTGCGATGGACGTGGTAAATACTTCGGAGGACTGCCGGCCCATTCTTGGTTCGGGGTGATGGGATTGGACCGGCATGGGCACGGGTGAATGGCTCGTGTAGGCAAACACATTGGGTGCAGACGCTGCGACTGTGCCAAGTGCAGAGTGCTGCCCGCGCCCAGCAGTGGCCGGGTCTATGGTGTGGTGTGAGTTGGATTGCCGCATCTGGGCATGGTGCTGAGCAGGGGTCAGGTGCAACGGGTGATGAGCAGTGCCGTGCAGCGACGACGCCGACGAAGACGAGGAGGTGCTTTGCATTGTCGTGTTGGAATACGTGTTGGGGATTGGACTCGTGTCTTTGGAGGGTCGAGCATGGCTGCTGCCGGAAGCGGGCACTGTAGGCGAGTAAAGCGTGTGCGCCGGAGCTGGAGACTTGCTGTTGCTGCTGCTGCTGCTGCTGCTGCCATGAGGGACAAATCGACCGCCGCCAGCAGATGCGCTTGCACCGGTGGTAGTCCCGACAGGCGTGGATGGGGCAGCGCCTTGATTCAGCCGTTGTTGCTGTTGAAAGAGCAACTGCGAACGAAGTTGCACAGCTTGGGCTTCCGCACGCTTGGCTTGAAACGCGAGACGGGCAGCCACCTCTTCGGCCTCCTTGGCTTTGCGACCCATCTCGGCCTTTTCCTCGGCCGTGCGCACGGCTGTTTTCATGATTCGCATTTTCGTCTCTTCAGCCTCAAGGGCCTTGCGCATGAGAAGCCTGGCCTCCTCTTCGGCAATGGTCGCCTTTTCAAACATGAGCTCGGCGGTTTCCTCCGACCGACGGAAGGCGTACTCCCACTGCTTTGCGTGCTCTTCCGCCTGCTGCAAGCGCAGCTCAAGCTCGTATCGCGCTCGCTCGGCCTCGACACGGGCGCTCCGTTCGAGAAGGAGACGCTGCTTTTGCGTCTCCCGTCGCAGGCGCTCGTGCTGTGCCTCCGCCTGGAAGAGCTCGTGCTCCAGCGTCGCATTGGCGCGCCCTCGGAGATACATTTGGTAATTGCCGAGACACATGTGCGTGATGCGCTTGTTGATGCGCTTGCTCGGCACAATCAGCACGACATCTGGCGAGCGTCGATCGTTGACAGTGATGATGAACTGCGTGTCCACATAGCCAACTTGCTGAATCTCGCTCCAGGGAAAGGCAATCTTTGGATTGAGCTTGTCGTTGAGCTCGTAAATGCTGAGGCCACGCGCATCAATCCCGAGCCAGACATCCGTGCCCTTCTTGTTTTTGATGGGGAAGAACTCGACGCCAAACATTTCGAGGTCTTGGGCAATCTTGAGGTACTCGACGAGAGCTTCCTCCAAGGACATGCCCTGGTGCTCGGCGTGGCACGCGAGGATGCGCTCCTCCCACATTGCATCCGTCATGTTGTACTGGCTCTTGACGCGCTGCGGCATGAGCGTGTCGCCGGAAAGAAACCCAGGGACGTGCACGCGCGAGTTGTAGTCGCCATGCTTGGCTTGCACATAGTAGGACGCTAACAGGACGCACATTTCGGCGGGACAGTAGAGCTGGCTGCTGCAGATGCTCTCGTGCAGCTGCAAGACCAAGTAGTGTCGTGTGCGATCGAGAATCACCTGCTCAACCGCATCCTCTGGGAAGAATTTGAAGCGCATTCGGAGCTGGTACGGCGCCGCAGGGTCGGACTTGTCCATGCGCAGCACATCATGCTTTCGAATCCGCTTGTCCAGCGTGACCCAGGCTGGTGCGCCGTCCATGGCCTGATACGCGAGGCCAAAGAAGCACACCTCTCGAATGCCGAGTAATCGCGCAGCAGTGTCAAATATTTGTCTTCCGGTGATGTTTCCCTTTTTTGTTGAGTTGTTGGTTTTTTGCATGGGTGACGACGAAGAAGAAGAAGAAGACGACGACGAAGAAGAAGAAGGGTTGGAAAACAAGGTGAGTACGACATGGCGCTCATTGTGACTTTACAACTCGCGGGAGGGGGTGAATGCACTTCGTGTTGCAGCTATAAGATCATCCACGATCTCACTTACCGGCTGAGTCGAGGCCAGCACTGTTACGTCCGTCAGCGGCGCCCCAAATTTGGTCGGCAGTGAACTCACAACGACGTTGACGACGGACGGGACGCGGTGAAGGACAAAGACGCGCTGCAGAAATGTAGAGCGTTCGATCGACGAGTTGCTGCTGTTGCTGCCTCTCGAGTGTCTCTCTTGTGCGGTGGACGGTAGTGAGTGTGAAGTGGTGGCTTGACCCGCTTGCGGATCTTGTTGCCGCCAGTCCGAGGACGACGCCGGAGCAGACACGCCGCTGCTTCCATTGCCAGCGCCAGCAACGACAGCATGGCTTCCAGACGCAGTGACGAGCGGGACGTCGGCCGGGAGCTGCAACGCCAGAGAGGAGGACTGTGATGGCAGGATTGACAGCCCGGAGTCTGGCAGGCCGCCAAACAAGCCATGCGCCGCGACGGCCTCTGCACAAACGACACGCAAAGCAAACGCAAGGTAAGCAACAGTCGAGTCGAAGCAAGAAGGCGTCCCGATTGAGCAGAACGCGAGGCACACAAAAAAGCGAAAAAAAGGGTTCGATGACAGATTTTGTGGGATCAATAAACAAATCGACTTTTAGGTTTTTTCGGTTTTTAGGTTTTTAGGGTTTTTCGAACAAAGTCTTGCGATGGTTGCATCGGCAGGTACCACGCAAGCCATTCCATGCGTTATGAAGAGAGCAAGAAAGAGACAGAGACAGAGACAGAGAGAGACAGAGGAGTCGAGCACGAACGCGCGAGACAAGGGGGAAATAAAGTCGCGCACGATCACAGCGATTCGCAACGATGCAACTGCAGACCTTGTGTGAGGACGAACGCGCGCCCCCGCAGTGGCATTCAAGAAGGCAGATCGCAAAGCGGAGGACGAATGCAAACTGTCAGAAAGCGCAAGCCAACAACAACCACAATGACGAGAATAACAATAAATAAAAATAAACAAGACTGAGCAAAAAATTGTAAAAAATTGGAAGACGTTTTTGGCTTTTCAGTCGACTTTTGTTTTTTTTTTTTGCAGTTTATTTTGTACATTTTCACCCAGACACGCCGACTCTTTGTCTCGAGCTATTGACAATCTTACCGCGGATCAACCTACAAGACGAAGAGTAATTCGAGTGAGAAGAAAGAACATCAAAGCAAAAACGACGAGGGGTTGGGGAACAGAAAAAAAAAAAAAAAAAACAGAATGCATAGGATCAGAAAGCTATGTTCTCCTCTGTGCCCATTGGTGCCGAGAAACGGCGTTATAGGCAAGTCGGACTCGTCATCTAAATTAATTGTTGTAGCTGATCTCATCGTATCCGAGCATTCTCAAAAGAAGAAGAAGGTGGCGAAGGAAGGGGGCGAGAAAAAAAAAAAATTACCTTACCTGCTGGAGCCACAGGTCGAGCGTTTTGTGTGCGGTGAAGCAAACATCAGTATCTGCATTTCGACAAAAACAAAAGAAGCAAAAATAATGAGCGACGGGCAAGAAAACAAGTCAATAATAATAATAATAAAAAAAAAAAAGTCGAAGAAAATAAAATAAAAGGCTGTTCAGAAACATGGTTTGTCTCACTACTCGGCTGCGAGACCGAGCTCTGAAGTAGCAAATAATATGTTTCAGTACATCACAACAACTCGGGGGAAAAACAAAGAAAAGAAAAGAATGGGCGGAAAAAAAAGAAAAGAAAAGAATGGGCGGAAAAAAAAAACCTGTATGCGATTGCAAAGACATGAAACTCACCACTCAAACCTCGCCAATCAATCTTCAGCATGGCAGATGGAAGTGATATCGAGTTCAGAACCTAACAAAACAAAAATAAAGTGAGAACAGGCTGGGGACGAGTAAAACGAGAAAAAGTGCGTTCAAAAAATAAAAAAAAGAATAAAGGTTTCAGTTGGCTCAGAAATCGCGTAATGAGTGCATCGGGCCGTCACGCTTGATGTGGGGCCTAACCCACAGCGTGCAGCGCTCAGACAAGAGGTGTCAGAAAGTCAATCGTGACATTCATCAACGCAACTGAAAACAAAAAAAATTCTTCTGGGAAACAAGAAGAGTTGCAGAGTTGAAGCGAGGCGAAAGAAGAAAGGCAGAATCGTCTCGTTCTTGCTCACCTTATTAACAAACTAACATTTGGACCGAAATTCAACCAAAAGACTGAATAACTCGGGTAATCGAACGCCGGCAAATGGGACAGGCTCGGAGCTCGCGCGCGCACGTCATGCAGGCGCAACGATGGCCGCACTCGAGAAGCACGGCATTGCGCTCGTGATCGAGGCAAACCACACAGAGATCGTCATCGGCCTCGACGGCAGCAGAATCCGACGGCTTGTGCTCAGAGCTATTCTCGAGTTCCAACGCCCGTTGGGCCCGTTTGCGTGCAAGCTCCTCGCGATAGAGGCGGCTGGCGCGAGCGTCCAGGGCGGGACGAATGAAGCGAGAGTATAGTTCATACGCGGCGAGCGCGACGGCAAAGGTTGCAAACACCCGACCAGCCCATCGCCACCGCCATGCACTGGTGCGCTCCGCAAGCGACAGGGCAGACAGTGGCCCCGTCGTGATGTAATAGCGAGCACCGTTGGCTGGAGGCTGAATCTGGAGCTGCTCGGCGTGCCGCGAGGCACTGGTCGGAATGGCCTGCGCCGAGACGGCCAGCGATGCATCCGGGTTGAGGGTGACTTGGCCAACGATCGTGACGCTGGTGCCCACAGCGAGAACAGACTCGGTCGTGTCGATGCCCTTGGCCTTTTCGCCAGCAACAATGTCCATCACGGCTTTGGTGGCGGTCGACGTTGCCGGAACAAAGCGATGGTAGACCTGCTTGAGAGCCAGTCCGTACGCCGACAGAGGCTCAGCCACCCGCAGGAACAGCGTCGGCAAGGCCTGCAGCGAAATGGGAGCCACCTCGGTCGAGTCGGCGATGGTGCGCACGCTGTCCTCCCAGCGCTTGGCCGCCTCGTTGTAGAGCGAGCGGTGCTCTTGGATGACCAGCCGGTGAATGACAGCAGGCGCGGTTGCATGCATGGCATCCAGTGGCACAGCGCCAGGACCAGGGATGACAACGCCAGTCACCACAGCATACGGGATGCACTCGTTCGGCGCAGCACGGACGGCAGCCTCCAACTCTGAGTGCGGGATGCGCGCTGCGTTCTGCACCAGAAAACACAAAGAGCATGCAGGCCCGAGATGGTGTCGGATGCAATGTCAGAGTGGGGAGAGCTTCTTGCAAAGCACCAAAAAAAAAAAAAAAAAAAAGATCTTGAAAAAAACGAGATCACGTCTTTTTTTTTTTCGCGCTCAGGCCTCAACGCTGATGCCAAGCAGCATTGCATCACAGCATTTGAAAATGCATGTTGCTTGTTGTCAAACGCAAAGAGCGATGGCGCACCAATGAAAAGGCGAGAGGGAGAGAAGAGGAGAAAAGAAGAGCGGCTCACAATGCCAAAACTCCACATGGTCGAACACGCGGTCAGCGACTGCTCACCTCGAGGTGCCGCGCATTGGTGCTTGCAGAGTGCCAGCAGTAGTAGCTAAACGCTGCGATGGATCCGCAGACGGCAGCGCCCCACATTGTGCGACAAGCGAAAGGAAGAAGAAGAAGAAGGAGATGAGGAAGAACAAGAAGAAGAGGGAATGATCAGAAAATGAAAAAGCGCTTTGATTCAGAATGCCAGTTGTCGTTTGGGAACAAACAAAAAGGCAGACTGGTTCGATCTGCATTTGGAACATCGAGCAAATACAAAAAACCTCAACGTGCAAGTCGTTGGGAAATTGGACGAGAAGTTCGGTACATTTTTTGGTTCTGGTTTCGATTGTGTATCGAATGGATTTGTCTCACGATTTTGGCTTGCTCGCGCTCCGAACGACTAGCCCCTTGATCTATCTACTGTCATTCTCCAAGACAAAGGTGTGATCTCACGACCTCCAAACACACACGGTCGCCCTTTTCGTATACCAGTTCTCCTTTTTTCATTTTCTTGTCTTTTTCGACAACAATGGTCCAAACTCAGGGCGTTGATTTCATCGCGCTGCCGCTCACACACCGCATTTTGCTGTACGGCCTGATGGGCTGGGTCGACGAAGTGGTCTTCACTGCGCTGTCTGATATTGTCTTTCCCCCGAGCCTCGAAGTGCACCCTGGCTACAAGCGATATGCCTTTGTCGGCTACTCGTCACTGTGGTCGTTCTTCATTTATGCCATTGCCAGCCTGTATCTCGAGGTGAGGACGCAGCACTCCAATGTGCGCTCGCTCCACTGTGTCATGTTGCTCTGTTTGTTCTGTCCGGTGAGGGCTGAGTTGACTCGTTGGCGGGGCGGCTGGCCACACAGTTCAAGCCCCGTGGTCCCAAAGGGCGTTGAAACTTTGGCGCTTTCCTTTTTTTTTTTTTTTTTTCGGTTTCCTCTTTTGCTCTTTTGCGGTCGACTGCTTGTTACTCGCTTCCATGTTCCCCACCTCGCTGGGTAGCCGGTGTCTCTCTCCGTTTCAGCGCCGCAACTGCACGAGTCTTTGGTCTGGTTTCTTGCCCCAACAGAACCCCCCCTTTTGCCCCTCATTTGACAAAATGCCCACGCAAGCAGGACCAATTTGGCCCAATTCCTTCGATTCCAACGACAAGGCTTCCTGGTTGACTCTCTCTCTCTGTCTCTCTCTGTCTCTCTCGTTCGCTCTCTCGCTCAATCATTCACCTGCACACTCGTTTACCGACATGATTCTGAGCCAGCGTTGCTGCAAACGTGGTGGGAGCCATTTTGGGCTCAAGCCAATGTTGCCTTGCGCTTTTTCCACGTGAAAAAAATGTTGAGGCTTTTTCCCCCTTCACTCTCTCTCTCTCAGTGACCCTCAGTGACCCTCAGTGACCCTCAGTGACCCTCAGTCCTTCCATGCATGAATCGTCGCTCTCTTTCTCGCTCTCTTTCCTCTCTCATCCACATTGACCTCAGTCTCTTGGGGGTCTTTTGGCTTCTATTCGCGCTCCTAATGACACAACCTGTCAGGCCACCTGTCACGACAACTTTTTTTTGAACGTTGCTTTCAGTTCAAGCTTTTCCTTGTCGTTCGTTCTGTTGTGCGAGAGATGTCTGATACAATGCTTTGAAACAAAAAAAAAAAGGGGGGGGGGGGAGAGGCGGGCGGCAAAGACCTGAAGAACAATCGACGCGAAAACAACAACAATAAAAAATAGTAAACCCGCTGATTTTTTGGATTTGGTGCAAGTCGCGTCGCGTCGCGTCGTTTTTTCAGATTTTGTTGATGTTACTTTCCTACTGTTTCTTGGTTTTTGATGACTTCCGAGGATAAAACCTCAAAATGTCCTCGTGGAACTAACGCGTTGATTATTTTGTGGTTGATTTTGGTCTTTTTTTCCTCAAAATGTCCTCGTGGAACTAACGCGTTGATTATTTTGTGGTTGATTTTGGTCTTTTTTTGTTTTTTTTTTGCAGTTTGTCTACTCCAAGCTCATCCAACGCCGCTTCCCGTGGCTCCTCCGCGGCCTGACTTACATGCTCGGCATTTTCACCATCGAGTTTGTTGCTGGCTTGTTGCTGTGGCCATTCGGTGCCAACTCCTGGGTAAAAGTTTGAACTGCTGGCGTTGTTGTTTGGTGTTTTCATGTGTCACATTTTCCACTCACCGTCCCCGTCTCTCCTCGGAACAGGATTACTCGCATGCGCCGTGCCATGTCTGGGGCATGATTCGGTGCGACTATTCGATCGTCTGGTTCACTGTGGGTCTGGGCCATGAGCTCGTGATTGAGTATCTCTTCAACCTCCACCTGCAAGCCACCCCGCGCGACTCGCACCACAGCTTTAGCCAGAAGCTCGTGGAATTCCTCTCGACGGGACACAAGCTAGCAACGCCCACGCCCAAAGCCGAGATTCTTTTGACGGAAGAGCAGCAGCTCGAGCTGCTGCAGGCCGAACAGGTCGAGTCCAAGAAGACGCTATAAACACCAAGTCTCTGCTTGGCCATTTTTCGCCAAATTGTACAATGCTTTTGTGTAGTAGTTTGTAATTTCTCTCCTTAAGATTGAAACCACGAGATGCGTCTGTGACGCGCTCTGAGAAATTGTATTGGGAATGTTTGCCTTTTTGGTTTGTTGTTGTTGTATTTTGTTGTATTTTTGATGATTGCTTGAAAATGAGATACTGTATTGCTGCTTGATTTTTGAACATGTTACATACAGTTGCTTGTCAGCAATTGGGGTTTGGATGAAGGATGGAGCAGAGGTTGAACATGACAACAATCGGCGACCCATAAGCCTTCGGGCGGAAATGGGGGAAACGGTTGCTTCACTCGCTGCTTGCACCCCACCCTTTCAACCCTCCTCTTTGACTCTGCTTTCGAGCCCTGCTGTCCACGCGCTTGCACACAACACGGACACGGCGCGATTCCAAAAGTTTGCCCGGCAGATCAAAAATTACCTGCCGTGAACTCTGCCACGACAATCGTCCCCTCAATTGGACGACTGTTGCTCAGTCGCGCGCACAGAGAACCAGGTCTGGATCGACACATAATTAGGAAAAGCCATGCGTTTATCAGTGCGCAAGAGGCTGTCGGAGTGTGCCGAAATCTCTTTCTTTCTTTCAACTTGTATTGCTGCTTTTCAACCGAATCGACAAAAACGGAAAACCAAAAAAAAAAAAGAACGGAATCTGAGCGACGGAATCTGAGCGTTTTTTCACACCACCCCTTTGCTCACAACCCTTTCCGTGCACCTGGATGCTATTGTATAGATCTGGCAGAGCTTCGTCCGCGATGTAAAGAAGCTGAACTACGCCGAACGGTTGCTACGCTGATCGACTCGATGACTTCTTTGCCGCGTCGTTTTTCTCAATCCTTGAGCAACAAGCAGGTCGGTTATTTTGTGTTTGTCTTTTGCGGATCAGCCTAGCGTTCAACGTCGGTCGGTTTGGTGCTGAAAAAGTTGACAATGAAAAACAGTCGAAGATTGGAAAAGAAAAAAAAAAAAAAAATGAAGAGGGCGCGAAAAAAAAAAGAAAAAAAAAAAAAGGCGCAACGATCCCTGTTCGATCTTGTTGCTCGTTGCGTTCGTCCAACGTGGTTGCGGGGACTGCTGGTCTGGCTCGCGTTTTGCAGGTGGTCGACCTCAACAGCAAGCAGGTGCATCAAGCAGAGAGCGGCCGTCCGCGGGCCTCACAAACAAACTCACGATGAAAACGAAGAAAAAAAAAAAAAAAAAAAGTCAGTCTGGTGCGAAAATCCGCTTTCGCCTTCTTCGCTTTGTCCGCGGGCATGGTTGCTTCCGTGTGCCGCGCGCATCTTGCTTGTCTGGATGCTGTTGTGCTTGCCAAATGTCTGTTGCTGTAGAAAATCGCATCAAATACATCACAGCAACAAAAACGTAATGATAAAAAATAATAAAAAAATGTGTCGACCTGTCAAACTTTGATTTTTTTTTTTTTTTTTTCCCTTTGCTGGTTTACAACGAGCGCAGAAAGCACAACGGAAAAAGCGCGGGGGATTCACAGCAGTGTGAGAACGAAGCGGCAAAGCTGAGAATGGACGACGGATGCCCGAACGGAGCACGATCGGCAGGGCAGAGAAGCGAGAGAGAGAGAAAAAAGAAGTAAAAACGAGTCAAGCGAGGCCATCACATCACGAAACGCGCTCAACCCGAGCGGAAGAGGAGGACGGCTGTGTTATTGAGGTAAAAGTAGATAAAGTGCTTGGTCTCGTGGGTGACGAACGAGCCGAACGAGCGGCCGACGATGCAGTGCCAGGTCGGGTTGTGCTTTTGGTCAAAGGCCTTCTTGATGTGCGCGGCAATGTCCTTCTCCACCTGGAACGACTCCATCGCCGTCTTGGCAACCTCGATGGCGTCCGACTGCATGTCCTCAAACATGTCTGCGCTCTTGATCACGGCAGCCATGCTGCGAATGTCAGGCTTGTCTGCCATGGCTGCTGTTGTAGTAGTAAGTGTTTTTTGAGGAAAAAATGACTGCGCCAAACTCATCCGTACGTATTGCTCAGCGATCGCTCTGAGCAGGGGGTCGCCACCATACAACATGAATTCAAATGAGCTTCCAGATAGGCTGACGGGAGCCAGGGCCACTCTTCCATCTAGCAACCACAATCTTCACTTCTTTGAGCCGTTATGAATTCAATCAGCGAGGCGTGCAGCAACCTCAAACAGTCGTACGACAAGTGCTTCAACAGCTGGTACAGCGAAAAGTTTCTCAAGGGCGAAAAGTCCACCAGCGACTGCGACGCGCTGTTCAAAGAGTACCAAGCATGCGTGAAGGTCAGTTTTGTTTGGAAGTGTGTTTCAGAAGAGAGGGCTTGCGATCGGTCCGGTGCTGAAGTGTCAATCTCAAGTGATTGCTCCAATGACCTTCTTGCCATTCGGATTTGCCGGCAACATGGCTGCAGGAGGGGCACGATGAGGCGCTGAGTGTGTCGCTGCTGTGCTGTTCTCTCTTGGCTCACTTTGCTTCGTTTTTCCCCCCCCCCATCATCATCATCATCATCAACATCGTCGTCGCCAGGCTGCACTCAAGGAAAAGAACTTGTTGACGTCGTTCGAGCCAGGGTTTGAAGCCGCAGCAATGGCAAACGCGGGCAGCAGCTCGAATGCTTCCGATCCAGCGCGATGACGCTTTCGTTGTCAATGTCCGGACAGGACTCGTAGTCGTACACTTTGTATTTTTGTATATTACACATCAATCACTACAAAACCAAATGGAGAGATCGGGTTGAGGACAAGACGGTTTTGCTTTACATCGACGATCGCGAAATGCGCTCTGCAGTGTTCAAAAGCTGAGAAGGAGGGACACAAGTATGTGAGTAAACCATGCTGAACATGTTGGATCCCGTTTGCAAGAGGCATCAACAACAACAAAAACAACAACCAACAAGCACACTCACTTGGGCTCGAAGAGCATCGCGGTATCTCAACTCGACCGGATCCGTTGTTGTCGCATCGCAGGCTGCAATTGCTTCATGCACGACACGCGCGACATTGGCAAGCTCGGTGGCTGTCCCGTAAAAGGCCAAACTCTGCGGTGTCCCGAGCGCAGCGCTCGCGTTGATGCGCACTTTGCTGTTTTTGCAGGTGCCGATGCACTGGCACAGGGTCGTTACCACGCGCACCGCCCATGCTGGTCGTGGTGACAGGATGCAGGGGTTTTTGAGCGCATTACCGAGCGCGCGGCACGCATTCCAGCGGACCTTGGCGCTGCCAGTGAGAGAGGCCTTGCAGAGCAGCTCAATTCCTTCACCGATCAGTCCTTCAAACTTGGCGCCGCTGCCAACGCGGCTATGTTGGAGCATCTCTGTTGTGGCAAACCGTGCGACATTCCCCAAAGCACGAACAATATTCGAGCGAACCTGTTACCAATGGGGACGTGGCAACCAAGAAAAACCACAGCAAACAACAAAACAGACAATCAAAAAAGAAAAAAAAAAAAAGTCAATTTCAATTTACTCGTATCTCTCCCGGCCTGACTTTACCTTGTCATGGTCTTTCGCAGCACCAATGCAGATGCTCGTAATGTTCCACAACAGGTTGATGGGAAAGTCTGTCGCAATCGTGGGGAACTCGGCGTTGTTGCTCGATGCTCTGTTCTCCAAATCATTGCCAAAACCGCCAAGCAAGTCATTGAGCGACAGGTCATAACTCCACACCGACCGCGAGCACAACAAACAAAAACCAAGATAGACATCTACTCACTGTGATGAAATCAACGCATCACACAAGTTTCCGAGTGCCCAACTGGCACGAACACGAATCACGAGATGCGGGCTCTCCATTCCAGAAAGCAGGGCCGTGGTTGCGTCAGACATAAAGACGAGATCATCAAACAATGACGGAAATAGGACAAACATGCCTATGGTGCGACAGGCTGCCGCCTGGGCTGAGGCTGCAGCCGAGTCCGCCGGCGTCTCTCGCACGTCGTCCGTCCGCTCGTGAATGGTTGTGTCTAAATCGCTGGCGTCATCCACCGGATTCAAGCTCACGAGCTGCGAAAGAAGGCGAGCAGACTGGTCACGGGGCAGAGCGCAGAAGCGCGGCTCGCTCAAACGCGAAAGCAAATCGCAGGCCGCAGCACACACAGCCAGTGAAGAATCTTGCAAAAGCCGAAACAAGTGACGCTTCTCGATGACGACATTCCAGAGTTGATCGGATACATTGCCCAGCATGGCCAGGAGCGCGTCGTTGTTGACGGCAGTCGCGCTTGTTGCGGTTGTTGATGCTGCTGCTGCTGCGGCGCCGTCGACCAAGTCGGCATCGCCATCTCCATCCAATGCATCCGAGCCGCTGGCGAACATGGCCGGACGAACAAGAGCGGTTGTGCGCGCAAGAATGGACCCTGCCAGCGACTCGAACAACCGAGCAGCCGACAGCCTGACACTTGCATCAGCCTCAGACACGTTATTGCTGGCTGCATGAAGCAGTCGCAAAAGCAACGAGTCTGCCGTGGAAGCGCCAAGGCCATCGGAAGCGGCACCGCCAGGCCAGAGGGATGGCAGCACGTCATCCAATTTGCCGACGCTGGCACACAAAAAGTACGCGGCATGAACACGAACCGGTATTGGGTCTTTGGCCGACATGGTGTCAATGGCTCGTGCAAGCAGGTCGGGAATGGTGATACTGGCCGGAGATTCGGCAAGTTGAGCCAATGCAGGACGACTATCGTTGGCAGCAACGGCCGTCAAGCAAGCCCAGGCTGCAATTCGCACATCGATATCACGATGCCCGATGTGCGCAAAGCACAGGGCAATGCAGCTCTGCAAATGTTGTTTGGCGCGCCGCAGCTTGGAATAACAAGTGTTCTCCACGAGCAGCGTCAAACACCGCACTACTTGAAGGAGGGGTTGCGCAGCCTGTTCCGTATGTGCGGCGCGTAATAGCGCCTCGTGTACTTGCACGAGACGAGCAGCCAGCGTCCGCGAGAAAGGCGTGAACGAGGGCGTGGTCGGGGCCAGATCGTCCGCGGCTGCAAGAAACGGCTTGCTGCCTTCAAGCATGGCTGCAAGCGCAGTCAATGCCAGAGACCGAACCTTTGGGTTTGGATCATGCAGAATACTGGTGAGCAGTGTTGGGGTGGCCATCGAGGCCGAGTCTGGCAGGAAACCAGGCCAAAAAGCCTGAAAGTCGCGCTTGCGAACCACCTTAATGATCGATCCTAGTGCTGCAAACGCTGCTTGCCGGATTGCAAGAGCGCTCTTAGAGCTACGAACGTGCAGCGTTCAAGCAGGATATTAGCAAAGATAGAACGCATTTTCAAAAGGAAAGTGAGAAAATTTCGCTGACAGCTCCATCACACCGCTCGATACTCAGCCACACCATCATCAAAACGTAAACGAATACTCACTTGGATCGCCCACCAGCACTGTCAAGATCGGAAAAGTCAGATTCCGAACTCACGAAATCGGAGCTTGCAGGAGATCCGTGATTCGCCTCTGTGGAATGACGGGCAGGTCTTCGGCATGTGCGACTGCCATCAGTATTAGCGGGATTGGAGTTTGTAGCGTCGTTGGTGGTGGTGGTGGTGGCGGTGGCGGTGGTAGAGCCTGCACGACTCGGCAGCGAGGAGGAGAGTGGATCCGCAAAGGCACCAGCGGGCTGCAGCGGCACACCGAGCATGGCAGACAGGGATGGCACGGAACCAGTGCCAGTAGCCGAATCCACAGCAGCAGCGTTGATGACCGACAAAGACAAGCCGTGGAACAGACACAGCTTGAGGCGCGCAAGAACGTCCGAGAGCAGCGGCTCCACGGTTTTTGAGAAAGTCACCAGCCGCGTGAGCGCTTTGAGGATTGTGACAAGCAACTTTGTGGATGCTCGTGACATGAGTGGCGCCGGCGCCGGTGGGCATGGCGTCGTGCTGCTGCTGCTGCTGCTGCTGCTGCTGCTGCTGCTGCTGCTGCTGCTGCTGCTCGGAAAACCAACAACAAGCAAGGAGTGTGTCTCGTGTGCGAGGTTGGCAAACACGACAGTCAGTATCTCGGATTGAAGCTGCTGAAATACGGGCTGTGTTGCAAGCGAGCACTTGATGGTAAGATTGCCGAGGCACGAAATTGCAATGCGGCGTGCTTCGGTAGTGATGGATTGGAGCTCGAAAGCCTGCTCTGGTGGGCCCGATGACGGCTGGCTCGCATCCCGGACCTTGGCAAGCTCAAACAGAATCCTTTGTGAGAGTGCCGGGGCGCTTGATGACGCATCGGACGGACCGACTAGCGCGAGCATCTCGGCGCTCAAAGGTGCCGCAAGCAGGGTTGGGCCATTCTCGTACACCACAGCAGCCAAGGCGCGCAACCCGTCCACGAGCTCGCGAGCGCTTTCCACGGAGGGGGACGTGGACATGGCACTGAACCGCGGAGCCACGATGAATCGCGTCAGGATGCGCACGAACGCGATCGCTGCAGTTGGTGAGCGCACAATGACTTGCAATCGCCCGCACAGATTCACAAGAGTGCGATTGCAGCATCGCAATGCCGTTGACACAGCCAAGCCTTGTCCAGCGGTAGTCGCAGTGGTGGTGGTGGTGGCTTGGGTTGTGGATGCATTGTTGCCCTCGAGGACGACTGCGCTCGTGCATTGCGCAACGAGATCAAGCAGCGTGGTGACTGCCCAAGATACAAATGCATGCTATAGTGAGCGTCTGTTCATAGTGCATGTCGACCCCCACTTGATGCATCCATTGTAACTACCTGCGTTCGACTCGAGTGGAGCGGCAGACGCGCTGGTCGTCCACGCATCGACGGCAGTGTCAATGCAGCTCAGCACAGCCACTGCTGCACTCACTGGCATGCTCTTGGCACTGCTGCTGGGATTTGGGCTGGGGTTGGTCCCGCTGCTGGCGAGCAGCTCGTGTGCCTGTGCCACGAGTGCTGCAGCGTCCATTGACACGACTCGCGCGAATACTGGACACAAACACACACACGCACACACAAACAAAGAGTGGACAATAGAAATACTTAATGATAATAGCAGCAATAATAGTACTGTAGCAGTACTGTAGCAAAAGATGACCTGGATAATACTGAAAAAAAAAAAAACCAAAAAAAAAAAAAGTGTATTCAAAAGTTTCAGTATTTTTGACTTTGTGTCCAGCAAGGAAAAAAAAAAAAGGCCCGCTCTCTGTTACGCATTGTGTTGCACTGGTCGAGGCGGAATGCCAGCGCTAAACTTTGCAGCGCTGTAGGCAGTGGTCGGGTCTGCAAAGCGATGGCGCACGAGATGCTGAGCAACCAGCCCGCCGACCTTTTCAGGCTTGTCTTCATGCAGCGAATGGCCACATTCTGGGAGAATATCGAGTTGAAACTTGCCTGTGTACAGAATGGGATGAGTCAACCGCGCAACTTGCGATGGACAATAGAGCCGGAAAAGCAACAAATCCGCTACAAACCAGCAATCAAACCCGAACCTTGCATTTGACCGATCGTGAGCTCCTTATCCAAGCGGTCCATGCCGGCAAGAATTAGCATTTTAGATGCACGAGCAGTGAGGAATTTGTTCGACAGGCCCGTAAACCATTCTGAATATGTGTGTTCGTGGTCCAAAAGTCAGAAAGCCAACACAAAACCTCTGACAATTTGACAACATTGCGGCCTTGAAATCAAACTTACCCAACCAGAAAGGTTGCGTCTTGCTTAAATCCATCCTCCACACATACGTGGGACCACCCGAAGCAGTTGTAGCAGCTCCGAGTATCGATTCTCCCGCTTCCTCCTCAAGAATGTGCGAGATGCTCGGGGCGAGCAGATTTTGCCCATCATCATGAATTTCACGGACCTGTCCCGGCATGGCTACGCGAGCAGCCTCGACGTTGTGTGTATGGCCTGTTCGCAAGCTGGTTCGATGCACCCAGAAGGACAGAAAAAGGATGAATACTCGACGACTTTACTTTTTGGAGCTCGTGTTTTTCTTCTGTTTGCCTTTGAGCATGAGCAGGACTCACCTCCATTCAATAGCTTGGGTCACACTCTTGAAGGACTTTGGCCGATTGCGAATGACATTGGTCATTGAGGATAACGCGTCCAGCGCGGAGCCTACAAGGGGAAATGGAGGATGGCAGATCGTCAGTCTCCAGCAGCAGCAGCAGCGCAAGTAGGTCCATGTGAGCTAGCATAATGCCACCGACAGCTGCGCGACACGTACCCTCAACGACGTCAAGCACCACCAGTCCGACGAGCGATGAAATCATGTTTTTGGCAGCAATGTGCGTGGCGATCGCACCTCCCATGCTGTACAGGATGAAGCGTGACATGTCCACATGACAAAGTGAGTGATTGAGCCTCTGAGGAAGAAAGAGAGCAAGAGAGAGGGAGAGAGAGAGAGAGAGAGAGAGAGAGAGAGAGGAGACGGGAAGAGAGCCAAACCTGTGTCCAATCACAAACGTTGGCGGATTTTCGCTAGGATACAGCACACTGAAGACTTGCACCACATCCTGCGCCATAGCGTCGAGCGAAAAGTCGTCTGGTGTTGTCGTGTGGCTTTCTCCTGCACAAAAGGAGAGACAAAGTCAAAGATCAAGCCTTGTCCCAAAGGGATGATTTTTGTTTTCCTTACCATGCTCGCGCAAATCCATCGCAATGATGCGGCACGCGCAAAGCCGAGCAACCTCTTTCTACATCACCAGAAGGCCAACAGAGTGAAAGAACAGCTCCAGTGAGACCATTGACAGAGTTTCAATTTTGGGGCGTGGTTTCTGAGCAAATTTCCATTCAACCACCACAAGCAGCCGTCATTTTTGACCAACATCCTTCGCTTACCGCAAATAAGCTCCATGACAAAGCGCACATGCCTCCGCCATGCAGCAGAATGAGAACGGGACCAACGCTGCCCAAGCGATAGACTCTGAAACTCTGTCGCAACACCACACAAAACCAAGAGTCAGTCCGCCATCCATATGTTGTCCAAATCAAAGCGCGTCAGCAGGTATAAGCATCAGCATTGAAGGGAGGGAGAGGGGGCTTCAAGGGGGGAAAGCACACTGCACGACTTGCATTGCCGGGTGTCGCCGTGTAGACCCGCGCAGACGACTCAAAGTAGTGCTCCCAGCCAAGCGGCGAAAAGTGCGACTGGCGACGAGCAGCTGCAGGAATAGCAAACGACGACGACGGCGACGACGAGGCTGCTGCTGGAGCGGACCCATCGGTGGACGACGAAGTGGCGGCGGCGCGTTTCATGGCTTCGCGCTGCAGCGACATTGAGACAGAGACAATGAGGGCGGCGATGAAAATAAAAGAGTGTCTGAGAATCAGCATGAGCAGGAAGCTGGATTGTAGCAGTGGGCAAATGTTCAATCGTTTCATTATTGCCGTGAAAACAAAAACAGACATAACGCGATTGACGAACGAAACACAAAGCGAAGCGAGAATTGACAACAGAGGAAGACATCAAGTTCTTGGGACCCTCATGGCAACAGCACCCTGCTGGGCATCGAGGCAGAGTCGTCAGCTGCGGGCTCATTGGGGTCGAGGTGGCTGTAGCCATCGCCGCCACCGCTGAGCAAAAGGAGGGTTTGGGACGGCATGGTGGACGACGACGACGAGGATGGGTCGTGGCCACCATTCATATCGACCTCGGCAGCTGGCGTGGGCGACACAAAGGCCGAAAAGTGCCGTTGGGCAAGCATTAGTTGCGCATCGTAGTCTGACACACTGCTTTCTGACACTGCTCGTTGCCGGAAGTTCATCGACAGTCGCTTGTTGATCGATGCAGGAGAAATGTACGGCTCGACGTGTTTGACCACGGATGCTGAAACAGAAAACAATGCCATCAAGCGACATGTGAGCAAACTGACGATACGAAAACGAAAAAAAGCCGAAGAAAAAACAAACAAACAAAAAAAAAAACACAAAGGCCTTCGCGCTCTGCTGTACCTGGCTTGATGGGGCCTCCGTTGGAGCTGAGAGGGCTCGGAGATGTCGCACGTATTCGATGTGGGCTCGCAATAAGATTGGGTGTTTGGCTGCGGGAGCTCTAGAGCAGGCGCAAAACGATAGAAATCAACAACAACAAAAACAAAACAGATCGAACAAATGTCAGCCAAGACGGCGTGTCCACTTGCAAACGGCACAATAGAAGCGTACATGAATCGGGGCTCTGGGAGAGAGCGTTGGCGATGCTGGTGGGATTCGCAAACTCGCAGCCACATGCTCCTATCAACAGAACACGACCGAAAATGAAAAAAAAAAAACTCAGTCCTCCGCTTTCGATGCCGCGAGGCAAAACATGCGCACAACAAATGTAAGAAACTCGACCTTGCTTACAAGATGTAAATCTTCACAGCTTTGGGATAACGAAAGCGAATGCGTCGTGTCCCGCTCGTGCGTCAGCTCGCGGTTGATGGCTTCTCCGAGACTGTCCTCCTATTGACGCAGCCACCACCACCACCACCACCAATCGGTGAGCAAAACACCAATATTGCGCATTGCACTACAAATCAACCCCAAACCGACCAAAACGATAACCAAAAACAACAAAAATCGAACATACTCGCTGCAGTTGAATCACTCGGTTCTGAGCAGACATTGACAGCCGTCGAGTCGGAGTAGATGGACCCGACACGGGTGGAGAACGCGACAGGGATCGATACGACAGCATGGGTGAGTGCTGCGACGAGACTGACACGCTTCGCCGTCGCTCAGTAAACGATCCAGGGGACGAATCGTACGGCGCGCCGTTTGTGATTATTGGCAACGCCGGCGACAGTGGGAGTGGCGAGACGCCTCCCAAATTGGACGGCGGCACGACAATGCTAAATGAATGGTGGTGCTGGCCAAAGCCCAGGCTTGAGTGCGTATGTGGAGCAAACTCGGTGTGGTTGTACTGATATGCTGGAGTCTGCTCAGAGAAAAACAAACAAAAAAAAACCAACGACATGTACGACAACCATACAGATGAAATGATCGCGGTTAGTGAGCAGTAGAGTGCTTTTTGTTTGGCATATGGAACAAGGACCAAAGAGTTACAGTGAAGCCGCTCGTTGGCTCGGTGGGACTGCCGGACAACGGCGCGTGCTGGGTGGCTGAGGACTGCCTTGACAAGCCGAGCGATGACGACGATGTCGACGACGATGCCGATGGATGCTGGGGTGGTGCAGCCGAGCCTGCTGCTGCTGCTGCTACAGCTGCAGCTGCTGTGGCGGGAAACCCAGCGGAAGTTGAAGGAGTGGACGCTGCTGCTGCTGGGTCGTGGCCGTCGTGGTCGGGGTCGAAGGCGGCACTGTGGTTGAAATGGTACTGGAGTGGCATTGGGTCGGTCTGCGCAGTGGCCGCGGGTGCTGCTGTGGCGCTGCTTGAAGCGAGGACGGGAGGAAGAAGAAGAGGCGGGAAGGCTTGCTGCTGCTGCTGCTCTGGATCTGCATCGCCAGCGACGCCGACGCCGTTGACGCTGAGCATAGAGGGACGGAACCGGAGGGGGAATGGGGAAGAGAGAGAGAGAGAGAGAGAGAGAGAGAGAGAGAGAGAGAGAGAGAGAGAGAGAGAGAGAGAGAGAGAGAGAGAGAGAGAGAGAGAGAGAGAGAGAGAGAGAGAGAGAGAGAGAGAGAGAGAGAGAGAGAGAGAGAGAGAGAGAGAGAGAGAGAGAGAGAGAGAGAGAGAGAGAGAGAGAGATAGAGAGAGAGAGAGAGAGAGAGAGAGAGAGAGAGA